GGGGGGATAAAGTGTAAAATGTGACCGAGCCCGACCCGGCCTTGAGCCGACCCGGGCTGAGCTGACCTGAGCTGACCCGGCCAGGCGTGAGCAGCAGCGGCTGACCCGGGCCAGACGGACCGGCCCCCACTGGCTCAAAAAAAATCCTCGTGATAATCCTAGGGGACTTGTTAAGGTGTGTAGGGGTGATTGTTAACAGGGGGGTGTGGGTGATTATTTAGGGAGGGAGGGAGAGGGGGAGATGTGGGCCAGAAGGGATTATCTCCTGTTTCCTCCTCCTCTTGTCCCTCTCCCTCTTTGTGTGTTTATGTCTTTTATATGAACAAAGAAGAGAAAAGAACAGGGGGGGGCACTAGGGTGATCTCTCTCTCACACACACAGGAATACAGGCTAGTACCTCCTATTGTATAGTCTCAGCGCCATCTTCTTATAGCAGCTGTTAGGTGAATTGGGTGGTTGGACACGTTCCCACATCTCCTGTTAGGTGAAAATTAACGTTGGGGGCCTTTGAGAATACCTTGGTGTGTGTGTGTGTGTGTGTGTGTGTGTGTGTGTGTGTGTGTGTGTGTGTGTGTGTGTGTGTGTGTGTGTGTGTGTGTGTGTGTGTGTGTGTGTGTGTGTGTGTGTGTGTGTGTGTGTGTGTGTGTGTGTGTGTGATCACCTGAGGAAGGGGTGCCCCGATCTCTCTTGGTGCTTAGGGCGTGGTGGTGGTGGTGGTTGTTGTTGCAGTTGTCCCGGCTATGTCATTTTGTTTTATGTAATACTAGACCTTATGCGGGTGAAAACAAAACGTGCACACACACACACACACACACACACACACCTAGATCTTCAAGTAATGTCGTAAGTCACGTTTTATATATAGGACTAATGACACACTACATAAAGCCACAGTAAGAATATATATGACTCTGTATGACGCCACCAGCAGCTCGTGTGTGTGTGTGTGTGCGCGCGCGCGTTGGACGGGCCATATTACCCGCATGGACGACAGTAGACTGCCAAAGTAGCTACTTTACAGTCACCTTACGAACGGTGGACGTAACGCCGGCGGACAACTGAAGAGGTATAAGGATAGTCTTAGGACAAACCTGAAAAAGTGCCAAATCGACCCCCTCACCTGGGAGACGATCACCTCACACCGTAACGCTTGGAGGAGCACCACACGAGAAGGTGTCAATACTTTAGAGTTAGCCCGACTGCAGTACCGAGGCAGACAAGCACCAGCTCCGGAAAGACGTTGTCGCCGCCCCTCCCGCACTAGATGTAGCCCTACACGCGTGCAACATCTGTGAACGGCCCTGCCGGTCCCGTATCGGCCTCTCGAGTCACCTCAGAACTCACCAACGAAGGTGACATCCTTAATAACTCATATCATTGTATCATAGGTGGATGATCGTCATACTCGATTCCGAGTGACAGCAGAGTAGTAGTAGTAGGTGTGTGTGTGTGTGTGTGTGTGTGTGTGTGTGTGTGTGTGTGTGTGTGTGCGTGCGTGCGTGTGTGCGTGTGTGCGTGCGTGTGCGCGCGCGTGCTGGAATATGTTTTAGTGTGATAATGGTTGGTGACTCGAATTCTTTCCAAATCTGAGACGGAAGCCAAGAGTCACGTGTGTAATCTGTGTTTTAGGTTGGATAGGGACGTACCATACTTACTGACCCCACACACCTGTACCAAACACCTGTAACACATTTGCCAAACCTGTCTCCACACTTACAAAACTTAACATGTCACACACCTTCAGTTCAACTGCCACACCTGCTACACTCCTGCCAAAATAGTTCCAAATACCTGTTACACACCTGTCACACCTGATAAATCTTTCGAACACCTATGCACACTAAATACCAGCTATGCACCTACTATGCACCCACACATCTGTCAATACTCGGTAACACACCTGTTATACATCTTATACACACCTGCTGGACTGTGAGTAGAGCGAAAGATTAACACTCCCGCCCGTAGAGTTTGTTTACACAGCATTGAGAGAGAGAGGAGAGAGAGGAGGAGAGAGAGTCTTCAGATATAAATTAACCTTTTTTTTAACACCTTCACCACCTGTGTTAATTTCATTGGGTTATATAAGGTGTTTTATGTGACAATTTAACCCGTAGAGTTTTACGCTCTCTTAACATTTGCTGTGTCTACGGTCGTGGGTCAAATTCCCGGAACACTTGGCAATATCTTGGCTTCCTGCTGGCGTGTGGTGTGGGTTTTTATAGCTGGGGAATGATGCTGTTTTTTTGTAATTTTTATGCACACACACACACACACACGCACACACACACACACACACACACACACACACACAGAGGAGGCGATAGAGTTTTTTTATAACCCTTGATAATGATTTTGTTGCATTGTCGCGAACGAAAGCCCCTGTACACGCCCGAGTCTGTGAACTGCTCGTCTACCCGCAGTGTCTCATGAGGGTTCGGTACATACAGTTTCAGATGGTCGTATAAAGGAACTTCTGATCGTGAGTGTACATGCGGGATGGAGTTAGAACGCCAGGCACTGTTCATGATCGCTTGTGGTGGTGACGAGGTATTGTTTAAGTGGCACATGATCGTGGGGTATATAACGCCAGGCGCTGTCGATCGCTGGTGGCGTGTGGACAGTACTGGTGGTGGTGGTGTTAGGCAAGGTGGCGGGCCGCGTGAATGATTAAGGCAACGTTACTGCCGAGTGCCGCCGCTTGCCGCTAGACTGCTGCCACCACGCCACGCCCGTTCGCCCCCCTCCCTCTCCCCCTTCCCCGCACCTCTCCCCACGACACTACCCCCCCCCACATCCAGTTGACCCCCCCCCAAAGTCGAGGATGACCTGACCGTGTGGTGTGTGTAGTGGAGGCTGGCTGTCCCCACACCACCACCACCCACCACACCCACTTTGCTCTATATTGATTTTGTGTGGCGCTACCAAGATGCTCAGCCAGGGGGCGTGGTGCTGTGTGATTGGTGTGGTGCTTGTGTGATGTGTGTAGTGTATGGTGTGGGTGGTATGGTGTGTGATGTGTGTAGTGTAGTGTTATATGTGTGTAGTGTATGGTGTGGGTGGTATGTGATGTATGATGCGTCTGGTATGTGATTGGTGTGATGTGTATGGTGTGTGTAGTGTGATGTGTATGGTGTGTTGATGGTGATAGCTTCTTTCTCTTTTATGGTGTAGAAATATTGTGTTGCCAGTCACGTGCATCTGACATTCACATATAGGGAGAGACAAGTCAACCCAGGGTGCCAATCACGTGGTCTTGACAGTCATATATAGGGAGAGACAGTCAACCCAGGGTGCCAGTCACGTGGTCTTGACAGTCATATATAGGGAGAGAGAGTCAACCCAGGGTGCCGGTCACGTGGTCTTGACAGTCATATATAGGGAGAGACAGTCAACCCAGGGTGCCAGTCACGTGGTCTTGACAGTCGCCTACCACACACACGCGACTGGTACTGACTCACACTGCAAGCTGGTGGTAATATGATTAGGTTAGGTTATGGTTAGGTTAGGTCAGGTTATGGTTAAGTTAGTTTAGGTAAGCTTAGGTTAGGTTATTGTTTGGTTAATTTAGGTTATGGTTAAGTTATGTTAGGTTAGGTTAGGTTAAGTTATATGGGAGTCTGTGGTATACAGTACATATAAATATTTCTCATGAATATCTTTTAGGAGTGCCAACACAATGTCAGGTCAACTTTACACTGCCCGGGCACAACACCGTCTGACTTAGTAATACCAGGGCTTCAGTGCCAGTATCAGCTAGGTCACGGTAGGGTCAAGGTTCGAGGTCACAGCCCAAGGTCTAGCTTAACATTAACATGACCCGACTTAACTGAACCCCTTGAGTATACGACAATCTAATCTAAGCCAACTCAGCCTTACCCATTTCATCGCTAACTTAACCTAACACAACCCAATTTAACCTTAACCCAATCCTGTTTAACCTAACCTAATCTAAACCCAAAACTAATGCAGCCTAACCTAACTTCATTCGACCTAAAGGAATGTTATCGTACCTAAGGGGTTAAATCACCAAATCACGTATATGACAGCTGCTGATGTCTGTTTATCAAGGCATCTCCACCCCCTCCCCACTCCCTCCCCCACCCCCTCCCCCAGAGGTGTATTTTACAGACGGTGGTGTGTATAGATAATCCGCAGGTTCGGCTCTCTACCCCCTGTTTATTTTAGTGGGTGGGTGACGTCATTGCGGGGTTACGCCTTGGCCGGAGGGGTGACCATTGCGGGGTTACGCCTTGGCCGGAGTGGATGACGTCATTGCGGGGGTTACGCCTTGGCCGGAGGGTGACGTCATTGCGGGGTTACGCCTTGGCTGGAGTGGGTGACGTCATTGCTGGGTTACGCCTTGGCTGGAGTGGGTGACGTCATTGCGGGGGTTACGCCTTGGCCGGAGTGTCACGTAAAAAAAAAGTTAGTAGTTTCCTTAATCCTCTCTGGGGCATAATATTTGGGGGGTGAGTTTGTGTATTTTTGTGATGTGGTAAAGTTAGTTGTTTCGTTTAGTTTTTCCTTTATTGTTGTGTCCTTGAAGGAGATAGTGTGTGTGTGTGTGTGTGTGTGTGTGTGTGTGTGTGTGTGTGTGGTTGTGTGTGTGTGTGTGTGTGTGTGTGTGTGTGTGTGTGTGTGTGTGTGTGTTTGTGTGTGTGGTGTGTGTGTGTGTGGTGTGTGGTGTGTGTGTGTGTGTGTGTGTGTGTGTTTGTGTGTGGGTTGTGTGTGTGTGTGTGTGTGTGTGTGTGTGGGGGGCGCTTGTAATGTGTTGGTAAAGTGATTTAGTTTCTTAATTTTTTACAGCTGGTGAGTTGATTAAGTACAGGTGTAGTAATCAGTAAATACGATGTTATAGAAAAGTACATATATGCGGACATAGTACATTGAGGTAGAGTACATAGCGAGTACAATTTGTGGAGAAGTACTGTACATGTGGCTGCGTGGTGAGGACTGTGGCAGGTCAGGTCGACCCAGCAGCTCAGAGGGAGGTGGTGGTGGGTGACGGTGACACGCCTTTTGAGTGGCACTGTTGGCACTGGGTCCTGGTGCCTGTGACGACTAGACGCCTCATGATCAGGGGAAACTGTAGCTTGATCACCAGCACCATCGGCACCACTATCACCACTATCACCAGCAGTGGCAAGAGTACGGCGATCACTACAACCACAATCAGTAACGACAGTGTAGACGGGGGTAGTGTGATTGCTACCACCATCACCAGTTAGCACCATAGAGTGATCACCACTACCACCATGGCGACCTCGAACAGTGAGAGCCACACTACTATCACCACCACCACAATGCCCACTGCCAGGGATGGCCCCCGCCTCAACTGATAACGTCATCCTCTACAACAACACCAACAACATCCTCTTCAACAACAACAACATGACCTCCACCACCAACAACATGACCTCCACCACCAACAACATGACCCACCACCAACAACAACAACATGAACGAGAACAACAACAGGATGGTGGGCAGGAGTCCGCCAGCCAGCCCCGGGGGTGGTAAGGACCTCCACTACTACAACATGATAAATAACAATAACAACTACAATGTGGAGACTTTGAGGAGACTTGGCTGGCCTAGAGTACCTGCCAACCTGCCAGCCCTTCTACAGGTAGGTCCTCCTTCCCCACGTCATTAACCTGCCAGCCCTTCTACAGGTAGGTCCTCCTTCCCCCACGTCATTAACCTGCCAGCCCTTCTACAGGTAGGTCCTCCTTCCCCACGTCATTAACCTGCCAGCCCTTCTACGGGTAAGGTCTTCCCCCCCATACATCTACAGGTAGGTCCTCCCCTCTCATATACTTCATCTGAATCTGCCAGCCCTTCTATAGGTAACCTCCCCCCCACACCTGTTGTCGGCTAGTCACACTCATTAACCTGTCAGTCGCACAGGTAGGTCCTCCCCACACCTGTCTTCAACCGTCACCACTCCCACCTAACCTAACCTGAGCTATTCCGCGTATTATCATTAGTCCTTTTAAATCGTGTCACAGATGTATTTTCCTCACCATTGTATACCCTAGGTGTGGACGATGTATTTATTTTTTAATACTGTATTAATTGTATTTTGGAGGGGATTGTATTAATATTATATGTATTTAGTTTATTGATATAGCGTCTTTTAGATTGTTTATACAGTGAAACCTCCATTTAACGGACTGTATGGAAAGATAAATCCGGTATATGGAGGTAACACTTATGTTTGTTTTAGCTAGTGTATTGAATTCCTATACATCTGTCTCAGGTATTGTATTTTGAATTGTATTAAATGTATCTCACCCATAACGTTGTGACGGCTGTTATGTAATCATCTTAATGTATACCTGTGTTGAATTACATATGAACCTGGTCACACGGAGTTGAAATTGAACACCTTGTCTAATTGAACACACCTTGTCTAATTGAACACACCTTGTCTAATTAAACACACCTTGTCTAATTGAACACACCTTGTCTAATTGAACACATCTTGTCTAATTAAACACACACCTTGTCTAATTGAACACACCTTGTCTAATTGAACACACCTGGTCTAATTAAACACCTTGTCTCTTCTCTTTACAGGTAAATGGCTCGTGAAACTGCCGGGGTCGGTCACCTGCAAGTATTATTTTCACCGTTTGTTTGTGTCTGAAGGAGTGAAGGGGGGAGGTGGGTGGTGTGGGTAGACGCTAACGTGTACAGGGACGGTCATAATACCCTGGACACTCTTGTTGGTGTATCTGGCATTGTTTATTTCAGGGTTCTTGGAGGTGATTGTGGGCTTTGATTGTAAGTGATTTTTGCAAGTTGGTGATTTTTGGTGTGATTTGTGATGAAGACCACACACACACACACACACACACACACACACAAACACACACACACACACACACACACACACACACACCACAAACAAAAACATCCACAAAACTTCAACTCATCCATAATTTACACGAGCCGGAATTAAAAACCAAAAAAAAACAAAAACAAAACCCCCGCTTCACCAATACAAAACAAAGAACAAAAACACTAACCCAACAGCCTGAATGGTAACGAAACAATTATAATCTTTATGTCGGCTATACACAAAGGCTTTACCCATCAGCACAACAACAACATATATATATAGTTTTTACATCCAATTTGCACTGAGTAACGGGTTATCGTGTGTATGTGTGTGTGTGTGTGTGTGTGTGTGTGTGTGTGTGTGTGTGTGTGTGTGTGGATATGTATGTTTGTATAATTATGTATATGTATGTATGTATTGTAGATATGTGTGTATGTATGTATGTATATGTCCGCGGTGGGATAATTGGTGTATTTTATTCTTATATTTTTCTACCTGTCCTGGGAAGCAACATGAGCCATGGAGCCCGTGTTGTCTCCATGGTATCCCCACTCTTCTCTCCCTCCCTCCCCCTCATCCTCGAGGTCCTCCACACACACACCTGGAATCTTGTGGTCGTCTTTACCCAGACCTTCATCTTACACACACACACACACACACACACACACACACACAGACTATTGGCCAAACACTTGCATCATCATCATTGTCATCATCATCATCGTCATCATCATCATTAGACACTGTTGTATTTATCATTATAATTCTCAACCATTCTGTTCTTTTCTTATTCTCAACGTCATTTTGTTTTGTCATTTATATACCTGGTTTTAGGCTCTGGTGTGTGTGTGTGTGTGTGTGTGTGTGTGTGTGTGTGTGTGTGTGTGTGTGTGTGTGCCACTGTTCATATTCCTTCATTCTTTCATTACTGCTTTTTCTTCTTTCATCAACTATAAGCTCCACCCACTTTTGGCGTCCTTAGCAACCACCCTTACATTTGATTGGCTTTTGGTCGCTAAATAAGTGACGTCACCTCTCACCTAGCAACCACCAACCAATCGCCTCCCCCCATGGTTGCTATGGAAGTCAAAACAGGGTAAACATAAACAACAAAATCAGGGTAAACAAAGAACAATAACAGGGTAAACAAACAACGATAACAAGGTAAATATTAACAACTAAAACATCACTAGAAGGAACAACAACAACTACAATATTCACCCTAAGGTCAGCAAGAGTTAGTCATAAGATGCATTAATGAGGACTGTGTAGGCACGTGTGGGCTGGGGGGGAGGGAGGGAGCGTGTCCAGACTTAGCCGAAAAGTTAGGTTAGTTTAGTTAGTTAGTTTGCTTGTTTGTTTGTTTGCTTGCTTGTTTGTTTGTTTGTTTGTTTGTTAGGAGCGACACCACACCACTCCTAAACACCACACTACCACACCATCACCACACCACACCACTCACACCATCACACACCACACATTCTTAAACTCCACACTACACACATCACCACACCACACTACTTCCCCAAACACCACTACCATCAACACACCACACTACTCCCTAAACCCACACTACCACACCATCACCACACCACTACTCCCTAAACACCACACTACTCCCTAAACACCACACTACCACACCATCACACCACTTAAACACCACACTACCACATCATCACCACACCATCACCACACCACACTACTCCTAAACACCACACCATCACCACACCACACACCACACCATCACCACACCACACTACTCCCCTAAACACCACACTACCACACCATCACCACACCACATTACCACACCATCACCACACCACACTACTCCCTAAACACCACACTACCACACCATCACCACACCACACCACACACCCATCACCACACCACACCACTCCTAAACACCACACTACCACACCATCACCACACCACAATAAACTAGCTGCTCTCCGTGGAAAACTTCAAATTTCAATCGAGGAGAAGGAGAGAGGTGCTAGAGACTGTTTGAGGAAGGCTTCGGTGAGCCATCAGAGACACACTAGGGCAGGGCAGGGCTGGGCAGGGCTGGCTGGGCAGGCAGGGCAGGGCTGGGCTGGGCAGGGCTGGGCAGGGCTGGGCTGGGCTGGGCAGGGCAGGGCTGGGCTGGGCAGGCTGGGCAGGGGCAGGGCAGGCAGGGCTGGGGCAGGGGCAGGGCAGGCAGTGCAGGGCAGGGCAGGCAGGGCAGACAGGGGCAGGGCAGGGCAGGCAGGGGCAGAGCAGGGCAGGCAGGGCTGGGCTGGGCTGGGCTGGGCAGGGCAGGGCTGGGCTGGGCAGGGCTGGGCTGGGCTGGGCTGGGCTGGGCTACAGGGCAGGGCAGGGCTGGGCTGGGCTGGGCAGGGCAGGGCAGGGCAGGGCAGGGCAGGGTAAGTGTATCAGTATCTCAGGGTTACGGTCCACTCACACTTCACCAAAAACCATTTTCATGTTTTGTCTTTCCTTTGGATCTTTTTCTTATTGCCGCTTTTGTTTTTGTTTGACGGATGTACGGGGGGCGGGAAGTGAGTGTGTGTGTGTGTGTGTGTGTGTGTGTGTGTGTGTGTGTGTGTGTGTGTGTGTGTGTGTGTGTCTATAGAGAGAGTATTACTTTTGGTGTGGTATAAAGGTTATCATTCTCGACTCGACATTAAAGAGTTCCTGGGTTCCATATCACACGTGGATTCAGGTGGCGTTGACGCGATTAAGGTGACTCGTTAATTAGACAGTTTAGGTGTTTGGTGTTGAAGTCTTCCAGGGTGTTAATGAGGGTCCCGCGTGAGGGTGTAACTCAATATAAGACCTGCTATGAGTTCCCTAATGAGTGTCTCCTCCGTGTTGTGCTGAGTTATGACCCCTCCTGCCTCCTGTGTACTCGGGTGCGTGGAGAGAAAAGAGGGGGGGCAGGAGGAAAGAGAAAGGGGGAGGAGAGAAAAGGGGGGGGGAGAAAAGAGATATGGAGGAGAGAAGAGAGAGAGAGAGAGAGAGAGAGAGAGAGAGAGAGAGAGAGAGAGAGAGAGAGAGTTACTTTTTTGAGAAATTCGAGGCTTGAAAGTGAACGTAAGTCTTGTCATGGTAGGAAATACTAGATTGTGAACAGCCAGCCACCGTGAACGCAGCAGTGAACACCCCAGATCGATCCTCCTCCTCCCGCTGTGAAAATTTTTACAGTACGGTTCACTCCCCCCCCCCCTGTCAAATATTGCAGGTGTGTGTTTTTGTTCTTGTCTCGTGTATTTGTTTGACGTTGTTGTTGTTGTTCTGTAAATATGACCTGACCTCACCACTACGGGTCAGCCAGGTTGGTCAGTCTCGTGTTTGGTTCCTAGTATAAAGGTCGACCAGTGTGGGATCTAGTTTGTATTTTTCCTTTTATCTTTTCTTGTTTTCTCAGTTCTCCTTTGGTCCTTATTGGTGACTCAGGGACTACTATACTGTACCTCCCTCACATTGTCTGCTATTTCTTCTTCCTCTCTTCGTCAGACACACACACACACACACACACACACACACCAGAGGGTCTTAAAATCTTGGAGAGTCTTTAAGGTTCAATTTCTGTTTTTGTTTTCTCACTTAACTGGACACAAGGAAACCAGTCTAGTTAGGGTTACAGTCTCTGGGTAATATCGGTGCCATCTTGGGCGTCCATCTTGGTGTTGTGGGTTGCTTCACGTCACTAGTAAATGGGGAGGAGGAGTGACCTTTACAACACCTATTTCAGCACCCTCCCTCCACTACCCTCCACCCACACAGACGAGGAGGAGGGGAGGGTTGGGTTGGGGAGGGGTGGGGGTGGGGGGGTGATTGAGTCCAAGATCTTGACAGTGACGAGTCCTGTGACAGCACCCGGGGGAGGAGGGTTAAGTGTGCGCCAGAGGTTTTTAACATGACAGGCACGTGACGGACTGATGTTATATACTGTATATTCCCACCGTCAACATTAGCTCCACTCACCTCACATCATCCCGTGCTTGGCCGAGGGGAGGGGGGGGGTAGTAGGTGGTGTCAGGTGTGGTGATGGTAGGGGATATCAGGTGTGGAGGCGAGGATTACACACCTGCCTCCTGGGGTGTGGTTGAGGCACCGTCGTGTGATCTTCACTTCACAAATGGCTCTCATCTACATAGGTGATGACCCGTACTGGCTCATGCATACTGCTGCCGCCCCTCTCCTCCTCCTCCTTCTTCCCCTTCTTCTGTTACTCCTGCTGTATTGGGAAGCTTCCTTGTGACTGGGGAGGTTAGGTTAGGTTAGGGTGGGTCTGGTCAGGAGAGATTAGGTTAGTTCACGTTAGGTCTTGTCAGTTTACACAAGGTCGGGTTAGATTAAGTAAGGTTTAAGTTAGGTCAGGTTAAGCCGGTGGTGGTGGTGTTAGTAGTGGTGGTGTTAGTAGTGGTGGAGGAAATGGTGATGGTATAGTGCAGTGGTGGTGGTGGTGGTCAGTATAACAGGAGGCATCACGTCTAATTGTCAGATACATTTCTTCACCGCCCGGAGGAAGAATGTTGCCCTGGGACCACCACCACCCTGGTCGGGATCTGCCTGTCGGAGCGCAGACGAAGTATTGCCCTCGTAAAACGTAGGAAAAGAGGCAAGGGTGGTGTGTGTGTGTGTGTGTGTGTGTGTGTGTGTGTGTGTGTGTGTGTGTGTGTGTGTGTGTGTGTGTGTGTGATTCGCTTGTTTATTGTATTCGTGTTTCATTAATTTACTAACTTACATACTTGTTGTTGTTACAGGAGTTCGCTACCCTAACTAAGGAGCTGAATGGCGCGCGGGAGCAGCTGCTGGAGCGAGATGAGGAGATCACCGAGCTCAAGGCCGAGAGGAACAACACTAGGGTGAGTTATTGCTGCCTCCTCCCTTTTATTACCTTCATGACGTCATTCACCTATGTGACGTCATGCCTGTGTTCCTGACGTATATTACCTTCATGACGTCATGCACATATCTGACGTCATGCCTGTATTCATGACGTCCCCTCTGTTCCTGGCGTCAAATTTCTTGTATTTATGACGTCACAACTGTTGTGTTCATTACGTCATATCCAACATTAAGGCAGATTGTTAATTGCATCACACCAGTAGTTAGTTATGTGACACCTGCAGCACCCAGAATTAGTTGTGTAACCTGTGTTTATTGGCGTGACGCAGTGGACGATAATTTTGTGTTAGTATTGTAACGACTCAAGTAATGGCGGTTTAATTGAGCTAAAACTCGACCGTGATTTGTGTTAGGGAGGAAGAATGACCACACGAGTCTTCAACAACCGGTCCTCAGGAGACTCGAGTATAATATTCATTTATCTATTGAAAATGACTTGAAAAATATTGGTTATTCTTATTTTAAAATTGGATCACGTGAAGAATAGGTAACGCAACTTATTTCACCGTACTAACCAGTCAAACGCTAACCTAACCTAACCTAACCTAACCTAACCTAACCTAACCTAACCTAACCTAACCTAACCTAACCAAACCAAACCTAACCAGTCAAACGCTAACCTAACCTAACCTACTGTACGTTCAAATAATTTTAGACGAAGAAATTGATGAAAATAATAATAATAATAATAATAACTTGTTCAAAAGAAAGACATCGCCAGGTACACGAGTCGACAGGTAGTGAAGGTGGGTCTTGGGGGGAACCTATCATGTTTTCAGGGTAGGTGGGGCAGAAGGTGGAGTGTAGGTGGGGAAGTGGTGGAGTGTGGGTGGGGAGGTGGTGTGGAGTGTGGGTGGGGCAGAAGGTGGGTGTAGGTGGGGCAGAAGGGTGGGTGTGTGGGTGGGGCAGAAGGTGGGTGTGGGTGGGGCAGAGGGTGGGTGTGGGTGGGGGGAAGGTGGGTGTGGGTGGGGAGGTGGTGGGTGTGGGTGGGGGTGGTGGGTGTGGGTGGGGAGAGGGTGGGTGGGGTGGGGAGAGTGGGTGTGGTGGGGAGGTGGTGGGTGTGGGTGGGGAGAAGGTGGGTGTGGGTGGGGGAGAAGGTGGGTGTGGGTGGGGCAGAAGGTGGGTGTGGGTGGGGCAGAAGGTGGGTGTGGGTGGGGGAGAGGTGGGTGTGGGTGGGGGAGAGAGGGTGGTGTGGGTGGGGCAGAAGGTGGGTATGGGTGGGGTGGGGTGGTGTGGGTGGAGAAGGTGGGTGTGGGTGGGGGAGAAGGTGGGTGTGGGTGGGGGGGAGAGGTGGTGTGGGTGGGGCAGAAGGTGGGTGTGGGTGGGGAGAAGGTGTGGGTGTGGGTGGGTGGTGTGGGTGGGGCAGAAGGTGGGTATGGGTGGGGGGAGAGGTGGGTTGGGTGGGGGAGAGGTGGTGTGGGTGGGAGAGGTGGGTGTGGGTGGGGGGAGAAGGTGGGTGTGGGTGGGGGAAGGTGGGTGTGGGTGGGGGAGGGGTGGTGTGGGGTGGGGAGAAGGTGGGTGTGGGTGTGGGGTGGGTGTGGGTGGGGGAAGGTGGGTGTGGGTGGGGGAGAGGTGGGTGTGGGTGGGGGAGAAGGTGGGTGTGGGTGGGGAGAGGTGGTGCAGAAAGGAGAGGAAAGGGAGGAAGTGATGGGGGATATAACACGGTGAGGAAAGGGAGAGAAAGGGGGTGTCTTACACCCTCCCTCCCCCATCCCCTCCTCCCCACTTCTCCACACTATTGTCTCAAGATCCTCCCTCTCCCCTCCTGTCCCCCAAGACCTCCTCCCTCCCACCATGTTATCACCCCCTCCCTCCCTCCCTCCCCCTCCTATCACCTTTCAGGACGTTTCCCTCCCCCCCCTCCTGTCACTCTCCTCCAATATCCCCTCACTATTTTTGTTCCCACCGTTACCATGGTTTCAGACGTCCCATAGTTGAGGTATTATAGTGTATCAGTATTATTGTTTTGGTCCCGGAACAGATCACAATCGAGTCTTTGTTTACATATTGTCTTGAGAGCTCTGTGACGTACTTCTGTCATGGGCTCCTGGTGTCAGTCTCTCATGGGCTCACTAGTGTCAGTCTCTCGTGGGCTCACTAGTGTCATGTAGTGTCCCAGTCTCTCATGGGCTCGCTAGTGTCAGTGTCAGTCTCTCGTTGGGCTCGCTAGTGTCAGTCTCTCATGGGCTCACTAGTGTCAGTCTCTCATGGGCTCGCTAGTGTCAGTCTCTCATGGGCTCACTAGTGTCAGTCTCTCATGGGCTCGCTAGTGTCAGTCTCTCATGGGCTCGCTAGTGTCAGTCTCTCATGGGCTCACTAGTGTCAGTCTCTCATGGGCTCGCTAGTGTCAGTCTCTCATGGGCTCGCTAGTGTCAGTCTCTCATGGGCTCGCTAGTGTCAGTCTCTCATGGGCTCGCTGGCATAAATTTGTGCGCTTGGTCAAAATGTTTTTTCCATATTATGTCATAAATCTATATAATTTTTTAATAGTGATATACAGCAGAACCAATGCTTAGAGTTGTTGTTAATATATCTGTTGAAACACACTAGAAACAAATAAGGATTAGTGTATATAAATGATTTTGTACCTGAAACCCTGGTAACTTGGTTAAACTCCTGTTATATTGAGCTGATTGATTTACCAGTGAAAAGTTCCTATGTAAGAATTATCCTCTTATATTAGCTAATAGATGTGTCGTACACTCAACAGCGAGGCACTTTTGTGGGATTTGAGTGCCACAATCAGCTTCTTCGGTGCCAGAATCAGTCACTGTTCAGATGTCAGTGTACCAGTGACACACACAGTCAATGTGTCTTCGAGAAAGGTATACAAAACACAGGTGTATGGGCGCTGCAGGTGTTCAGTGGCAGAAGAGTAATGATCCTTGTGTGTTTCAGCTATTACTAGATCACCTGGAGTGCCACAGGTGTTAGGTGGTGTTAAACTAATGTACCTCAAGTGTTACAACTGTTACTAGAAAAACTGGCATTCTGCAGGTGTTAGGTGTTGGTGGTGCAGCAGCAGATATTAGGTGGCGATGTAGACTAACATATCCTCATGTGTTACAGCTGCTACTGGAACACCTGGAGTGCCTGGTGTCACGGCATGAGCGGTCACTCAGGATGACAGTTGTGAAGAGGCAGGCGGCGTCACAGTCAGGCGTCTCCTCAGAGGTGGAGGTGCTCAAGGCTCTCAAGTCCCTCTTCGAACACCACAAGGCCCTGGATGAGAAGGTAACGCCCACTACACTACATTCCCTCCCTCCCTCCCTCCTCTCATTCCCTCTCCCCCTTCTCCCCTCTCTGTCTCTTCCCTCTCTTCCTCCTTCCCTCTCTTCCTCCTTCCCTCTCTTCCTCCTTCCCTCCTCTGATCCCCCCCTCTCTCTTCACCCCCATCTCTCCTTTCCTCTGACAGTCTGTTATATAATGTACATCCTTCACTCCCTCCCTCCCTCCCTCCCGCCCACTGATTGGCTGCACACCAATCATTATAGCCATCCTGGGTGTCTGTATGTACATCTGTCTGTCTAGTACAAAATAACTACAATTTAGATATACAGTACTGTAATTTAATAGTAGTGGGAACAGTTCAGCATACCATCAGACAGAGAGAGAAGTCTATGGGGTGTGTTTGCCAGATTTCACTTACTCTGCTATCGTCATGAAGTCAACACACTCACTATTGATGGCTGTAATTTTGTACATCATACACATGTACTGTACAGTATTCATAAGTAAGTACATGCATAGATACATATACAGCACTGTACATACATTTCCTTACATACCTCAGAAAATACAAGGAAAAACACTCAGTCACTCACTCACACTCAGTTTAAATCTGTGTGTGGGTGAAGTTAGGATACACATCGCAATCAAGTGATCTGATTGGCTGATGCCTGGGGGGGTAGGGCCTCACTTTACCCCCAATTTCACTTTAAAAAAAAATCTCATAAAATAAAATAAGCGATGCATTTTTTTTCTGTTCCTTCAAATGTTGCATCTTGTAATAATGAGTTGAACAAGCCTGTAAAGTGAGCTCTGGTCTTTATGTTCATAATGTAGTGTACAAGTTCATAAGTTTGAGGAGCTTAAAAGAAGTTACAGAAATGGGAGTTTTATCTTCACAGCAGAGAGAGAGAGAGAGTAATGGCTGGAGAGGCAAACTGTTTTATGTTGGAATGGAAATCAAATGAGAACCATACCAAAAACTATAGAGACGAGTTAAATAATTGTGTGTATGTAGACAGCTGATAAACATACAGTGTTAACATGTGTGATAAGATTTAAAAAAAAAAGTAAGATTGTTAGAGAAATGAGACGAATTTGATGTTCTGTCTGTACCTGTGTTTAAGCATGTATTTACCACTAATATATGTGCATGTGTGGTAGTTTTGAATATTGACAGCTAGTTTGTACAGTAGCTAAAACAATTATCTGTGTATACTTTGTGGGAAACAATATGAGGCCACGGGCGATAAATATTTGTATATGAGGGGTTTCACTAGTCACACGTAAAATTTGGAGCATATCGACCCCCACCTGCACAGATAGTTGTTTTAGCTACTGTACATTATTAATATTATTATTATTGTTATTATTATTATTATTATTATTATTATTATTATTATTATTATTATTATTATTATTATTATTATTATTAGAGTATTATTACAGTATTATTATTATTATTATTATTCTTATTACTCATGAAAATTATCCATATTTTGTTGAATTTGAGTTAGTCTTTGACAGTCATAATTGCCTGAGGATGTAGCAGTGATGGTGGCAGTACCTGTAATATTGTGGTGCTGATGTGTGTGTGTGTGTCTCTCCATTCCTGTAGGTGCGGGAGAGACTACGCGTGTCCCTGGAGCGGGTGGCATCACTGGAGGAAGACCTTAACCACACCAGGGATGAGGTTGGTATCTCTGTCTGTCTCTCCTCCCTTATTCAGTTTATTTTTCTTTGTCTATCTCCATCTTTCTTTGTCTCTTATCTCTCTCTCTTTCTCTGACTCCATCTCTCACATTCTCTATCCCTATTTTTCTGTCTGTGTTCCTCTTTATCCATCTACATATCTTCCTTTCTTCTTCTTTTCTCTGTCTCTATCCCTCATTCTTTTCTCTCTCTTTCTTTTTGTTCTCTAATAGTGTAATTAAATCATACATATGTTGAAAGGATCTTATGACCTGTTATTATAGGTAGTAATTATATTAATGCTATTTTCACCATGACAGCTAAGCCAGTACAAGTTAGGTAAAGTTCCCGGCGATGGTGCCGAGAGTAACCGGGTCAATGGTGAGACAGAATCCACGGAGGGAGGCAGCGGCGGGAGCGGCACCAGCAACGGCGACGGCTCCCCCTCGGTAAGTTGTCTTGCTTTTGACTGAGTACGTTAAACTGTTTGACGAGAAATGGCTAGATTTGTGCTGACCTTTTTATTTTTCCCCTAGACTTCCATTAATAGGTTTGATAGGTGTTGTTTAAGCCATCCTGGGATACTAATGTCTTTTTTTTTTTTGAAGGGGGAGGTTTAGTTTTTATTGGGTGATGATGGTAATGTTTATTGTTTTGGCTGCTGGTAATACTCTACAACAGTGTCTTAATTTTAGTATTTGATTCTGAGTCATTGGCTAAATTGTTTGACATTCTATATACTGTAAATGTTTATAGCTGAATAAATATACTGTAAAAAAAATTTCAATCAAGAGGAAAAAAAAAACTTAGTCTTTGTACTGCATAATGCTACTTGTAAATTGGATATTATTATTGTATATTGAAAGAGAGTTTGTCATGTGAAGTTGTAGTGTATTAATATTATAAGTGAATAAAAGTATATGAATTTAGAAACCTGACCAGAGAAAAAAAATCCATGATGTGTTGCAAACTTTTATGAGCCCATGCAGAAACTCGCTCACTCTTAAGGACACCTTTAACAATGGATTCACTCCGTTACCCCTGTAGTACTGCATTCACTTATAGCAGGATGGTTTTTCTTATTTATCCTGGTACTAATATCATGGGTCAAACTTAAGTTGTGTATGTTTACTTGGTTATATATTACAGTAGTTTTTATTCTGTAGTGAATTATTGAAGCGTACAGTATGTCGGAGTACAGTACATTAACATACGACAGTTAAAAGGGAGTGCAGATACTAGAAGTGAACCAAGGAAAAGCTTTTTGTTAATGAGTGGACAGCAGTTGTTGAGTATACCTGTACCACTAGTCAGGGACAGGTATGGTCAGTGGATAGACTGTTAAATACCCTGTACTGTATATAGATAGGTTGATAGATGGCTGTTGAATGTGTTGAGGATGAAAAACATGGTCATTACGGCCATTCTCTTGATCCAGGAAGTGTACAGCTCCAGTCTTGGTTAATTTTCAGCAGACAAGACTGTTCATATATACTGTACTGGTCAGAGTAAGGAGAACCATATGTGTCTAGTCTTCACTGCCAGTTAATGCAAAATAGACCCTATTTTACATATCTTGACATGTATTTCACAACATTTGAGTATGTCATATGTGTGGCATGATACCCAGACCCCAACAAAACTGTAAAACACGGAGGTAATGATATGTTTGCAATCTTTTTTTCAATCAGTTCAGTTCAGAAATGGCCACGTGGATTATATACAGCTTATTGAATGATTTATTGTCATTTGTGAGAGAGAGCTGTGTCGGGGAAGGATTTACTTTAGCGATTTAATGGGAATAGAACATGCAGTGTCTGCTCCTTGTTCATTGTTGTGTGTGTGGTCAGTTTCACTCTTGCTCCAGACAACCAAGTAAATAAGATTCTCTTGAACTGTTTATTGCGAGTGTAATCGTATGCAACAAGATTTAACCCAAGGAAGAAACTTAACTAAAACGTCTCAGTTCAAGATACAGTACGGAAGCTTTTACTCTGAAGCTGTGGAACAAGTTTTAAATACAGTATTGAAGAAAATATTTAAATTCAGGTAGAAAATTTCAAATTTGAGTTGAGCATTTATCTGGAAGAACATGGGAAGTGTGAATTAGACGTCTTCTTACACATAATCAGGATGGTAATTACGTTGCAGGTAGAGAATATAATCAGAGAGAGTCGTACACTTGTGCTTCATATTAGTGGTTAAGTTAATGAGTGTAGTCAGTTGTACGGGACACAGCATTGATAAAAAGTTACTAACAAAGGCAATTAATTTTTTCCTATATTAAATTTGATCCCAGGAATTATATTTTTTATTCCTACCAATGCTGTTCAGTAATTAACTATATAATTTGGATTTGTTGCTGATGTGCTTGTTGTCTGTCTAAATGTCTTGTCTATTAACATTTAATTTTCTTCATTAACTTCAGTTCTTCATCATATACAATATGTTGACTTAATCTCATACAGTATAAGGCTTTTTATTATAACCAGGAAGAAAGGTATTAATTTCTATTATGAGATCAGGAATGTTGGTGCTGTAATCTTAGCAAGGAAAATTGTTTCTCTGCACTGTATCCCATGCCTCTAGTATTATATAGAATTGATGAAGGATTTTTTACTCTGTAGGTAAAAGAAATTTATTGGTCCTAAAGCTGAAATTTTTAAGGCTGCACTTTGGCTGACACAAGATGAAATTGATTTCATTCATTAGCTTAATTTCTTTGTGAGGGATATTGAATAATAATAATTTTTGGCTTTTCTTTTGGATTAAGAATAATAATATCATTATGGTGAATTGTATATCAGGTGTTGCAGGCCTGGAAGTTCATGAAAGAGGCACTGTGATCAGATTTTATTTTTTTTAAGGTATTTTGGCCAGTCAGGGGAAAGTGCAATTCCAACCCTACTGCTTTTGTGGCCTCAACTTACCTTTTGAATTTGTGATAGTACAGTATAGCCATAAGTGATTTATGGGTAATCATATTGTCCTCCTGTGGTCAGGTTTGTGTTAGTGGACCTGTAATTGATCTGGTTGTTTAGGTTTTGGTGATTATGGTAACTTGGTTGTTGTAGAGATCTGGTAGTTTAGACTTTAATAACAAGAGTAATATGATTGTTATGGGTGTTATAGGGAATAGTTTGTTAAGGTTTTGATAACACTGGTAAGTTGGATCTCCTTAATATTAACCACCCTATAATGCTAACCTAACCTAACACACACTCACAGAGGTAGTGATCGAGTTTTTAACCATCAGGTGTAATAAGCAGGGGCTAATCTTCAGGTGAGCTGGTAATGTGCTGGTTATAGGGATCTGGAGGCTCAGGCTTTTATTAGAATTGATTGTTAAGATTTTGTTGATGTGTCACCAGTTGAGTTGCAACATTGTTATTGCTCGTTCAGATTGTAATAGGGTTATCATAGTGACCTGGTTCATGGCCAGATTTACCAGTATAGATGATGTTTGGAGTGGCTCAAATTGTTTATAGATATATTTATATTTTTTCTTCTTTAATAATAATAAAAATATTATTAATTTGACTGTAGTTAATCTGTAAACATATCAGTAATTGTTTCATCACTTGAAGTCATTGTATTTTGTCTTGATTGTTTCATGAGATATAGAAGATAAGTTAAGGCTCACTTACATACAGTTCAGATGAGAGTGTACCAGTGCTGTATGTTGTTAGTTAATAGTGTAAGGAGCTGGTCATTAAAGTTGTTACAGTGTGCTGGTAGTTCAGGTTTTGTATTGTAAGGATATTGAAATCTCTCTTTGGTTGCATGAGTCATCCCTGCTTCCTTTCTATACATCTGTCGATATGTTAGTTAAATTTTAAATTCATTATGATAACTTCAGTATTTCAGCCAGCCTATACGTTTGCTGAGCATTGTGTTGGAAAACTTAAGTCTTTTGAGTACTTCCATTGATATTTTACAGGAAGACCATCAATCACATATGGTGGTAATTTGATTGAACTTCTAAAGAAAAGAAAAATTAGTTACAGTGTAGAGTTTGATTGAGATGATTTGTTTTACAAGACACCACTCAAAGAATGCAACATCTTTACATGTGAAAAGAAGACTGGCTGGCAGTAGTCGCCTATTGGAACACTTTAAATGTTAAGAAGACATAGACGCAGCAAGTGTACATCATCACTTATATAAGCCTCTCGTACTAAGTGTCTGTGCTGTGTCTCCTCCCTGATGGCTGAAGTGTTTTGTCTTCATTTTATACACGTTTTATCAGTACTGACTCTCGTTGAATTTGGGATGTCGGTTGTCATTTTAACTCTTTTTCTGAGTCGTTTTATTTCTATATTTTTTACCATAATGCTGGAGGATATCAACCCCAGGCTAGAAATATTAGGTTGAGTATATTGTTGATGTGTGTGTGTACGTCTCTGATAGTAAATAACATGCTTCGGACTCTGCTTGGAAGTGGAGTATAACTTACTTCCGAGGGGTTGGAAGGCCAGGCTATTACCACCTGAGTTTTAGTCTTGTTGATCATTTGTACGTATATTTAGGATTTGTATGGTTAGTGAAAGTGATGATGTCAAAATATATAGCACTGTATACCATTTAGAATTCACTGACACTGGAAAGTAAATTTAAAACAAAATTGCCTTGACAAAGAAATATTATTTTTAGCAGATTATATTATTTCTTATGTCTAGGAATTGGATGTGGGTCACCCTAACATTTGCCAACAGCGACAATAGAAGTTTGAGTTGTATTAGAAGCTAAATATGAATGCAGTACCCCCAAAATTAAATGTAATGCTGTAATGTTTTGTGGCTGAATAGCAATACAGAGCTATTGATAAAATATAGTCAGGTCTTGCCTTTGAATTGAACTAGAAATAGTTCACTTTTTTTGCATATAGATTGGTATGCCAGAGATGAGTCTAGACATACCCAATATTGCATGGAATGGTGGGCAGGATGCTCAAACTCCACAACTATCTGGCTCACCATTGAACAAAATTTGATGAAGATTCACAAGTTGAGTGAGAGATACAGTGTTAGTTTGGTTAGCTCCAGATGTTGGTGCAGTAAATTCTTAGGATGTGTCCTGAGGTATCTGTATGAAAAATACAGTAGAATGTGGATGATTAAGATGTTATAAATCACTTTTATAGAAAGACAGAGTGAGGAATGTGTATGAAAATATTTAGAGGGTCAGACAGTGATGAATTATTTATTTCAAACTGTGGGAACAATTGTTAGAAACATTCTATTTGATGGTCATTCTGTTGCAAAACCAATCCCTTATCTTGCTCTTCCCAGATCATCATGCTTTGACTTACCCACCCCTTATTTCTCTATCTGATTTAAAGCAACACAACCACCTGATAAACACTGTCATATAATGGAACAAAAGGCCAACTACTGCAAGGAAATACTGTATGTGCTCAAGACCTTCAGTAATCACCTTTTGGCGGCTGAATTTTGTTAACTCCCTTGACCCTGGACTCTCCCCTGCTTTCTGGGCATGGGTGGAAAGAACTTGGTGAGCGGGACCCCTTGTTTAATGTCTGGTGAAGTGAAGGACTGTGAGATGCAGTACCTTACTTAGGGGTCGTAAAAGTGAAGGACTGTTGGAGGGAAGGGTGTCTTACTAATTTACTTATTCGATTAAGAAGTGAAGGATTCTGTGAAGAAACATAAGGATACAGTGGATGAGAAGAAATATTCTTAACCCAGTAAAGTACTTCACATTTGGATGAGTTGCTTATCTCTAAGAATGGACTGGGATGTATACCTCATGCAAAAGCAAATGTACATAATGCCTGCAAAACCAAACATTGACAGATACGGGAGGAAAACTTTGACATATAGGGAAGTAAATATGTGAAAAACCAGTGATATAAATAAACCAAGAAAAGAAAATATAATTAATTTTTGTGTTTATATAATGTCATACAGTATTGTGTGCAAACTTGGTTACTGTTTGTTATGGGATGGGTACAGTACTTAGTGTGTTTAGTAATGTGACAAGGGATTTGTCATGGAAGTGGAGGTTAGGGGCTGAGTGGTGTATCCTCTGGGCAGGGCGGGGAGGCGGCGGCTGGTGGGATGGCTGATGCTGATGGTCCCTCCCACAACAAGTTGGTGGACCTTCAAACAAACCTCGACAAGCAGGTAAAGCCACTGTCATCTCAACAAGTGTTCTATCATGTACTTGACACCTGGCACGTTCCCAGCACCTGAGCACACCAGATGTTCTCCTGTTTTTTTGCGACTCACTCCTCCACGTGTGCTGACGGCTGACCACTTTTGGCATGTACGGCTCTAGGTTCGTTAATACAGTACTCTTTTTTTTCCTGCCCACAATGCCATATTAAGAAACAGGATCTCTCAATAAATATTAATGTGATCAGTAAGCAATTCAAGTAACCACTTAAAATTTACTCCCATAATTTTATTTCAATACATATGCAAGGAAACCCAGTAGCTAATGTGAAAAAAAAATTAATTGGAAAACAAGACCCATATGTGAAACAAAAAATTAATTGGCAAAAAAAAAAAAGAAGAAAACAGGCATAGATGGTGCAAAAAATCTAATTGGTTATTAACAAAGACGCTTAAATTATACAAAAATATAGACATTGGTAAAAAAAAAAGAGGCAAGTGAAGCAGCCGTCAGTCTCACCTCAGCTTGTGCTTATTCTGCGTTGTAGCGACTACTGTACTCTGCTGCTTAAACTGCTGCTGGTGCTACCAATCCTTATTGCTGCTGTGGGGACATTGTAATGCTATTGCAGAGCTTCCTTTGTGCAATAATATGCCTAAACTTGATAGTGCAAATGACAGCCTAATCATGCTGCCCCAGGCTCACTCATTCCCGGGAAAACTTAGTCCTCTCTGGAAGTTTATCTGATTATGGTGTTAATTTACTGTATACAGAATGTTTCCTACAGTTTTAACAGTAATAATACTGATATAGCAATGCATGCAGTGACATAACGCCATCTTGTTTCATGTTTTATTCTGTGATTATATGATAACTGTTGTGCATTTTTACTTGGCTATATGTGAAGGCAAATTTTTTTTATGAAGATCATAGTAAATATAAGTTTGGTAATGTCTTTTACTGTTATGAATTGTTTCTTTGGTTTCTGTGTTCTCCTCGAGCCACAGATATTGAAAAAGCTGCACGGACATGTTATAGAAAGCTACCATTTGAACTTTTGGTCTTGGCCACATTATCATTGCATACACAAACTTTCTGGTAACCCTGGTTCTGTGAAGTGTGTCATTAGTAAAGAATCTGGTACAGTACTTGTTAATGGCACAGTGACACTTATCCCAAAACTTGTACAGTACTGTACTTGTGTAGTTAAGTGTACAGTAATTAGTCTGCTAGGTGTAGTGGATGTGTTCTCACCATATGACTCCAGTATATCACGTAGATTGTTACTCTAGTCGGTGAAATTTACAACTGCATAAACCATCTAACTAGATATATCGTGTTGCTTGATGAAACTGGATGTATTCTCCACAGTACTGTAGTTACTCCCTATTCCAGGATACTTGTTGTTATCCTTTAGAGAACCTCATAAAGTTTTTCATAGTTTTACAGCCAGGGTATGTAAGATTACTGCAACTTTATTTTCAGCTAGAAGGCGGACATAATGCACTGCTTGGATGAGAAGTACAGTAGGGGTAGACTGAGGTGAGGAAGGTAAATGGAGTCTGTGTTGATGAGTGTAAACTAATCAGCTTAAAAACTATTCTGGCTTTAATTGAATCCTGAAATAATTAATGTTTGGAGAGTTGGGGGGGGGGGACTACACCAAGACGACTACTGAAAAGTTGTGGAAAATTTCGCAAGATTATTGTTGGTGAGATAATTTGGAGAAGATGGTATTTGTGACTGCCCCTTGAGGAACACGGCAGTAGTTAGGTTGTAAGATTATACCAGTGAGGCCATAGACACAATAATTAGGATTTGTTAAGGAAGTGAACTGATCAAAATGACATTATTGATGCTACTGCTGTCAGTGTTGCTGTCTTCCCCATCGGAAATGTGATACTGTACCTGTGTCTCACCTTCCACAGTACTCCTCACAGGTGAGACCAGAGTGATGGTGTAATATATTTTCTGGCAGTAATAGTAATAAAATCACACAAAAAGAACAGTATAGCAACATACTGGAACAGCAGTGAATTATGGGGAAGGCTGGCATGTTGAGAGCCTCTTTACATTGTGAACATGACATAATTTATCTCAGTACAGCATATCGTTGTGAGTGAGACATGATCGTACGATTTTGTCCATTCTCCTAACAAATGCTTCACCTGCCCTCCCTTAAAGCTAAGTTTAGTTTTAACATTCTAACTGTGCAGTGGCAAGAGATGTGTTAATATAACTTGATAGATTTAAGTACCATAACTTGATCGTGTGTTGTGTACACTTTTGTTTTGCTCCATTTTTCTTTGGCTAGTTACCCATAAAAAGCTCCTGATGTTTTTAAAATTTACAGTATAAGTTGTGCCATTATAAGATTCACCCAGGAAACTAAATGGCAATAATCGTGTATGTGTAAAGCTTTCCTTGTGTGTGTGTGGGTCGTTTTACTTGTATGCACACAGAAACAAGACTGAGCATTGTATTAGTCATTGGGTGCATTGAAACTCATGTACAGGCCAGAAAAAGCCAGTGACAGTAGATCAGCCAATTATGAAAAGTGAACAAAATTTTTTTTTACAGCATTTTCTGTTAAGAGCAAACAAAGTTGCTTTCATTGGTACCAGATATCAAAATAAAGTAGTTTATGTTTAATTTGGCGGGGGGTGTCTCCCAGGTTAGGAAGTTAGGTTAGGTTCTATGGTGGGAGGGGAGGGGGTCAAATTCAAATAAACCACGCCAAATACCATGGGAAAAACTTAGATTTCTGGTCAAAAACCAATTGGTAGTGAAACTGCAATTTTATTGATACTAGATAGTTTATTATGGTACAGGGGGTAAGACTGTAGTACAGTACTCGAGTGTTAATTGACAATATATTATGTTATTTTTTTGTTTATCTTTGATGTTGAAATAGTTAAACATGTGGAGGTGTTTGGCAGCTTAAGTGTGTGGGAAGAAGTTGCTGACGTACAGTAGCCTGAATGGGGATGTTGAAAATGGGATGGATCACGGATGACATTAAAATATATATCACTTTACCAATGAGTATTTCCAGGGTTGTTTGCCCATTGATTTTTATCCTCTGAATCTTATGAAAACTTAATAATGCATCTCCAATTATTTCAGCAATATTACTTTATTAATCACATTTTTCATTCATACCTTTAATACCACACCAGTTGTCTATCAGTATTGGACTTCCTTAAAAATCATAGACTCTCACATTTTGTTAATTTTGTTATGGTTTATCCTAGAACAAGAACTCTAAAACACATACTTTGGATAGATAATAATTAATGAACATAGGAGGTAGGAAGTGGTGCACAACTCACACCATTTAATAGGTTAGGTGGGTGAATATGGTAACACTCTTTCATGTCCGTCCTCAGGTGAGACTTGGAAACATCACTTGCGTGCTAAAAATGTAATAACTGATTTGTAATTTTTATTTATACTGTATACTGTATGTGTAAGAAATTTTAATTTGAAAGAAAGTGAATAAACAAGAGATTTGAAGACTGTTGTGTGTCTATGTTCTCTTATGTTTGTTATAACATGAAGCAGGGAAGGAGGAGCCATGTGTTTCTCTCTCCACAAACCTCAGCACTGATGGCACATTTAGCGACAAAAGTTTGTAGTGTGGTGTTTGTAGAATGAAATTCCCCCCTCTTCGTAGGGTTACCAACCAATTGCCATGTCTTCTTTCTGCCGTTGGTTAGTGACATTTGGACAGTACGATACATCTCTTTGGTGTTTCCTTTATTGTACTGTATTAAGAAAATATAGTTCTCTTCTAGTATTTTTCAGATGGCTTGTAAGTGTCTTGGTGTCTTATTGTTCTAGTACAGTAGTTGAGACAGTGCTTGAAATAGAAGTTAGTTGATATACTGTATAGTCTGACAGCACTGCATAAACACTCTTATTGTCAGAATAACTCATGTTGTCAAGATAGTAAACTTTTTTTTTAGCTTTCTTTTTTAATGAAGGTTCGTAAAAAATTATAGATGGTGGATGTGACCTTAAGAAAAACTGAAACATGAACCTCTTAATTGCTTTTATGTTATCACATCATCTGGGTACAGGAAACAAGTTGTCCCCTTGAAGGTGTAGATACAGTACTTGGGATTTATGAGTAGTACCTGTGTAAATCTTTTTTCTTCTTCAAGGAAAGTATGTCAGGTGAAGCCAGGTACTCCTCCTCCAACATACAAACGAGAACATTACATTACGGCCAAAATTGAGATCTGTTGTGTATTTTCTGAGCATATCACAGAACAGTACACTTGATAATATAGAAGATAATGCATAGAAACAAATTCATTATATACTGTACAAACAATTTCATTACTGTCATTATAATTTCTTTTGGGTCATGAAACCAAAGATGTGACTGTTAGTGTGGGCATGCCTTAAGGTACTTTACTGTACATAGGAAATAGATATATAGACTAGTTGGAATCCTTGCAGCACCTTGCAGATTAGATGGTGCAGTATCATCTTGAAGACTGTACGGTATATGTATATATTTAAGATTTATTGAATACTGTATAAGGAAGAATGAAATCAGGGTGTGTGAACAAACATCTCTGGTCCAAAATGCTACATGGCTTATCTTGACTCCATCATCACTTGCTGTAAAAGGATTATCATGCAATGGCATTTAGCGAATATGGAAGTTGTATATTTGTAATGTTTGGATATTTTGATAATAGCCATTGTTCAACCCTTTTATGGAATCTGATGGTGGGTTCAAGATAGTCTCAGAATTTTTTTGGAATGAAGATAATGTTGTGGTAAAGCTCTTTCTTTCCTCAATGTTGGTCTTATTATGAAAGTTCTTCAACTTTTATTTTGAAAGCTCCCAGTTGGAATTCTTGAATCCATAGTCCCTCTCAACTATGACATAGAGCTTTTCAAAAGTAAGGGATACTCAGGTTTTTCCTTAGCTTTAGCTATTATTTTAATAACTTTAGTTGGTAATTTTTTTTTGGGGGGGGGGGGTACTTACTGTACACTTGCTACAAAAAGAATCTGCAAAATTTTTGCTAGACAATATGACACAACAGATGAAGGTTTTCGACAACCCTATCGAGACAACAAGAGTCGCAGTGTTCATTTTGACATCCATTGGACCCCACCTGGTAGATACCTTCTGTAGTGAGTGTACATAGTTGATGAGATTTTGTGTATGAGAAAAAATAGAAGGGGTTAGATTAAGATAAAAACAAATTACTTTTATTTTGGCTCAAAGTAAAAGCTGGAAATACCTGTAGTACAGTTAGTGAAAAAATGAATAAAACATAATTCAGATGGGGGAGTGTGGCGAGTGACCCGTCGTCTAACACCACCTCATCTGTGTGTCATCCTAACACCACTTATCATAATTGGACCAGCTAATTAAAAGAAGAAAAAGAGCTTATCTAACTCTAAAGTGGTTTTTTATCTCATAATTCGGCTTCAAAATGTAATTAATGAAATATTAAGATGCTCATTTATTCTTTCTGCTTCTGTCTGATGCTGTGATGAAGTGAAGTCTGCATTTGACACTTATCTTCCCTCCTCTGCATATTGTTTGAGGGTTTTAATCTCTTACTCTTGCCTGAATGATTATATATTTATACAGTATTTACACTCTACGGTACACATATCCTGTACAGTATTGTGTATATACGGTATATTTTATTTATTTATTTTTTTTGCTGCAATATCCTCTTCCTTATCTTACTCTTTTATCAATATTATTTGATTTATCTGTCCAGTATACTGTATATAATCTCTCTCTCTCTCTCTCTCTCTCTCTCTCTCTCTCTCTGTCTCTGTCTCTGTCTCTGTCTCTCTCTGTCTCTCTCTCTCTCTGTCTCTCTTGTTCTTTCCATAATATTCTTGTAGCTTTTGTTTGTCTCATTCTCAAAAATATAATATTTCATCTACAACTATTGTCATTTAATAAGTCCTGATATATCTCCCCCTTAAGTATTATTTGTATGCTTATTAAATTATTCTCTGTCTTCATTTCTACCTTATTCTCTATTATGTGTGTAATTTATATATATATTTTTTCTATATGTATATTTGGTTGAAGATTGTTTTAATTTCATTTTGGTTTACATCTGATAAATATTTACTTAGTGGTCTTTTGTTTTTCCTTCATATCTTGTTTTGTTACTGCTTATTCGTTGTCTTTCGATATAGTGAAGATGTTAATTGCCTTCTTGCGACTTATTTTACTTTTTTTCCTCTTCATTCGAGTGTTGTGATTTCGACTGTCAGGTCAGTGTCTTATCTTTTGTTGTGTCCATTGAATTGTTGGTAAGTTGTGAGAACACCACTACCACCAGAAGGAGTTGACCTTTTTCATTCATTTTTTCCACAGATGTTCTTATCATTATAGTAAGTATTTTAAAAGAGAAGAAAACATTTTATTTCAATTGTAAGTGTATTTTATATTATTATTTTGTTTTTCTCTATGATCATAAATCACCTGTAGTGGGAAGGGAAACTGTGGGGTGTAAAACTGATTACATGACAGTAAAATGAGATCTACGTGCTTTGCATACGAAGAAATGGTAAATTTGCGTAAGTGGGCCCAACTCAATTTCTTAATTAAAAATACGCTTTGGTAAATTTGCAGCAGTTCACACAACTCTGTTAGAAAGTCAAAACTCTTTTTTTCTAGTGTATTTTTGTGTGTTTTGATTGGTTCTGACCTTGATTTCCATCGGGAATTGCCTGTTTTTTAGTTATTGGCGGTTTTGGTAGAGGCATTTTCCGACAAATATCATGGCCAAGCGAATACAAAATACACCAAAAAACACTTGAAAAACATATAAACCGAACCTTATTTTGGATGACCTAACTAACCTAACCTGAGTTAGGGCCGTCTCGTACCCAAGACAACTCGTACCCAAGATAAATCGTACCCAACTCGCGAGATAAGTTGTTCTCAAGATTACTTACACCCAATTCAAGAGATAATCCCTACCTATTAGTATATATACCATGCATTTTAGCTTTATCTATGATTACAAAAAAAGATGATGTAAATCTTGAAGGAAAGTGCAGTGAAATAGGGAAATGTAATGCAGGCTTTAAAATGGTTACATCTCATTACATAAGTATGTTATTCCATCACACAAACATTGCACTAGAAGTACATATTTCACACTATGTGGTTTAGAATAACTTTATTGCAATTGACAGATTTCAGGCTAATAGATTTGGCAGTTTCAATTTATAAACTGGGCGATGTAAACGTTTAAAATGGTCATAAGTCAACAAAATATAGACATGCATAAAAACGTAACGATACGTGTCACCCAATATTCACACTCTTCCTATTTAGAAAGAGAGAGAGAGAGAGAGAGCAGACGTATTTAATCTTAATTTGTTAAGATTGTTTACAACCCACCCTCTTGGTCTGAGTGTACTCTCATAATCTACACCGTGATGCTTCAGCAAAGTTGCTTTCATTGGTACCAAATATCAAAATAAGTATAGTGTGTACTAGGAAGTTAGGTAAGGTTAGGTAGGATTGTTTGGTTGGTTGGTTAGGTCAGGTTCTAATGGGTTCTGTGTATTTTCTTATCATTTTTATTACTAACTATCATTGAAAGAACATTTGTAAAAAAACAAGAATGAAATCAAATGACTCCTTTTGGTTGTATTTCTGTTCTCAGACATTACTGAATTGATGATCTTTTATTACTGTATTCTTTGTCTCACATCTTCCATCTTTTTATCATAGTATTTTCTTGGGTTTTCTCCTCCTCTTCCTCTCCACTGCCAAGGTATTATTTTGCCTACCTTATACTTTTTGCTGATCTTATCCCACCTCCTCTACCTCATTTTCTCCTCCTTCCTCTCTCCCTCCAGCTTCCTCTTAATTTGTGTGTAATGTCCAATACATTTCACCTGTATGGCATTTCTATTTATTTAGTTACATCTCGACGTAAGAAAACATGATACTGTACATGATTGAAAAATATATATACATTCTAATTCTTGACGGCTATCAGACAGCAGAACTAAACGCAGCAAGAGAGCGAGTGCGTGAGCTCCAGAACCGGCTACAGGAGCTCGAGGATAACTTACAAGTCACACAGAAGGAGTTGGTGAAGGCTCAGGAGATCAACTCACGTCTTCAGAGAGACCTCAAGGTACTGTACTGTAATCCATGAATATAATTATTTTGATACTGTACCTTCCTGCCCAAGTAAACTTCTTAACTAAAATAATCTTGGTTATGTAGATCATGCAACATTTCTTATATCGATTTGGCCCTCTTTAAGACTCATTTCACTCTAGTATAGATTAATATTGATATTAAATTTATACTTCTAATTGTTTTCTATGGAGTTTTACTTTATGACTGTACTGTACGTATGTATATGTTGTTACAGGAGAATGTAGCCCAGAAGGAAGACCAAGAGGAACGTATTGCCACACTAGAGAAGAGATACCTGAATGCACAGAGAGAGTCGACCTCCTTACACGACCTTAATGAAAAGCTGGAAGAGGAACTGAAAAACAAGGAGGCGCAGTATAAAGTAAGTTAATGTGCTGTATACCTGGTGATGGATGATGATGATGATGGATGGTGATGGGTGATGATGATGATGATGATGATGATGATGATGATGATGATGATGATGATGATGATGATGATGATGATGATGATGATGATGATGATGATGTTGATAGATAAAGAAAATTAAGAATGGTTTGGTAAATTGCACTCCATGGGTGGTTTTGTATCGTTGTAGACCAGAGGCTTTTAGCCTTGTGTTAAGTCACCCCTTAAGGATCGCTAACATAATCTGAGTACCTTATAAATACATATATTATAATCACCCATTTGATTTGTTGGAACACCTGAATATTAGACACCCCATCTTATTTCACCTGATGATTAAACATCCAAATGCTAACCTAACCTAACCTACAAAAACTTAACCATACCTAACCTAACTTAATCCCCCTCCAAGGTAGAATGACAGTGTTTAATCAACAGGTGAAATAAGTTAGGGTGCCTAATCTTCAGGTGATCTGATGTGTGTGTGTGAGAGGGGAGTAACTGAGAATATGTTTATTCATATTTATTCATTTAGTAATATTTAAACCTTGGTCATTGTATAACACCCTGTTGGCTGTCAGTCACCGATTCTGGAACAAGAGACTAGATGTACAGTGCAGTATTAAGTCTTTCCCAAGATGACAGATATACAGTGTACAGTGCTCTGCACCAATTGTTCCGGCTAACGGGGAGTTAGTCAGAACAATTGGTGCAGAGCACTTATGGGAATGAGAGATTTCCAAGTAACGAGACGACTCTCTCAAAGCCGGAAAACTATCCCTCATCCCTGGAATTTTCCGGGTATCGGGATTTTTTTTATTATTATTATTTTCCGGAAAATGTGCCCTCAGAAAATTTTAATTCCAACTATCGGAGAGTTCCGGGTTTGAGGGATTCCGGCTAAGGGTGATATTACTGTATTATGCTTATGAGAGTTGAAGTAGTGAATGATGATAAAAGTAATGTGTTCCTCTTGTTCTCCTGAATGGTGTGTTAACATGTTTCTCTTATGGTCCACAGCTTCAAGAGGACAAGATTCGAGCCTTGCAAGAGAAGGTTGAACTGAGTGAGCAGAAGCTGGCTCAGTACGCCAAGTTACCCGACGTAGAACAAGAGTTGAAGCAGAGGATGGAGGCCCTGCACCAGGTGAGGGAGATGATACAGCATATTATTACCTCTTACTTCTTTTACATTTTTTATTATTAGTTCCAGACTAAACAACAAATATGAATCATCCATCTGACTCTTATTAATTATTACTATAAAACATAAGTTATAAACATTTTCTGCTAAATTAAATTGTATAATTTATTTAATAATGTAATGCTACTTTTATTTTGAAATTAGAAATTTTTATCCAATATATACTGTATATATATATATATATATATATATATATATATATATATATATATATATACAAGTGTATGTGCATGAGTTGTATTTACTTTTGTGTTATTATTTAAGACTTGCACCACATATAGTAAGAAACTCTTATGGAGGTCCGTCTGACCTCCTAAATTTTATTTGCACATTTTTTCTTAGTACTGTACTAGAGTTATCTGAAATTATTTTGCTGAAATTTGTTTTTATTGATACAGTATATTGATAAAATTTTGTTAGTTTATTGTGTCACTTAATTTAATAATAAAACGGTTTAAGATCACATGAGAGACCGTGACAGTTTTATAATAAGAGTCACTTAATAAACATGGTAAAATTGTATAAACTCATCTGTGCTAATCTTTTAAGTTTTTCCAAGTATCACCATGGATAGTACTACAGATTTATTGTTTTATGTAATAATACTGTACTTGAACACTCAAAATTAATGTCACTAATACATATAAAGTTTATATACTGAAATGCTAAGAGAATATACTCACATGATGCAATATATTTCCTCTTAACATGCATTAGTTATAAAGCTAAGATCTTTCTCTACCCCCATTCTCATATCACACCAGAAGTCCCTCTCTCCGCAGGTACAAGAAAAACACGGCAGTGCTGAGGATCGCATACAACGCTTAGAGAACCAGCTAGATGAGAAAGGAGCCGAGCTTCTGCGGCTAAATCAGCGCCTTAAGATGAACGAAGAGCACAACTCCAGATTATCAGCCACTGTTGATAAATTATTGCAAGGTCAGTTTCCTTGACCCATGATTAGTGCAGTATTAATATTTAGTAAGTTATGAATGATTGCTGAAATAAAGTGTATAACTGACATGATTAGTGAGAGAGAGAGAAGGGAAGACAAGGGTGAGGGAGGTAGTAGATGGGACAACGATGTGTTGCAAAGTGCTATAACAGTAATATTGTACACAAATCATATTTCCATAAAGATGAGCTTTAAATAAGTCCACATGTGTCTGTAATCATATACCTCTGAAAATGGTTACTTTGGGAAGTTACCAGTATGTAAGGGAGTGTTAGGGAAGTACAGCAGCAGATAAAACTCCCTGGACCCTTGACAGTACCTGGCATTTAAATACTTGGGGAGCATTAGGTGAGGGGGATTGGAATTTTAACATACAGTATTTTCTAAGATCTTTTGTTGTACTGTATTAACCCTCTGGCTATGGGAAGTTTCCCTTAGCTGAATAAAATAGTCTGGTGGTACCTATGGTAGCTAGAATAAAATGATAAAGTGCAGGAATTGTATCACATGGGTTAATAAGTGATCCATAAATGTTTGTTTATGGAATTTATAGGCCTTCATACATTTAGTTGGTCATATTTTGCTTAATATTATTTGTGTGTTGCAGAGTCTAACGAGAGGTTGCAGGTGCACTTGAAGGAGAGAATGCATGCCTTGGAGGAAAAGAATGCTCTCACAGCTGAACTGGAGAGAACGAGAAAGTTCCTAGAAGATTCCTCTCAAGAAAAAGTATGCAGAAATTTTTAGATTTAAGTGCTTCATGAATGCTGCTAAAAGCAAACAAATATACTCAATAGCAAGAGACTAAAGTAAATACCAAATACTTAGTTAAGGAATATTAGGGCAGAGCCTTTCAGTGCTATTCAAGGTTTTATATCCTAACTGATACAGTACTTATAATGCCATAAATAATAGAACATAATCCTTCCACATTAATTAAGTTTACAAAGTGTCCCAAATTTGGTGTGTAATTTTTAAGTTTTCTGTTTGAGTTGAACCATGCTTAAGATGCTTACTTGGCATGTGTGTCATTAATGTAGTTAAACACATCTTGGTCTTTGGACTGTTTATTTCATCAGAACATTAGTCACCCTAATGGATGAAGGGAGTTCCTGTAGGTGTGCACTATCCCAGCTAACCAAGGCATAGTGGGAACAGTCATACAATAGTGATAAAATAAGTGGAATTTTTTTTTATTATTTTAAGCATCACTTTATGAGGTCTGTTTCTCATGAAAATTTTGAACAAATGGCTTGCCCAGAGTTAATTATTAAGTACAGGTACTTCTATTAGATTATCAACAGAATTTTTTTGTTTATAGAATTTGAGCTGCCAGTATTTCTTAGTAATTAATACAGTAAAGGAGATTTCCATTGGTATTACTAAAGTAAATATGTTTTGTAACTAATCATGCAATAGGAACGAATTCAACAAGACCTGGAAAATCTGAAGTCAGAGATGGAGAGCCTCTTTCAACAAGGCCTTGTTCGGTAAGTCATTTCAGAGGTGTGAATGAATTCCATTTGGCTTCCAGTCCTTATTCTCTCAAAAAGCACCTCTCCAGGTCTACCCAGCTGTACCAATCAGTGCACGTTTCGAGCCCCGAGCACTTGTCGTTGGTCAGTGATGAATCCATCTGCACACAACTTGAACCTCTGCTTGCCTGACAGCTTGGAGTCTACAGACTACGATTTCTCTTGTTTATTATTTCCCTTTTGCTGTATATGTTGGCTTGATGTATTTCTTTTAAATATTTTTATTTTTTTATACATTTTCTATTTGCTACAGAGTGAAATATTGAAAGAATTGTCAAGACGGCAACTTGAAGCAGAACAACTGAAGCAACAAATGTTGCAACAAGAGATAGCCTTCAATATAAAACAAACTGAAGCATTAACAAGGTAATGATGCATAAATAGCAGTAATAATGCAGCATATTCAGTTAGTACAGTATCACCCGGTGGTGTTAGGTGGCACTAGTGAGTTTGTGACGTGTTACCTAACCTGTGGTTGATGCATATTTAGAACTCTGTAACATTTAAAAGTAACAAACTCCTTTATTTTCTGTAACATAACCCCTAACATTTCCTTATACAGTACTTGTATTTAAACTAACCGTAACCTATATGCTCTCTATGTAGTACAATATAAATCTTTCTTGAAGTCTATGTTAGGGAAGGCAGGGAGTGGTTTATGTGGCTATTTATTTTTTAAAAATATTTCATCAATGCTTAAGAAATTTTAGTTACCGTTAATGTTTAAAGAAGGACAAGGAAGTATAAATGAAATGATTAATAGTGATTCTTTTTTCACATGGTGGAGAATTGGTTGTACCTTCAATATTGGTTTATTCCTCCCATTTTTTTCGCCGCTGTTGTTTACGGCTGCTAACGTCTTTTACTGGATATTTCCCAGCCTATGTACTCCTGTAAATGGTAAGCCACAGACATTCAATATTATATCTCTTGGAGTGTAGCGACAAGTGGCTGCAACCTTCTCAAGAGTGAAACAGGTTCTCTGATCAACTGAGTTCATATGTTGTCTATCCATACTCCTGGAATTTAAATATATCCCCCAAAAAGGGCCCACTGTCTGCCTCGAGCCAGTGTAGTATGTGACGCTATAATTTTGGCTTGCCCACCTGCACGCTTATCATTCATTAGAGCCTCCTTGCCATATGCCTGTATCAGTTTAAGTATCTTTTTTTCTTATCTTTTCTCCTCTTCTCTTTTATCTCTTCTCTGCTTGAGTTAATATATTCAGTGAGCATAATAGTTGTGAAAGAATGTAGAGCAAAATCTGCTTTGTAATGATGGCTTTACTTGCAAACAGTCTTAAGCAGTGATGGACTTGCTTCACATCAGGGGAGTCTTTTGTTGCAGTGTGTGACTATGGTGCTGGATATTTTGCCTCCTGAAATTATATGCAGAGACTTCTTTTTATTTTATTATTATTTTTCGAGCATAGACCTTACGTTTCTCCATTATTTACTTTTATGCACAAACTGCACTATTCTCTTCATCTGTCAACCATTCTCCACTCCAAACCTTAGTAAAGTAAGTAAGATGAAGTACATCAAAACTTCCTCTTTACCTAAGTATTTCACAGCTATTCTCTTATTTGTATCCTAAACAGATTGACTTACAGACTTATGACAGATCCTCGAGAGATTAATCTTCCACTAAACTGCTGCATGTGTAATATTCATTGGGTCACACCATCTATTGAGAAGCTCTTGTTGGAAGTTGAGTCAAGTTGAAAATCGAGTCGAGTTGCAACTTCTCTGGAGTCTTTGCTGTTCTCTGATACACGTGTTAGTTAACCACTGAGCTCACAACAAGACAAACTAAAAAACTCATTAAATGGTCCAGTAAAATTATCAATGTGAACACTTTCAACAGATACCAGTAGGAGGTTATAAATTTTCAAAATATGTTTTACTGGTAGAAAAACAAATGAAGAAATACTAACACTGGCTAGAGCAAAGAGAAAATGCTGGAGAGTTAGAGAGCAATGGAGATGAGATGTCTTAGCTATATGATATACAAGTGAAGAGATAGTAACAGGTATACTTTAGAGATGGAAGGGTCAGGGGAAGGCAGAGACTGAGATGATTGATTGAATTCAAAAGCTGTTGTCCACTGATAGATACAACATCAGGGGGAATTGGTAAAAAAACATTGGATTGATGGGCTGTGGTTGCCAGCCCTAAGACCCAGGGATGGCATCTTGATTAATTTATGGATGGCTCTTCACAAGCTCTGAAGATTAAAATTACTTCCTCTCAGGATTGCTATTCCTCTCTAAATCTTTCTTATTTTGACAACATAGTGAGACATGGATTTAGGTCAAGGGGAACACATAGACAGGTGACAAGATTAATTAATTCACTCTGTAATAAAATCTGTAACCACTTTTTTTTACTCATCCTTGTGTTATTGATGAAGCCTTACCTGATTTGCTAGAAATTTTAAGATTGTATATTTTGTCATTATACTACAGGTATGGAACCATTTATCCAGCATGCTCGGGACCTGGGGGTTACCGGATAGGGGATTTTTCCGGAATTTGGAGCGACAGTCCTGAAATGTATAGTAAACCCTCTGTAACTGGCTGTGAGGCCTCTGTTGAGATCACTAGATTCACCCCTAAAAGTAGCTTTAACTGTACACTGTAATGTTACAACTTAAAATTGTAGGCACATACACAGCAATAACGAAAGCATATAAATAGTACAGTAATAATGAAAGCATAAAAAAAATATTTGTTTACAAGTTAATGTTTAAACTGCGTCACAGTTGCCCCTGATAGTCGCCTTAGCAACGTAACGGCGCTTCACCACGGACCCTTCGACCTCCACACACTCACCACACAGCTTCACGGATGTAAACCCATAGATACGTAAAACTTTATTTCTTGTCATAATTAATACTTTTATTTCTTTTTGCACTTTCTGTATGTAGGATTGTGTGTGCATGTAACTGAGTAAAACAAATTGAAGAATATTACTCCCTGTACATGAGATGCAAGTACTTGAACTTATGAGTTCAAAAATATTGTACACAGAACCTTATAAATATTTTTTATTTGCTTTTTTTCCACTTTCTGTGTGTAAGGTTGAGTGTATGTAACTAAGAAAAGAAAATGAAGAAAATCACATATATGTACCCAAAATTACGAGTTGAAAAATAACCATAATATAACATATAGCTCGCAGGTGGGGAATGGTTGGAAATATACCCGCTTGGCCCAGGAATTACTTTTGGCGCTCATATTAAATAATTTGTACCCGAACATAACCGGTTTTTGGAGTGTTCTGGATACCAAGTGGATAAATGGTCCCATACCTGTATATGCAAACGAAGAATTTGGGGTGATGTTCTGTCTTGATGACGAGTTTGAGAAATAAAGTTTTTTATACTGTACAGTGAGTGCTTCAGGTATGGAATTAACTAGCCATAACAGTGAAGCATGGAAGACAATGATCAAACAACGGGCAGTAAACACCTAGTAGTGCACGGCATGGGTGGGTAGGTGGGTTACGTGTAGCATAAATATATGACGGTAAAGGTACTGAGGTACAGTACTCACTTGGAGCACAGAATCCCCAGTTTTTCCGACTTCCCTCTCGAGTTTTTCCCAGCGAGTCAAACATCACTAAACCGAATTTTGACCTAACGTCAAACAAGAAAGGGCGTTAAAAATTTTATATCGTTAAGTGAATTAACGCTGAACAAGGGATACCTGTACTGGTATATTTTACTGTTAGTGTGATATTTCCTCAATGGTGATCTCAGAATTACCTCTCTGCACTCGGTAAACATCTTTGATAATTAATAATGTCTGTACAACATCTTTAAGAAGTGGTTACATATTAGGAGCTCACTTGCCTTTGGTTTTTTACTCTACTTCTGAAATATGACTTGAAAAACTTATTGGGCCTTGGGCATCAGTCTCACACACATTTCTAAATTTACATAATCTAGCACCAGCATTTTCTGTTTGATTTTATGTTCATACAAAAGGTTTCAGATTATAAATTTCATTGATCTTTTAATCTCTGAAGCTGTATTCCAGACCCTTTCATCAATTTACGAGTAACGTGGGAAATTTCATTGTTGCAGTACTGATAGATAATGGGAGTAGCCCTTAACTTTCTTGTACCATACTGAGCATGTTTGTAGTTAGATGCATGTCAATATTTAATATTTTTATTTTTTATTTTAGTGTTTTTTGAGACAGTATACAGGATATATTTTTTATATGTAGCTGTTTTTATTGTTAAGTAGATACTATTAGGTACATTAGTGTTTGGGATTAAGCACAAAGTGATATGAGAAGTATATTAAGTGCTGCGTCAGGGCCCGCTCTACCCACTTCCTAGTTCACCAGTGGTAATTAAATGCTCTCTCTTGTCATCGTCTCTCTGGTGAATAAATAGGAGAAAAATTAATAAAGTGGTGATGAAATAAGTAAGTAAAATCAAATTAGTAGTTATAATTATATGCAGGTATTCACTGAACTCCATACTCAAGTGTTGTAACTTGATTTTAAAAATTAACTGGAAAGTAGAATTTAAAATTGGCACGTATAAATTTATTCTGGCTAGTCAGGTGACAAATGAACCTAACACAGTAGGTCTGGCCCTGAATGGTTGATTAGTTTTTAAATATTTTAATCACATACCACTGCTCTGGATGGCAATTTATGATATACAGTAAAGTACCTGATATTTGATGTAGCAAATTGCAGACATAATGGAAACTCAACAAAAGCTAACACCATATAAACCACCTCCCACTATTTAATCCACTCAAACCCAAGAGTTGAAGTGAGTGTAGCTGTGAACATTACCATCTGTGGCACATTTGGTATCCTCTCAATAACTCTTCGCAAGACTAGGTTGAGTGATTTCAGCTTTGTTGTGAGGGAGTATTATGGCAGTTTCCTGAGTGGAGTATTTTAGGGGTGTTGCTAGTATAAGTATTTGTAGAGTTTTAGCTACTTTTGTCAGTCTGAGGTCTTGATAGAGTTAGGATCCTCACTCTTATATTCCATGTCTTGTAACTATATACAGGGTTCTCACTTTACTTAACATGGCATGGACAAGATTATTGCAACCTCAGTTCTTGATACAATAGAAGTTCTTGCTGTTCACCACCGTAGATTAAGTTAGGTTTTAGTTTATAAGATAATAGAGGTTCTCACTTTACATACTATGATGAATATCCCCACCGACTTCCTGGAGCTTGGGACCAAACCTGTATTTCGTGGGTTGTAAAAGCAGTGTTAAACTTCCACTGTTGCATGTCATTGTATTGGAGCTCTGTATGGATGGTATATATCTTGCATACAGCTTTGTTTGACTCATCTCTAAATTCCTGTCTTTTTTAAAACTTCTTGACAAATTAATTTTTATTCACTGATATATTCATCAGTATTGTAGGGAAGAGAGCTATTAATGCTTTCATTAAAATATACCTAGATTAACTTTTTTGTTGATATTGTATTGTTCAGGTCTGTATCGCCAACTGGAGGGGAGTTTGTCCGAAGCACCTCTCACTCCAGCTTCGACTCGAGATCTTTGCCCCGGCGTGCACCCTCGGCTGGGCCTCCTGCTCAGAAGCGGACACCTGCACTTGAGGAGGATAATGCTCAGGTAACTAATATGGAATTTATATGCTGTTAAATATTTAGTTAAACAAATTCTTTAGGTTTAAGTGTGTGTATTAATTAATATTATTATTCATATAGGTTGTTGACTGGGGAGTAAATGGTTCTAGGTGATGAATGCAGGTGGTAGAAAGGATGATTATAAAGACAGTGCTAAAGATGGAAGATGTGAAAATGAAGAAAGTGAAATAAGCTTTTTAAGGGAGTAATTAATGTGGTGGATCTTTTCTACTTTTGTAAGATGACCCTTATTCATTTTAAACCCACAGTATTGGGAGGGTGTATGTCTGCTCTTGATTCTAGCCCTCATGCAGGAAAAGGTTTACAACATTGGAGAAAAAAATACTTGTTGTAAATACAGTTGTTGTTCATTTTTTTCATAAGACAATAGGTGCCAGTACATACCCTCCCCCCCCTCCCTGAAATTGAGTGATAAAATTTATGCGTTGGATTAAATCTCAGTTATGTTGTGGGAATACTACTGGTGACCCTGTACAAGACTCGCTGAAATTGAAGAGCAACTGAGAATTACTTTGAACTATTAAGAATGCCATATTACATCCTAACGGGAGGGAATTGATTGATTTAATGTGTTTGGGAGATGGAGTTAATATTGTGTCATAACTGCAATAAGAAATACTTTCAGCAATGTTCATCAGGTTTGACTACGTTAGTGTCCCTATACATACATACATACATACATACATACGCTGGTTGATCAGGACATTTTGGTGTGTTGTGATACAAACCATCGATTTGTTTTGTTAAATTTGAAATGTGTTGGTCACTGGTAGTAAGATACTGTAACGCTAATTTATGTTTTGTTATCAGGCCGGTGGAGGCTGGGAGTTAGGTGGTGCTCACATCCAGCAATCATTTAGTGGTGAAGGTGGAGATTTGTCTGATGGTGAAGGAGAGGATGCTGAGTCCTTGTTCTCACACATGGATATGCTCTCACCATCCCATCACACTGATGCACAAACTCTAGCACTCATGCTACAAGAGCAGTTGGATGCCATCAACAATGAAATAAGGTATGTGGGAATGACCATTTCAGTAAGGAACATTGAATTTCTTACCTTCATAAGTAAGACTGTACTTCATTATGAAATCTGTCTCTAATACTTAAGTGTATCATGTAATATGCAATAAATTTTTTCATGAGCAGACAGCTTTGATTATGAGCTTGTATTAATATAAGTATGGTGTAGACTGGTTATCCTGGTGAAATTTCCAGGTGACTTGATCTAAATGAAATCAGGTATATATTGTGTACAGAACCCATCCCACATTGTCTTTTATCCCCAACACAGTCCAGAGCAGTTCCAGACTAGAATGAATTTCTCTGAGATGGGCTGTACAGTGTTCTCTATTAACTGGTGGACTGTGTAATACAGTACAGTCAAGGGGCAATAGTTACTCCACGAGCAGTTATGTTAAATCCACTGCACCACTGCCTGTATTTTTACACTGTGTAAGTGGATATTTGTCTAAATTATAGTTTCTAATGATAGGCATTTCTTTTGTAGTGTGTATAGGTATGGTGTTAAGAAACTGTTAAGACTGTTACTGACAGGAGATTGGAGCAGAGTAGATCTGTTAGTGAATACAGGATATTGGAAATATCTGCTGGTTGAGACATGGTTCTATATCCTTGTTTAACTCAGTATATCATCATTTGTGTTCCAGTAGTAGTTGATGTGATGCCAACCTTTTCTGCTTCCTTATAAGGGGTGTGTCTCCCATTGAGTTTCTGTAAGACTTGTATTTCATCTTCCTTGTGGACCGCATCAAATTTTTTTCTCTAGAATTGTAGGAGTTCTTTTTGATATTTTAAGCAAGATTTTCACGTGTTATGTAACTAACCATAACTATTGTTTTTGTTTTGCTCTGTACTTGCCTTACCTGTGTTATTGGTAGCTCATTTCAGCCTGATATTTTTAATTCAAACTTGGATCAATCTTGAGTATTACTTAAATTGTGTTGTTTTAGTGATATTCAGTATACTGTGGCAGCATGGTCTTCCGTGGTATTATTTCATAGTGCAGTGAGTAGCTTCTTTTACCAGAGGTTTTGTCTCCCTGCCAGTGATGGAGTGAGGGAGGTATACCAGTTGTCTCTATCTGTCCATCCATCTGTCTGTCTGACTTTTCATCCTTGTTTCCCTCTAACACTTCTTTATTTATGCAGTAAGTTGAAGAGATGTGTTTGGATATTAATGGGATTTGATACAAAGTAGTCTGTCAGTAAGATGTAGGATTCCATCTGTACTTGATGAAGGTGTGGCACTGTGAAATTGAGAAAGGTGATGATTTTGATTGGTGTAAAAGAAGTGGCATTTCTCTACAGTGCATCTTTATACTGTACACTAATCATCTGGAATTGGGACAGATTCTGCTGTATATTCATGCTTTTGAATTCTTGTCTTGCTCTCTCTGGGGGTAGTACAGTAATCTGGAACCACATTTCTCCCGAGCAGAGATGATGTAATGAGAATATTGCCGTAAGTGCCACCTTTTGTCCTTTCATAAAACTAAAATCCTGGACTGTGTTAAGTTAAGAGGATCTGAGTAATGGGGGGTTGTGTTTTGTACATGTTTGTGTGTCTGATTCCATTTTTTCGAGTACTGTATAATGAAAGTTAGTGGAGGAATAACTGAGCTACACTTGGCTATAGATAGACACAGTGGGCACCTCTCAAAATTGAAGCTGTTTGTGTTAGAGAGTAAAGATCTTTTGATGTTTGTGTGTCAGTATAAGTGTGATGAGATATGAAGGACTGTTAGATGTGTCTGGATCAAACTATCATTCTTAAATTTCAACAAGAAATATCAGATTCATATTTACCTGATGCTTCAATGTAATGGCTTGAAACAATATGCATTTGAAGAAGATTATCAGTGTAGTATACCAGTTCTTCTTTCAGTTAATATTTTATGTATGTGAAGAATACTACAGTGTTGAGAGATGTGCCTGTCTAATATATATTGATGAAGATTAGATATAAAATATTTTGGATTTCTCCTTTTACAATCTGCTTGAAATACTTTTGTATTCAGTGCAACAAAGGCTTTAATGAATCACCGTTGATTTGGTTGTTGATTGGTAAAATCAGTTATTAAACTGTTAAGAACAATTAGAATGTTTAGACATTGGAACCACAACTGGCAGGGTTTCCTGCAGATACACTAATCTTAAGTAAGGGATTAGGGTCACCACCAAATATAATTGCAAGGGTCAGGGTTCACATGATCATAATTATGCAGTTATGGCTATTACACCAGTAATAATTAAGGGGTCAGAGCTAACACCAGTTATAATTGAAGAGTCATAACTAACGCCACTTGTAATTGAAGGGTCATAACTAACACCACTTGTAATTGAAAAGTCATAATTAACACCACTTGTAATTGAAAGGTCATAACTAACACCACTTGTAATTGCAGGGCCAGGGCTAACACCCAGTGAAAGTTGAAAGGTCAAGGTTAGCACTAGTTGAAATTAAGGGGTGTAGTTCCAGAATCTTGTTGGGAAAATGGTTAATAATTCATGTGGGTAATTTGAATAAATTTTACTAATTGTGTGTCACTCTAATGTTGTCGGTTGGTCACTGAGACTGTAGGCTTTTTTTTTGTCTGTTGATATTGAGTTGGGTGCTTGATGTTTGATTTTCTTTATGTTGCTCTATAGTTTATCATTTGGTCTTCCTCTCATGCAGCGACCTTATGGGGGGGACAAGAGGTTCTGTGGGAGGGACAGAGGCTTATTGGGGAATGATCTCTCCCCATCCCCCCCCATCGTGGGAAACCCTGCCTGAACAGCAAAGCAGGTGCATGACAAGTTGAATTAGAATATCAAAATATCAAATGTGTGAGCTTGATATGTGTGCCAATTAAAGCATAGTTTAAAATATTTCCAACCCATGGATGTTTTTCTGACGGTAATAATTGTACAGTATTACAGCTAGTCTTGTGCCAATATTTGGATCAGATTATCCCTTTATATGATGTCCAAGATACTGACAGATCATTTTACGTTCAGATTAATTCAGGAAGAGAAACAAACAACAGAGGCACGGGCAGAAGAGTTAGAATCTCGAGTGGGTAGCGTAGAGCACATGATGTTACGGGGGCGTTCCCTAGAACGTCCTTCTCCACCAATATCTGGTCGATCTACCCCTAAGTCCCACCATTCACCATCTCGAGACTACCTGCAAAAGTACCACACTGTGAGTGACCATCACCTCCTAACGTGTTTCAGGTGTAGGTAAGGATGTCTTACTCAGAAAGGAATGAGGTTGTTTGACTACTTTTGGTGTAAAGTTGAATATCATATGAATAAGGTTATTTTGTGGTATACAATGGTATGTTGTCATTTGTATTTTATGTTTTTATTCTTTAAGAAACAATCTCATTGTGTGAGGTAAAGACATCCATCTCTGCAAGTTAGTGCCTGGATGCGTATTCCTTTTTAGAATATAGCATTCATGCATGACTTTTCATAAAAGGAATCATTTTTAGTGTACCAAAACAGTGTTATTATGTCTTTCAGGGGGTAGTTTTTAATCCTAAGCACTTTGCTCTTGGCAGCATCACCTGTAATTTCTATGTCTTCAGTGCACAAAGTATAGAGGCATGCAGCTATTTCAAGAGGGATATTGACCAAAGTGCATAAAAGATCCATATATGGACCCCCACACTTGTAACTTATTTCCAGTAATATTGCCTTCTGTGGTCACCTTCTACTCAATAGTGGAATATCAAATTTTCCAAAGCAATAGTGAGGTTTTTAACCACTGTTGCTTGATGATAGTTTCAAGAAGTGCTACTACTTGTCCTCTGGTCATAACCCACATTTTCTTGGCAACAATCACATGCAGTAAATGTGCCCTATATAATTTTTCCAAGTACATAAAATCACATGAATAATTCTTTCCTTGATTTCATTGTGATGGGAAATGCCGTAAAAGTTGGTGTCCTTAAATAAGAAGTAAGATGAAAACACCAGCTCAGTTTCCTCCAAAATCCTTCTAGTTTAGATTTTCCTTTACTTGCATGAAGCAGTTTCATAGAAAGCACTACTCTTCTCTTCGGTGGTTATGTTATGGCTTTTGTATATTGTAATATTTTGTTGTGTTTCATGGAGATACATATTTGCTAAATTTTCCATGCTGAGGATGTTAATGGCATCATGCCACTTCGGAACAATACATCCTACACACTATTCTGTCTTTCTTGGAAGAGTTTTATTTTATAATTTGAGTACGACAATGTACAGTATATTTATTCTTTCCTATATGTTTTGGTTTCTCTACAGCATTCTGAGACATACTTATCTTCTCTGCAGTGAAAAATTTGTCTCTTGTTTTGTAAGGTTTATGTTTGAACTTAGGACTAATGGTTATTTTTCCATAACTCACACTTCTCTTGTTTGGAAGGATATTGAGCTGTGCACTAAACATTGTATAGATGCACTCACCCTCAAGTCATGAACCTCCCACACGACTTTCTTGCAATGCAAATATTCCTTTGGAGATGTGGCATCACTTCTTGGGATTTCTTATGGTGTTGGTGTTTTGATAGGCCCCGGCTGGCATGTCTCCTTCCCATATGTACCAGTACATGAATGATCGACGGCTCTCGGGGGGATCTCTGCCCGGCTCCCAGGTAAATGACATGCCCCAGCCCACCCACAGTGCCCCAATCTTTCAACCCTCTGTCAGATCATGACCAACTCAGATTGGTGCCTTTCTCCTATCACATTGCATATCTTGCACCTGCAATCAAACTTTCACTTTTTAGGCTGAATTTAACTTTGTTTGCTCATCTTGCACAGAGTAGTCTATGTCTCCTAACTGCACTCTTTCCTTTCATTTTCATCTGATGACTGCAGGTATTGCTGTAATATTGGCGAATTTGTATGGAATTCATTCAGTGCATTTCACAGTTGTTGAAAGGCTTTTGTAATTATATTGTGCTGCATTGATTTCACTTCTAATATAATAATAATAATGTCACAATAATAAGTGTACTTACATATGTTTATAAAGAAATACAGAAATCTGGGATACTTTCTTGCACATTGGTATTATATTTTACTATTTATTTACTTGTTAATTGGACTTGTGATTATTATTGTTTTCTTGTTTACTGACTCAAGTTTTTCCTTCATATCATTTGTCTCAGTCAAGTGTATAAGTTGATATATTCTCAATAATATTTAATTGATTTTAGAATTCATATTGAGTCTGTCCCATTATTTTGTAGTTAATTTAGCAGATACAGTACAGGCTTTTTATGGTATCTAACAATTTAGTTTTACACTTGTGTTTCGTACAGAGTCGTTCTTGATACTAATAGATCTTAGTTTAAATGACGTCTCGCCAGTTTTGTAAGTTGACCTTTAAAATCCTGATAATCTAAGGTAAGATTTGGCATGGAAATTATATGCTTCTAGATGAATTAGAGCCTAGTTTTTTTTATGTGTAGATCTGATTAGCTTAGATGATTTGCACATGCATTTCTTCTGGTTGTCTTCGAGGACAAAATATTTCATTGATGTTTTCAAGTTAATTCATTTAGAATTCGCTCCTTTTACGAGTGTACTGTTGTGACTTGAGGCCACACCATTTCGAATTTTTTAGACCTTTTTATTTCACTGAATATGATAATTACTTGAAGTTTTATCGCCTTATATCTCTGTTTTTTCAATTGCTTTAAGAACTTTTTATTTTTTTAAGTACTCTTATATCTCACAATGCAAGCAAGCAACTATTTCATTCAAAATTATTAGGAAAATTATTACTCTAATTATCCAAACTTTTAAAACTGCATTATGCCGTTATGGAGATGACAGACAAATTCACGTGTTTCCTTTGTGTATTTCAGTGTTTGTCCATTTATGTTCAAGCAAAATTTGTACCACAGTTATTACCCGTCCTCCTTAATGTGCAATTTCTGCCCTTTTTAATCTTCCAATCATCATTGATCTACACTTTGTTCCCTTTTTTAATCTACATTTTGTCTCCTTTCACTCATGTGCCCCTTTACTCTAAGCTGCCATCCCCTGTGTGGTTTATATTGGCACCTATTTGCACTTCTGTGACTTATACAGCATTATTTTATTCATCCTGTGTTTGAAATATTAGCTTACTAACACCATTATTGCCCAGGGAAGTAGAACCAACCCAGTGTGTGTAAGGCATGACCTCACACTCAATATGTTTCTCATCCTGGTGGCTTTCCTTGGTCTCGTCATCATTAGGGAGATTATGTATAGTAGACAGACTGGACGTTTATCATGTGTCAGGACACCATTTTCTTATTGTTTAGTTTTTATGTCTTAAACATCCTATGTTTTGTCTTTCCATTCTCCTATTCTTATGTCCAACTTTTAAAAATTTAATTTCAGTCACCCTTATTTTTCAGGCAGGGTTTCAGTGACAAGGACACACATATAACATTCACACTCATTCATGCCCAAAGGGGTGATGCTTGATACTGTACAGGCTGCTAGGGTTGCACTGCTCTGGAGGGTCATTTTTTATCTGATTTTCCCCAAAAGTCATTATATTAATCTGTTTTATTTAATTTTTGTTATTATTTCGAGCCGAGTAAGTATTTTTCAACATTAGGTGTTTAATTTCCGGGTTAAAAGACTACAACACAAGTGGCAGATTTCTGATGACAGGTGTAATGTGTCTCCCTCACTTGGAAGACCCATAGGCAGGTAACCTGTCAATTTGGTGTAAGGACTTATGAATCAAGACTTTTTACTCTTTCATTTAAATGGGACTATCACAAGGACCACTACAGTAGATGTGCCCTGGGATCAAACAAGGACTCGGTAGAGTGGTGTGCTGCAGTATGAACCACTATACAACCTATGAGTGAATGTATGAGTCTAGTTTCTAGCTCTTATATAACAGAGGTATTAAATCAACAGTGTTATTCAAAATATGAACATCCATCACAAGAGAATCATTACAAGATCATACTGTTGCTGTTCTTCTAGTTATTTGGGTTAGACATAACTTGTGATGTGTAGCATTTAATGCATCTAAATATTTTCAGACGTCATATAGGTAATATAATTTAAATGGGTCCTTGAATAAAGACATAACTTTATTGCACATAAAAATTGATAAGAGCCGTGCACCCCAATAACAGTAGGTAACCTGTAGTGAGAATCTCCCACCCAACCTGCACTCTGACCTTTATGGAACCTTGTACACACTTGTGAATTTATACAGAATATGATTTTAGTCTTTACCCCTCTCAGCTTATGATCAGACCCACACCTTGATATGTTTTTTCCTCTCTAGGCCTTTATGCCTCTGTTAACTCTAAGAATTTCATAGGGACCTTCAGATCAAGTGTGTCGCCTGTATACCTGACCACCCACAAACCTGCCCTTTCACTCTTTACTTTACATAGACCTTGTTCACAGAGAAGTCTCTTTGTGTCCACTTTTCCCCCACAATGATGTAAAATGATTTGCTATATTAGGTGAACTTTTACCCTGTATTTATTGTAAACCAAAATGGTGGTATGAGCAGTGTGATATGCATATACCATAGTTCTGGTTTGTGGTAAAAAAAATGGGTTAAGGTGATCTTATAGTCTGCTGTTTTACTTGACCAACTCTGTTCTTTTTCTATAAGTTTACAGTTACTTTATATTTTCCCATTATAATAATAAGCTGCATATTTGTGCTTGTTTTATGTTTCAAAACATGATTCTAGATCAGTTTAGGATTATATTTTGTGTTTATTGACTCTTACCTTAAAGCATTTTACTCTTAATTTAAAGAAAATATCACAGGACTTGACTAAGTATTTTTATGAGATATTTGTCACAGGAATGTTTGTGGTCATTTACAGTAGAAACTGAAAGTGAAAATCTCATGCCCTGATGTGTAGCATTTTAAGAACTGGATTATAATCTTTTTATCATGTTTCTATAGGATATATACAGTATATATACTGTGTGTATATATATATATATATATATATATATATATATATATATATATATATATATATATATATATATATATATATATATATATATATATATATATATATATATATATATATATATATATATATACTACTCTGTCTCTTTATTGCTGTTAAAACTTATTTATAATTATGTTCAGTGAGGAAAGTAATTATGTCTGGTTACAGGGTAACTTAGCCAACATGAATAGAGTCGACGGACGTGATGATAGCCAGGTGTCACTGGGGATGCGCGGAGAAGGTTCTCCACCAACTCCGCGTTCTCTGCGACTAGCACCAGGCCCTGCAATGGTCCCCCCCACCAGTCTGGTACCTGGTAGCAATAACCTGGGAGGCCTGGGCGGTGGACCACCATCCCAGTTGGTCAACCTGGCAGCATCCTCTGAAGATCTGAGGAGGTACACTCATGTGCCTGACCACTCACCTGCCTCTGCTCTCACGCCTGCTCTCCAACACCACCCCTACTCACCAGGGTACTGTATATGCTGCACCAACACAACCACGCTCCCCAAAATACTCTCAAGCTCACTAGCTCATACTCACTATCCAAGACATGATATAACAGTTCACTGTGTCCCAGTTTATGGCTCACCAACCATCAGTATCAGTTTGACATTATACAGGCACAGTGTCATAAATACATACATGAAAACTCCAAAACTCAGCCTGACCTGCTGCTCACAAAGTCATGCAGATGGTCCCCTACCATACAGAGGCCTAATTCATTAGTCTTATTAGTCTTTAATGTGCCGTATGTCTTCAAAAAAGACAAGTCCCTTAGTCCATTTGCCAGCCATATCTCCATTCACATTTACTCATGGAGAGACTGTTGAATAAAGCTCATAAAGGAAAATACCAAAAGAGAATTACATAAATTGCATAAAAAATAAATATTGTTAAAGAAAAACTAAGCTTGAGTAAAAGAAATGATATGTTAAACAAAGGTCTTGTCATAGTCAGAAGTGATAGTAAGTGTAGTGAAGATCATTTATTTTGGACTTATGAAAATTAGAAAATAATGAAAAAATTCAACTTGAAATTTTGTCTTATGGTTTGTCATAGGATTTAGTATAGCAGTAACTGGGTTAATGCCATGGTATTACTCCAGAAGCTTGACTGTTATAGCTTCACATTTAGGAATATACTCTATTATCAGAGAAGTTTTACTGATGAATAAGTGATAATGAAAAATATTTTCACTGTTTGGTTTGTTAAAACATTGCAATGGGGCATAAAATTAGAGAGTGAGACAATAGGTAATCGGTAGTTTGTGCTGCCCTTTTATACTTAAATACAAGCCCCATGTCAAGCCCCCTGGGACATGGCACTAATTTTCTACCCTAAGTGTTACTGGTTTATTGTGGGCCATCTCCAGTTCACCAAACTATGAATGGTTACCTTACTTCATACTTAGGAAAGTAAATGGGGCTGATTATGGTGCTGGCAACATTGCCTCCATAGTATTAAGAGTGTTGTATCAACACTGCTCCTAACAGGCCGTCAGACTTATCGGATCCATTTTCAATTTCACCGCCTCTCTGTATCAGAAGAGCGGCCTTCTGAACCTTGAAATGCCAAAAAAGGGACCAGGGACCATCTTTGAGCTTTTCATAGTAAATAACACTATAATCACTTTAATTACAAAACATATTATTGACAAAACTTTCAACTCTGTATAAACATGATTATATAGAAGAAGGGGAGCCTGTTTGTGCTTTGGAGAAGTTGACCCACATGGTTTCAAGTGTCACATTTAAATTAATTCAAACAATTTGTAGTCAGTGTTTGTTGGTTATAGTCACTCACTGTTAAGTCTGAAAGTGGGGCCAACATCTCTCTCCTTTAAGCAACTAACTTTTATTTTAGCTTTGCGGCAGTTGCTACTATTACTAATAAAGAGTCTGACAGTTTTCATTTCTTTTGGTGAATGATTAAACTGATGGTATTCTAGCTTGACTAGGATGCTTATAGCCAGCAGCTTAAAGACTCTGTTCTCTCTCTGTCAATAACTTTTTGCCTATAAACTACAGTTGCCATGCCTGTTACTGCTTTGTGTGTGCTTTTGTTTTATAAATGGAGAAACTCTTATTATTAACTGGATGTTCTCTTTTAAAAGTGTTTTACAGTATACATGTATCTGCAATTAACCGTGGAGTGTGAATTGACAACAGAGTGAGAACATTACTTGTATGAGGAATATTTGAGGACGACTTCTTGTGTGGCTTTAGCTCTATCTGTGATTACTTTGCCTGCTATTATTTCCATGTTTTTCAGTCTTATTGTAGTTGTGTGTAATGCTATCATAGTCTGATTAATTAATTTCTTGAGAGATAGAATAATAAAAAGGAAGTTTTTTCTCCTTGTGGCCTCCTTACAGGAGTTTTCTTCAGTGATCTCAAAGATTTTCAAACTTTTCTTTCAAATAATAATCAGTACTATCACTTTCTTTATATATATTTTCTATTTTTAGATCTGTCATTCTTCTTACATGTTTTCTGTATCTTATGTGGCCTATTCCTTTACTTTTGTGTGTACACCTTTAGGATTTAAGAAGACCTGGTAAATTCAACATATTGGTTTGGTTTTCATATCTGTGTGGTTAGTGAACATAACATAGTATCATGTGTTTTATGGGGCTATACAAGCTGTTGATGGGTGATACAGGGTTAAATAAAACTATAGGTAGGTATGTAGTCCTTGGATTACTTCAGGGAGTTTCAACCCTGCCTCGCCACTGTTCCCACCATGTGGGTTGGTGTTAGAAAGGGCATCTGACCATTAAAATCTGCTTCAACATACCTGATGGTAATCAGGTCACCGGAACTGTACCCATCTCCTGGTGTCTACTGGTTTTTCTGGACAGGCATCTTGGGTTTGCAGTGATTAGCATGGGGAAGTGTAGAGCATCCTATTCTGGTTTTACCCAACAGCTGCCATCAAGTAATACAGATAACCCACACAAGCATGGGAAATAGCAATAAAATGTTGACAGTGATGATGTATATATGAAATATATCTTGGGCAGTGTTGTGGATGGGGAATGCCTCAGCAGATCATGTTAGTTACAGCAGTAAAAGAGACTTTGTGGGGGGAGTCAGTGTTACTTTTTAATTTTGCTACCTTCTGTTGTAACAGGGAAGAACTTGCAAGAGTTAAAAAAAAATAAGAGGTATGAGTAAATTGTAAGGATTATCTGAGCAGGTACACTCAAGGCAAAGAAGGAGAAGAAATTTATCACATAAAGATTAGCTTTCCGAGCTTATTTCCCTAAGGTTAACTACCCTAATGCTAACCTAACCTAATCCCAGTAGCATTAGGGTGTACAATGATGTGCTGAAATAAGCTGGGGGCTAATAATCATGAGATCCAGAAAATTACAGGGAAATGGAAAGAAGTTCAGGGAAGCAGAATAGAAGAGATTGGAAACTGAGTAGATTAGAAATTTTGAGAGAACATGGTTAGAACTGGGTAAAGGCCTAGGTGAATGGTTTGGGGTTGAATTTAAGGTAATTTAAAATTGAAGTTACTGTAGAGTAAAAGAGGTATTAATGATGTTCCTCTGGGTGTTTGATGTCATCAAGGAGAACTGTAGTTAGAGAAATGTCAGGAAGGAGGATTATATACAGATTTGTACAAAGACGAGGATTTCTGAACATATCTCGGTACTTTTTCTCATGTTGGATAGTGGTAGACTGTGTGTTGATTATCAATAGTTAGATACAAGAAGCTTTGAAGGGTTGTTTAGTGTTTGATAATGTGTAGCAGACCACCAGGTGATTGTTTAAGAAACACTGTACAGTATAGGTAAGGTAGATCAACTCTTGAGTATTGTTCCCTTTGGTTGCTGAGGCCAGTGTGCCATCAACATAATTCTTCCTTTTCATCCACAGTAGTGCTTCCATAATAAGCTGGTGCCAGCCAATTTACTCTTGGAAGTGTTTTTATATGTGTATCAGGTTAACTTACCCTCATATTTTTGTATCATAATTGTAGTTTACCCTATTTGTTGGAAAGTCTTTCATAGTGTGTTGTGTGAGAGATAAACCTGTGTATGTAAGTCTTTGGTAAGAAGTCTTTAAGTGTCATTGTCAAGTTTCTCAGTTTCTCACAGTAGAATTTGTTAAAATAAACCATAGCTTATGTTATGGTAATGTTTGTTAGAAGTGATCTAAAATATTCATGTTTTCAATATAATTTGTAAATCATGAATTTTGCTGTACCATCACTGCAAATGCAGTATGGACTTGTTGATTTGCTCTTGCCCATCTGTTCATTCTGTCAACCACACAGAATATTGTAATTCGTTATGCATATACAGTACATACCACTTCATGATACAGTAAATCATGCCCAGTCTATAATTTGCTAGCCTGAGGCATTATTCAGCTGAGCTTGGAATTATGTGTTCACTGACCAGGTGATAACATAGATTTGTCTCTTCCTTTTTCCTTTACAGTATTTCAAGAGATATTTATAAACACTTTTAAAGTTTCTGGAACAAGCTGTTTAAAATATATGAATATCCTAAGTGAAAGATTAATTTGACTGACTTCTTCATGGGAATATCAAACACAGGATTGTCAACTCTATACTATAACCATTTCTACTTCTTCATGCTGTTGAACCATTCCTCAGTAACAGTAAAAGTCCACATACAGTTCAAAAGTGAGTGAAAGGTACAAGAAAAAATAGAGGATAGAGTTAGAAATAGAAATATGGAAGTTACCATATTATTAGGAGTGATGCTAATGGGTAAGTGATGGAGAATATGGAGAGTACCAACGTGGAGATGGGTGTGGAGAGAGTGGAGAAAAATTATATAGCCCTTTAGGATAAAATTAGGTACAATTTTAATAACGGTTGTAATTGTAGTACACATCAAAGGCTAATTGGAATAGTAGAGTGTGTTAATGAGATATGAAATGAACACCTATGATTGTGGTTGATTTTCAAAGTTAGTGTGTTTAGAGCTAAGTCATGTGTGGCTTTGGATGGTACAGAGGAAGAGACTGGATGGTATGGTCATTTAATTGGTACCTATATTATATTGGGAGGATGTTTCATGATTATTAATGGATTTGCAAGTATTGTTAGCACTGGAAAATTTAACTTGTGATAAATTTTATGATGTTTGTTGCATATGTGTGGATGCTCATGTGTGTATACTAACATCTGTGCACTTGTGTATGTGTGTAGGTATATGTGTATAGGGGTGTGTGTGTGTGTGCATTTTTAGTGGATGAATGAACATTTATGAGCTTTTGAACATGCATAAGTTATGCATGCTTGTGTGCATGCTTTTTAATATCACTTGCATTTAGGAGAATCCAGCTTATTCCTGATGTTTCCACTACTAACCCACTGGTGGGCTGGTATCTCCACAGACCCAGTGTTGCCACCCCTGGTCAGGCCTACAACCCATCAAACTGCAGCCTTCTCTCCAGCCCCATGCTCAGGTTATTCATTAGTCTGTGGTCACCCTACCCACACTCACCCTCATGTACCCATGTGCCAACAAGCACCAAACACTGTGCCACATTTGACTTCATGCCTTACCCATTGCACCAACATATCCGGTCACCTTGTTCTCAGACCGAAACATTATGTTAGCAGTAGTTCACATCCTGTAGGTACTGTAGCACCTGTTGTAAATCATGTTAGTCCTGTAGTGGTAGTTTACCCACCCAATCACTAGCACTTAAATGTTACCAACACTGTAGACGGTTGTGTTATTGTAGTGGTAGTTGAACAGGCACCTTACTGTCAACTGTTGACTACTACTTGTTTATGTCTGGTCCCCCTCTGCACTTGGTAAAATTTGCTCTGTAAATTTTTATCCGAGTTTGGAGTTACTACTTCTTATAAGTCCTCACAACAATTAACGTAGCATTCAAAGTATTTTAATAAATTAGAAGAGAAATATAGTCATTGAACTTTTAATATTAAAAAATTCCTTAAGTGTAATATTCTTAGGTAATATTTGTTCTAATAATTAGTATTTTGATTTGTAACCTAATGTTCACTGTAAAGTGGCTCAAGTAGTGCACACACCAAGCCTTCAAGTTGAGAGCCATGAGGCTATGACATTGGTGGCTGAGAACTAACTTGATGACCAGTTTATTTCCCTGTTGCAACCATTACCCTTAAAATACAGAGATTAGAGACAGAATTCAGCATTTACAGCAGGAGGTGTGCAGAGTTGTGGTGTCACACAAGCATATCCAGTCCACACTGTGCCATTCAGTTGTCAGGAATGACCATATTGGATTCCACTTGTAATTCCCATTAAATTTCTGGCCACCCTTCACCTGTTTGCCAGCATCATCTCCAGTTTTTGGAGCCACAGACCCATCATTCCTTGTAGTATCTGGAACCATGCACTCTTGGATAGTAGAACTGCCATAAAGCTTTTGTCTTTATGTGTTTCAGAGTTTGAATGATGCCACTCATTCCCAGGTGCCAAGTTAGTTTTTGGACATATTGGAACCCTAAGGAGATTTAACAGCTGGCTAACACTAGATTGGGTCATTCATTTAAGAAATCAGATTATAATTCTGCTCTCCCATGAAGTTTGAGCTGCCCCCTCTTAATACAATGTCTGTTATTCCACTGTGGGTTTATTCCTAAGCTTTTTATCCCAGGTAACCCACACCTGGAGGGGATCATTGGGGCACATCCCCTATTTACTGTAATTACTCCTATTGCATCATAACAAGGCATTTACTTGTGGCTTTCTTGCATGCATATTACTGTACTATCATCAGTCATTCAACAGGGGACCTAATCATTGGCCAAGACTTTCATCAGTAGGTACCTCCATGAGAAAGAGCCACCAGTGGACTGCTTAGTGCTAAGGAGTTTGTAGGTCAGTATCCTTGTGAACTTATACTTTTCTTGGTAGATGGGTGTATTCCCCTTTTCGATTTGTACCACATTAGCAATTGGAATATTAATAGTACCACCTATTTTCTGGCTAGCTTCAGTTACATGAGTTCCCTGTAAATCCTATTTATAAAGAAGCCCACAGCTAGGCAGCCTTGATACCTTCTATTCTCCCATTGGGTCATGAAATTTTGGCCAGAACTAAATTATGGAGCATATGGAATCCAAAGGCAATATCTGAAAACTGAATAGCTCAGCTTGGTAGATATCTGGCTTTAAATGGCTAGTTTTGCTTCTACTCAGCCCCCTTCTTATGGGTGATGGATGAACTCATCTTCAGGTTGGTTCCCAGTCACCCATGTCACAACCTGAATGATTAGCATATGCATTACACGAGCCACCTAGTTCATAGGATATTAGGATCAATTTACTATTTATAATTAAAGAAATTAGGTTGCTTATATCAGTACTGTATACACATTTTGATGAAAAGTAGAAGTAGGGATGGATGAAAACATAAGAGAAAGGCAACTAGAGGAGAAGAATAAATGAGATAAAGATATAAATGGGAATATGACAGTGGTTGAAGGATGGTATGTAGATTAAGAAATACTGTATGATGAATAACCAAGTTATGTGTGAATGTGAGAGGCCTACCTGCTACCTCTTCTGTGTCTGTGTCAAAGTTTGTTTAGCAGACAAAGACGAGCCTATCGGGAAACTATTATTAATACATGTAGTATTTTTTAAGTCTCTACCATTTTTAGTGGAAGGGGCATAGAATCTTTTCCCTCTCTGTCCATCTTAATTCTTTTCTTTCTAATAATTTAAGAGGCCATACAGATCATTAGTAAATTTGGTGTACAACTTTATGTCATTGATGTCTAGTTTGAAAATACTGTATGGATTTTCCCTACATAGTTACCAAACAGTTATGGTCCCTGTTTGACTTTATAACTTTGGTGAGGACAGACAGCATCCTCAGTAATTTACTAGTTTAATGTAAATCTTTGTTGATTCTCACCCTGACAACTGGTTCTCTTTAATTGTACAGTAGTTAGTACCGTATCATTCATGTGATCATTCTTCATCACATATACAGTTTCATTGTTTTTTATCTTCCATCTACTACTACCAAAAACTTGACTTGGCTTTGATGCATGACACACCCCCAAGCTTCAGTCCCAGCTAAGTACTGTGTACCTTCAATGTGCTGTGCTTGTACAGAATATTATGACAGTAGTATAAAGCCTTCATAATGATTTAAGAGTTTTAGAAGAATTTCATTTAATTACTGTCACAAATACACTTCATATTATAATTTAGAGAAACTATTAAGAATTTACACTTTAGTTTAATTGGTAAAAGAAGGTGTGTACAGAAAACTGGAGTAAAGTGAAACATTTGCTGTCATGAATATACACTTGTTTATACGGTAAATGATGTACTGTACAATGTAGGGGCACCATGACTCTAGTATAGTAACCTTCTGGACTCGGCCAATAAGATGAGTTTGAGCTTGTAGCCAAATGGATTTAGTGAAATGTTTATGTCTTTTAATATACAGAACTGGTCACTCTGTTATGAAGAAGCCTTAAACTAGTTAATGCTTCTCATTTGGGACACACCAACTTAAAGATCTATGGATGAGGTCAAGTAAAGACTCACACAAGACTGTACTCCAGTTTTCTCCATCATTGGTATAATATTATACCTTGAAAGAAATGCCAATGATTTTTTCTTCTCAACTAGTCTATGTTTTACAGGTCATCAACTTCTTGTAAAATGCTTCATTTACATTTCAGAAGAATCTGGGTACTTAATTTGTCTATTAAGACATATTAGAGATTTACAAATATGAAATTTATATGAAAGTAGCATCTATGTAATTACTGCATTTATCAAATATCTGGGGTTGGGTGTGTCAGCAGATACAAAGATGAGTGATGAATTAAACTGCAAAGTAGGGGAAGAGAAGAAGGTCATGGATTGATTAAGAAATATTTGTAGAGAGAGAACTGGATCAGGGGAAGTAAAGACAGGGATGTACAGTACTGGGGAATAGTTGAGCCGGTATAGATGTGTGATTTGGACTCTGGATACAAGAAGAATGAGCAAATTATAAGTGAGAGGAATGACATACAGAACTTGAGAGTAAATATAGACAAAATAGGATACATAGACGAAATTACAGAATTAAGGACACTTGGAAGTGAAAGAATTATTGGGTAGAAATGGGAATTTGGCCTTAGCTGGTATGAACATGTTGACAGAGTGGGAAAGTAAAGATTGGTAAAAAGAAAAAAGAATTGTTCAGAGATACAGTAGATTATAATGGTGAGAAGGAAAGACCAAGGAGATGAGGGATGAGAGGGAAAGATCAAGAAGGAAATGGAGGGATGAGAGGGAAAAACAAAGGAGATGGAGGGATGAGAGGAAAACACCAAGAAGGAGGTGAAGAGATGAGAAGAATAATGTACTAGAAGTAAGGATGATGGGCAGGCAGGAAGAAGTAACATTTATGAATAAATGGAGAGTAAATGATTGAGTGACGCTTAAAAAATATTATGCTGCTGCTGTGAAGTGATGGAGGAACAAAATTTGAGGTCTTGTTATGAAATGGGCATACCATAGCTAGACAGAAACAGGAATAAAAATGAATAAATGACAATTAATGATGGGAGAATGTGTGTATTTGCTCATGTTTTTTACCACTTTGCATTAAAGAAAACAAAGTTGCTTAAAAAAAGATGTATTCTTTGTACACTTATTAAAATTCCCCTTAAAATGTACAATACAGGCATATAGGTAAATAAAATAGCTGTTTATATATACTGTACAGTATTTACAGCTCAAAACAGATACTGTACAACAATTTGAGCTTCACAACCTAAATCTGTTGAAGAAGATAGTTTATATGTAACACTTATATACTGTACCTGGGTTAATCTTTGTCCTTGTTATTACAGAATTTCACAGTACAGTAGTTTGCACAAATACCTGTTAATACTGCATTTAGATGATATTTTTAAGACTGATGAAAACTTGTTCTCACGCTGCAGGTAAAGTCTTCAGATTGGTTAGTTAGAGAGAAATTTATTTGATGAGGACAAACTATTAACTTACCCTGAAAGGCATGGTCAATATTTCATCATGTTCTATACTCACTGGTGTACACTGGCAGGATACACCACACACGCTCTCACAGGTATATGTTGGTAATGATATGAAAAAATAAAATGCAAATACCCTGTATGGCAGTCACTTTAGAATAATCATGTCTTTAGGGGAACAGAAACATTCTCTGTTTTCATGAAGATGTTGGTTTATGAGAGCTCCCGGGACATTAGTTTTTTTTTTCCGGTACGTACAACTTGATGGGTTTTGTGCAGCCACTGTGATTTATTTGCTTTAATGAACAATATCTGATTTAGAAAAGATAATTGTATATCACATACTTCCCATCATATGTCATCACTCATACCTTACTTGGACATACAGTAAGTACAGTGTTAGTGGAGTAACAACTTAGACACCACAGCTGAAAATTCGGATCAGGTTATTTTCATACATACCACATCTTTTCGTTTACATCAGTCAGGAGAATAATTATACTATGATGTAGAGGAGTTCATACAATTTGTTGGTACTATAGGTAATGGCAAACAATTTGGTTTTCATTTAAGAGGTCAGTGGCTCAGGTGATAGGGTTCAAGGTTGGTTGGGTGTTATTCTTGTGTGGTATGTGCTGAGTTGGCCACCAGTCACATTAATATCCAGGGCTAAGCTTACAGAATGTGGGAAACAGCACAAAGAATGTTAGATTAAATATCTTACCGTATTTTCATGGGGATGATTTCTGAAGTCTACAAAGGATGCCCATAAAGAATTATATTATAGAAATGTATTAATGACCTACCCTGAAATTATAACAAATTCAACCAACATATAAGGAAAATGTGTCATAATGTTGAATTACAGTATTTCACTCTTTTCTGAATATAAATTATATATATATATATATATATATATATATATATATATATATATATATATATATATATATATATATATATATATATATTATATATATATATATATATATATTTTTTTTTTTTTTTTTTTTTTTAATTTCTAAGTTGATATGTTAAGTACAAAAGGGCAAATAATGTAGATAAGAATAAATTTTTAACTGTAATAATTATAGATGGAAATTCTACCCCACTTTTGAATTGGGAAAAGATTTGCACAATAAAGATGACTAGTATTTATGAGCATTAGTGATTTACCACATTCATATAAGAGTAATAGTGACAACTGATTCACTTGGGTGAAGGCTACACCAACAGGTAAAGAATTTCAGACTTAGAGGTGTGGAGGTGTTCAGTGCCGGAGATGTTCTATTTAGGTTCAGATTCAATAATCTCAAATCAGAAGTATAATGACAAGTGGAGAGTCAGGTATAAACTACAGGTTCTGTAATTCTCTCGTACATGTGGCTCTTCGTAAGTGACTGTGATGAAAAGGTCTCGGAGACTTACATAGATAGAGTGATAGATAGTGCAAAGCTGGCGTCTGTGCATCTTGTAATAGTTATCCGTACTTGCATGTCAAGTTAGTTATAGCAAATGTTGAGTTACCTTGGAAGCATTGCTAATATGGCGGAAAGGAATTGGCTTTCTCACTCTGAATGTTTATTATTATTATTTTTTTCATACTGCAGTCTCTCTGGTTATCCAAACAGTTTGTACCTACTTTCCAGCTACTGCCTAAAGCTGTCGTCTCACCCCCCTTTGTTCTGTCATACTATGCCAAAAATTTTGATATATTTTATTTATATTTTCATTTTGTCATAATTTGTATGTTTTGTACTTGTGTTTGCCTGTCATTCTGTGTGTGTGTGTGTGTGTGCATGTATTAGTGTCACTATTTTTTTGTTCTAATCCATTGAGGTATAATTTTAGAAATTTAGGCATAGATTATTAGTGTGGGTAATACCTCATTTTTTTATAGAAAAAGTAAGCATTTAAAGATAAATTAAAGAGGAGATAAATTCTATAGTGAGAATGTTTTGAACACACTTTACTTGTTTAAATAAACTTTAATTATTTCATGAACATACTTGCTTAACAACTTAGAGAATGTAATAACTGATGAGTGATACCATGATGTCCCAGAATTTTAACTCCTCTTTGGTTCATCTAACTTAGCATCTACATGTAGTGAAACAGTGCGGTCCTGTACATTAGACACATCGGACACAGTCATCTATGGAAGTAGGACTTTGATGGGGAAGCAATTGTTCCTTGTTGGGTGTAAAAGTTTTTTCTTGAGTCACATTCACAGTTCACTAATATTTGATGGTGATGGTTTATGGTATTAATCTCCAACTCCAGATGACTACCTCTCCACCTTGCTGTTGTGTGAACTGCTTCTTCTTAGTTAATTTATTATACCTTCCTGCTTCTACTTTCTGCCTGTTGTATATTTACTAATACAATATTCTTTTATGTTTGACAAATTTTCCATTTATTCTGCCATGGTTTGTTAATAGTTGCCTCAATTAGAGGATACCCTTACCTACAGTATATACAGAAGTGTTTTGCTAATGTTTTGAATATTGATGGATCCTTAGGATGAAGGTGACAAATTGTTTAGAGAAGTTTTTGCATGAATTACAATGCTTCAAAAACAAGATATTCCTTTTTTGTTATATTCAGATAATACTAATAGATGAGCAACTAGAATTATCTGAAGATTTTTGTGGCTAAGCAAAACTTGTGTGCTTGCTTACCTGCTGATTTTAATTCCTTAATTTTAATATCTAGTGAACCATGCATCTGCAAATGCTTTTATGTTCAAGTTATTCTTTTTTAAGTTGCACTGACGGTGTTGTATGTCAGGATGCACCATGGTCATAATATAAGGTTGGGGTGTTACATTGATTTACCATACTGAACATGCCTTTTGTGGGGACTCCAGAGGTGCAGGTGGTGAGTCCTCTCACTCTACACCTTCCCCCCTCTCTTCCCACCACAGTAGTCAAGACTCCCTTCACAAGAGTGTCATCAATCAACCCAAGAAAAAGGGAATCAAGTCATCTATAGGACGTTTCTTCAGTAAAAAGGATAAGGTTTGTCAGAGTATCTTTTTGTATTTAGTAAAATATAGTGGTAGTGTTGGTGTGATGATTCATATTACCTGTGATGAAATATATTACAGTACTCTGTATTAGTATATATTAATATATTATAATATGGTTAAAATTATCTTGATAGCTTTTCTAGTATAATTGGAGGAAAAATAGATTTTACCATAAGAAATTTAACATGTAGGAAGTTATATACAGAGGAGAATATACAGTAATTGAATTTTCTCTATGCAGTATAAGATATTTCAGTATGTTAATAACACTATGTACTGTAGTTTCTTCCTAATTGAACAATATTATATAAAATTTTTATGCCGTTTCAATTATCCCTTGATTGAAAATTAGTGAGATGTCTTAATGTTGCTCCCCATCATTGTTTTCCATTCATTTCTATCAAATGTGTTTAGCCACTTATAACTTCACATAGACTCACTGGATTGATTGAACTTTTGTTGAGAAGGATCTTCATGATAAGAACTTCCATGAGATTATTGGACTTGTTGCCGACTGAGTTGTTTTGGAGTTCGTTCTATTTTTCAATCTCCGGGGGATGTACCATTTCTGTTGGGTTTCATATCTTATACTAATTGTCATGAAAAATTAGCAAATTGCCAGTTGACATAATATATCTGCTGTATGAGTATAGAGATTAATATTTTTGTAGCTCCTTCAGAGGATAATAGTACAGTATAATAATATTTCCTGATGAGGTCGAGAGGAGCAGAAGTACATTCAGGGTCTGTTGAAGCTCATCAGGCAAGATATAGTAGTTAGTCAATTGTGTTTAGTCATTTTCTAGCTTAAATCCGTTTTAAAATTATACTCGTATACTACGATATTTTATTTTGTACTACTGAAGCCTGCTGCTCCAAATTTAATCTCTTCAAAGTCAAAATTAAAAAGTTTCCTTGTTGTTTAGAAAATTATTTCTTCATTTTTATTGTGTGTTGTTCCAATCCAGCAAGGGAAAATGAAGGATGCCCTACAACATCCTGGCTCTGGCTTAAGCTCTTCAGGGATCTACAGCGATGGTGACATTGGTTCTTCAGACTCTTTATCCTTAGCTGGACTAGGACAGAAGTCAGAAATCGATAGACGTACCAAAAAGAAGTGAGTCCCGTAATGAGAAATATCTACCTTACTATTTTATCATGTACTTGATTCTGAATATACTATACCTTCCTAAAATATGAATCATATTGAGTTAAAGATAACAGATGTCAAATATGGAAATTATACAGAATGTTTGTTCATTACAGTATACTGGGTAGGTTTAGAATAAAAAGTACTCTATTTGTTAGGTTCTTGTATATGGACAGGAGTCATGTTTGGCCATTTTATTTTTTGTTTCAGTTTACCTGGGTATAGACATGAGCTATTGGCTGAGGCCATGAAAGCTGGAACTCCATTTGCGTTATGGAATGGTCCAACTATAGTGGCGTGGCTAGAGCTCTGGGTTGGCATGCCTGCTTGGTATGTGGCAGCTTGTCGAGCAAATGTCAAATCCGGAGCGATAATGTCTGCTTTGAGTGATGCAGAAATTCAACGTGAGATTGGTATCTCTAATCCATTACACCGCCTGAAATTGCGACTGGCCATCCAGGAAATGGTCTCCTTGACGTCTCCATCAGCACCCAAGACTTCCCGCACTACATTAGCCTTCGGCGATATGAACCACGAGTGGGTTGGTAATGAGTGGTTGCCAGCGTTAGGTCTCCCTCAGTACCGGACAACTTTCATGGAGTGTTTAGTGGATGCAAGAATGCTTGATCATCTCACCAAAAAAGATCTAAGAGGGCAACTGAAAATGGTTGACTCATTTCATAGGTGAGACTTTTTTCTTCATGTTATTGAATATAAAATTGAAAAATTTGTTTTGTTGGAATTAAAGCTCCCCTTTATTGGTATTAGTTGATAGATGGTATTTTAAAGAGAGATAGGCCCAGTAACTTGGGCACAGAGAAAGGCAAGACAAAAACACTTGTGAGGAAGACTTGGTTGAGCTTAGTCAACACAAAGTTTCTCTTGGGAGGGTTTGGTTGAACTTGTTGGAGAATTTTTATATCTACTGTAATTGTAAGTGTCATTTCTTGTGTTTGAGATCAATTAATTACCTATTATAATTTTATCAAAACACTTACTTATTTTGGGTAAAGTATATCTATTTATTTATCTCTCTCTCTCTCTCTCTCTCTCTCTCTCTCTCTCTCTCTCTATCTCTATATATGTATATATATATATATATATATATATATATATATATATATATATATATATATATATATATATATATATATATATATATATATATATATATATATATATATATATATATATATATATATTGCTGTTGATTCAATATAATAGTTGTATACACTCCAATGTAAATTTTGCCTCATCGTGTTAACTTTCCCACAGAACATCACTTCAATTTGGTATCACTGCGCTGAAGAAAGTCAATTATGACCGCGTGGCTCTAGAGGATCGGAGACGAGTGTGCGAAGAAGAGAATGTAGATGTTTTAGTATGGACCAATGATCGCGTTATAAAGTGGATTACTTTCATAGGTCTCAAGGTGAGTAAATAAAAGCCATGATATCATATTTACCTATTGTTTGTTTGTGTGTCTTGTATAGAGATGTTGTTATCTCTGTGTGAAGAAGATATAGCTTGTCCATTTCTTAAAGTTATGCAGATAAAGAAAAAACCTGTTGAAATATTGATCCGGGTATAAAATACAAAAAAAAGAGATACCGTAAGTAGTATTGTAAGTAATGCATTGCCATAATTTTATTGTACACTTCAAAAAATGGAATCAGATTGTGAAATATAATTGGATGGGAAAGAAAGTTCAAACTGCTCCAGTACTGTATTATAACAAGGTAGGAAGGGGTTAAGGAAATACTGTACAGTACTAGAAGTGAGGAGACGTACTTCCAGGAAATATCAGAGCTTGTGAGTGATAGGAAAACATGGCATCTGGTGGTGTATGGAGGATGTCTGTAAGAAGAATGTAAATAGGGAGGATGTCAAATATGGAGGATATCAAATATGGAGGATGTCAATATGGAAGAAATCAGCAAGAAGGATATCAATAGGGAGGTTGTCAAGCCGGGGAGAATGACTGAAAGTATTTTTGCTCCTGTATTCAGCCATTTTGTACTGTATGTCAGCATCTACAATATGTACAATTGACCTACGTATTCACCATTACTGTCAAGAGTTATGAGGCGTCTCCTGGTGTGAATCTGCGTCTCCCTGGGTATATAATTCAACATAGGCATACCAAAGGGGGGTTGGTGAGGCTGTCACCCCCTCCCCTTGAGCTAATGAATTGTTCCAAGTAAACTAATTTTAACAATAAGAAAAGAAAGAATAATAACAAGAATGAAATAAATAAAAATAATAGCATCACAAATTGAACAGTGTTGTGTGTGGATAAATGTGGACTGCAGGTAGGTACGTCGTATTGCAATTAAGGATCCTCACGATGGTTTAGGTGGAATGGTTTATATTGCCATAGTTGAGCAGGTTCCAAGACAAGGATGGGATAAAACACCTCACTTTTAACCAAGCATACACTGAACTCAACATTATGACAACACATAATTTTGAACATACCATTTAACAGAAACAAAATGGGAAAAATAAAGTCTTGAGTAGAAGTGCCAACAGCCACTCCCCAGCACATCCACGTCTCATTGGGTAGTCATCTGGCTCTTCAGTCGGCTCCTCCCGACTCGATTTTCCTCTCTGGCAGTCGTCAGGCCCATCCACCAGGCCATCAAAGACATGCACTTCTCCAGGACAGCCTTAACTACTCTGACCACTTTCTGGGGGACAGCAACATCACTCAAGTCTGGTAATATCTGCACCCCACCATGGGTTCCTCCACATGGTGTAGTCTCTCTGTGCCCTCAGTATATGAAGTGGTGACAGCAAGGCTCTTCTGCACAGCAGATAATCCGACTGTGTCTACCTCGGGTCCAGCTGCTCTGATCGGTCTGCACAGGACGAGTGGCTGTCTGCTTCTCCCTCACACTGCGTTGACCTCGTGAAAACGACTTTGTTGCTGCATTTGTGGCGAAACAGATTCGAATTAGGATTTGAGAACCTGACCTAAAACCCCAAGTACCGAATGGGACCCCAGTAGTTTTACCATGTTTTTCATTAATATGAAGAACGGTAATTTCATCATGAACTTGTTAAAAAGTATAAATTTTCTCGTATTTCAACCTTAACAAATTTCTGGGTATGCCACTGTAATTCAATGAGGTTTCTTTTGTTTTTCAGGAATATGCAAATAATCTCATAGAATCGGGAGTTCATGGTGCACTAGTAGCATTGGATGAGAGCTTTGACTACAACGCTTTGGCTCTTGCATTACAAATTCCTACACAAAACACTCAGGTGAGGCTTTATATATATTATATTACCGTATGTCAAAATATAAAAATATGACATTGTGAGGATAGTGAATAATATATGCTTGTGTGTATATATTTTATACACATGTATTTACTGTACACTCTCAACAAAAACTTCTTGAACACCTGGGCACGATGGATGTGAGAATGAGCAGAATGGGACTTGTCATCTAGGAATGGTTTCAGATTCTTCATTCATCTTTCATATATGCATAGTGCTTATAGAGTTGGAGTGTACAGTGTACATAATGGGTTGAATGATAATTACAGTACAGTACCTGTATAGGAATATTACAAAATAACTCAAGAAAAGATGAACATGTTAGAAGGCTCATAGTACAGTATTAGCAGTCCAGAAATACACTCATATGTGAACCATTATTATTTTGATTAATATATCTTGACTTTATGAGCATATAATGACTTAACCCTTGAATATGTTACCAAATTCTAAGTATGATGAATTAACCCATAAAGTAATATATCTTAACTTAATAAGTATAATGATCCTTGAGTACAGTGAATAACTTCCTTGATTATACATGTATTATGATATTGTATTTACCAGCAAGTCTTTGTACTTAAGGGATTAGAATTATATAAACATAGTTGGTTAGGATAGCATTAGGGTGTTTAATTATCAAGTTATAGAAGCTCGGGTGTCTAATCTTAAGATGATCTAATTCATTTGTGTGTGGTGTTTATTCCAGTCCCAAGACTCTCCTTCCTCAAAGGACATACTCTAAATGTAAAAGAAATACTACTACAGGAGGGTACTTAGCTGTCACTCGAAACCGAGTATGATGATCATCCAGCTTTGATATAATGATTTGAGTTATTAAGGATGTCACCTAGGTTGTTGAGTTCTGAGGTGACTAAAGAGGCCGATACGGGACTGGCAGGGTCGTTCACAGAAGTTGCATATGTGGAAGGCTACAACTAGTACGAGAGGGGCGGTGGCAATGTCTTTCCGGCGTTGGCGCTTGTGTGCCTCGTTATGCAGTCGGGCTAACTCAAAAGTATTGACACCCTCTTGTATGGTACTCCTCCAAGCATTACAGTGTGAAGTAATCGTCTCCCATGTGAGGGGGTCGATTTGGCACTTTTTCAGGTTTTCCTAAGACTATCCTTATCCCTCTTCAGTTGCCCGCCAGCATTACGTTTACTATTCGTTAGGTGACTGTAAAGTAGCTGCTTTGGCAGTCTACTGTAGTCCATGTGGATAACATGGCCAGTCTAGAATAGTTGTTCATGGATAATGGTATCCTCGATGCTTCTACAGTTGGTGTCAGCAAGAATACTGGCATCTGTTCTCTTGTCTTTCCAGCGAACTCGGAGGATGGAACGTAGACTATGTTGGTGAAAGTTTTCAAGTGCCTTGATGTGCCTCCTGTATGTGACCCGTATCTCGCTGCCATATAGCAGGGTGGGAAGGACCACTGCTCGATATACGTGTAACTTTGTAAATAATTTCAGCTCCCTACAGCTGAAGACACGATTTCGGAGTCTACCAAAGGCTTGAGATGCACATCCGATTTGATGCTGAATCTCTTCATCCATGTCCGTGGTGGTGGACAGGTGGGAGCCGAGATACCGAAAGCGGGTAACACTAGTGAGGGTAGTACCATTAAGCTGGATGGATGGTGGAGGTGTGGCTGAACCAGGGGCAGGCTGAAAGAGAATCCGAGTCTTACGTACATTCACCTCAAGGCCGAAGTGTGCATACACATCTGCACAGGTGTTCAGGATCTCCTGTAGGTCGCATTCAGTGTGAGCGACAAGGGTAAGGTCGTCTACAAAGTTCAGTAATGGAAGCTGCCAACACCTTTGTTCTTGCCTGAAATCGTCTTAAGTTGAAAAGACACCTTCATCCGGTACCGGATGTCCACCTCGCCGGCTAAATTTGCACTGGCACAAGTAAGGAAGGCAGCCAAGAAGATGGAAAAGAGAGTTGGTGCCAGTACACACCCTTGTTTAACCCCTGTTTGGATGGGGAAGAACTCAGATTGGGTGCCATTGTGCAGGACACTGCCGTTCATGCCATCGTGGAGTTGCCTGACAATGGCGATGAATTTTGGTGGGCAGCCAAAACTGCTGAGGGTCCACCAGAGGGTTTCCCTGTTGACTGAGTTGAAGGCCTTGGTTAGGTTGATGAAAGTCATGTACAGGTCAGACGCTGTTCTCTGCACTTTTCCTGTATCTGTCGGGCAGCCAAGATCATGTCAGTGGTGCCACGTGATGGTCTAAAGCCACATTGAGATTCTAGGAGGAAGTTTTCCACCTCAGGAAGAAGTCTGTTTAGAAGGACTCGGGCGATAATCTTGCCAGCTACGGACAGCAGCGAGATCCCACAGTAGTTGCCACAGTCTGACCGGTCTCCCTTGTTCTTATAAATATTGACGATGGAGGCATCTGTAAGAGCTTGGGGGATTTCCTCCTTTTCCCATATATTCTCCAGGAGAGAGTGGAGACAGCTGATAAGCAGAGGTCTTCCTGATTTATACACCTCGGCTGGGATTCCATCAGGCCCTGAGGCTTTGTTATTTTTCATCTGTTTGATGGCAGTAGTTACCTCATCCAATTATGGAGTTACCTTTGGATGAGCGGAGGGGGGGGGCTGCACCATGAGTGATTGGCCCATAAAATGTTTTGGTGGAATTAAAAAAAATTGCTTATCATGTGCTGATCTGCAAATTTTTGTGTTTCACATGCTTTATTTTGAAGCCAGTCAGTCTTCAGATTGTGAAGTTCCTGCTGGGCCACAGCTTTCTTCTTGCGGAAGGTATCAGCTTTGGTCCTAGACTATGGGTTGTTCTGCCAGTCAGTTAAAGCAGCACGTGTTGCTGAGTACATTGTTTGCCCGGTCATTTTCATCAAACCAGTCCTGGTGTATTCTTTCGATCTGGCCGAGGGTCTCTGCAGGTTTTTGTCACGACAGTGTTGAGAATATCCCATTCGGCACTGGTATTTGGGTTGCTCGTTGTCGGGTTGTTTATCAGCCCATGTTCGAGCTGCTCTCTGAAAGCATGTGCTGCCGCTGGATCCTCCAGACTCTTAGTGTTAAAACCTCTTCTAGAGGCTGTAGTAAAAGAAATACACTGTAATGTAAAGCATGTAGTGGTGGCAAAAAGGGATACATCTTGTGCATACAGAGTCTGTTACTCAGTCACTTTAATACCCTGGACTAATCATTTCTCTTTTCATCTGTTAGGTGCTGCCATGCATAAGTTAGAGATATTAAAGATTTTGGTCACAAATTTTATATTTATGACGTGTTAACTTATGTGATATTCTCCATTTTTCAGGCAAGACAATTATTAGATCAGGAATTTCGTAATCTTCTATCAACTGGAACAGATCGAACAGATATCAATAAATCTTGATATGAGGCCCCCACAGCTAAGGATGCTGAAGCTAGACTTGTTTAATGAATCCAAAGAAGAGCAACAGGATGACCAGTGATGGCAGAACCAGTGGTTGTTGAACATGCCCTCAATGCCCCAGCCTCATGTTTACCCAACCCTGCAAGAGTAGTTAACTCCCTCGACTGTTGACTCCATACAGCTAATACTGATTGGTCTAGGGTGTATAATAAGGAAAATTACTCTGGTGATTTATTGTCATACACAAAACTGCATGCTGTTGCTTGTTGTGGGGTTCGGGCACTGTAGTAGACTGCCAGTGTCCTGAGCTGGACTCGGATCCATGAGAGGATCACGTATCATCTGCCTTGTCATTTGTACTCACAAAGAGCTTCTGCAGTCTGTGTGTGTTTCACTCACTGGCAATGTAAAAGGTGATTTTATTAAGATAAATGCAAATGTTAGTGAACTAACAAGCTGCAAAAACTGACATTAAGGCAGTGTTAAAAGAATCACCTTCTCAGAACCTCTAGTCGATGGTGGCTATAAATCAGTGGACAGTGGTGTGGTGTGGCATGTTCTGTTGACCTGATGCTTGGTTTACCTAAGTGTTAAACAACTTAGCCTAGTATGGTTGAAACTGCCTAGTACTGTGCAGGGCTGTGAATCAGGATATATTATATTGAACTGAAATGTTGATGGAAATAGATTGTTGCTGTGGCAGTTGAAGCCCATTAGTACTGTATGATCATGTCAAACACTTGTGACATAAGCACAAGTATAAAGTCCTTCAACTACACAATATAGAGATGAGCCTAGCTGGATTCTTCAAAGATTAGGTTGACCTGCCTGGTGATGTTTGGGAAATGCACTACCAGATAATGTGCTTAAGTATATACAGGAATAAATGTTGTACAGAAGTGTGGATGAAGCAGTGAATGATATGTTGGTGTGAATTGTTAAATAGAATGTGTGTGGATGCAACTGAGGCATTAATGGTGCATGTAGGTGTCAATGATATTTTTGGGTCCTCTACAAGGAAGTGAATATTACTGGCTAGTCATGTTGAGGCATGTGAGTGAGGTCATGTTGTCAGTGTGTGTAATCTTTACCTGGTCGTGTATAGGGGTGTCATGTATATCTGGTTCAAAATTTCCTGAATTTTAATTTTTTAGGCTTTCCAGTAATTTAAAGAATATCAATTAGATGTTTAACACTATGCAGAATTATTTGGTTGCTCAGTATTGTGAAATTATCAGTGAAATGCACAGGTAATAGAATGTTGTGCTGTGCATCCGGTGTGACTGGAACTGCCAGATCAGGTACAAGACTGTGTTTATGGCTATTTAGTAATGTGTAGCTCATTTGGAGTACCTCCAGTTCATCACAGGAATACAGTGTATGTGTATCTGGTGCAATGTCTGTACGCACATATGATTTATAATGTAATCGTCTGTGTATTGCCATCATTGTTGAATCACAGTGTCTTGATTTTAACTATATTGACTTCTGTCAGATACGGTGGAGACTTCCATGTGGAGGTACAGAGCAGGATTATGGCTAGTTATGAATGTGCATGGTGAATTGAAGACAAAAGCTATCTTCCATACTTTACATGCCAAACTTGTCTTTGTAATTAATATATGTAAAAAGTCTCCTCATTATGAAGATCTTGGCAAACAGTGCCAGTTTGTTTTTATGTTATGATTGATAACTGGTCAGTTGTGTATTGGATTTTATGAAGTGTACTTGCTGTTATTGAGAAGACAGAGTTGGCCAGTTAACTTGTGAATGAGCCGTGTTGTCATAAGGAACAGATATGGTCTGTACAGTGCACTTTACATTGATGTTGAGTATGACTGATTGTTTCTGTGAAACTTGTGTAAGTAGTGTCCCATTCTCAACGTAATGTTCAGTGTAATGCCAGATATACTCACCTCATTGTTATATGTAAAGCTTCATGTTTTACCTGATCATCTTGCCTGTAATCATCCATGATGCAACTTTAGTTTTAATTTCCCCTTATGTTCTGGTGCTGTGTGGCTGTAGTCCCTTACCCTCAACCCTTCTTCCCTCAGAAAAGAAAAGCTTTCTGTAGACCTAATTTTGTGATGCTGTCATAGCTCTTAAAGAGTATTGCTTTTATAGTCATCAATCAACAAGAGGTGAGAGACTACACTGTGCTCAACTGACTGGCTGGATTCCTTCATCAACTTTATCTTTACAACAGAAGCTTACAGTTTAATTGCAGCTGCTTGCCTGATGCATAGTCATAAAGCTTTTTATTTTATTTATTGAATGTATAAGAAATTGTGCTCCTAAAAAGGTATTTATATTGATTTTTTGTTTATATTTCATTCTCTTGTGTTAATGTTATTAGTCTTTTTCTCATCAGTTGTACAAAGGCTCACATAACATTAATATGCATTCTCAACCTGTCTTCAAAGTAAACTAAAGAGGATAATGAGGACTTCCTTATTAACTAGTATACTTTACAACTATTTACTTATCACAATTAGTTTAGATGTATAGTGAAACTTGCTTCTTCATCTACTTCTTAATTTTCATGTGCAAAATGCTTCCACTGCATGTGATTTCCAAATCATTCCTTTGACAGTATTTTATATAATACCCTCACACTTTATGCATCTCTTGTGTGGTCTGTCTTTCTCACTCATACTGCAACCACAATATCATAACCTTATTCACCAAACTACTGTCATACACTTTAAATGCTCATGCCATCTGAATAGGTTCTCATCCGTGCCACTTTTTCGTAACACTTTCTTTTAACATTCTTTACCTAGGGAAAATATGTCTGATAAGGACAATTTAGCTCAAGGAGTCTTTTTCTGTTCTAATATCTTTTATACCTACAACTTTCTTCCTTCTTTTATTATTCTTACAACCTTTTTGTTCCTTCTGTTGCCATCCTCATTGTTTCTTTATCCCAAACACCAGAAGTCATTCCTAACTGACAGTTCATCACCATTGAGCCAAACATTACATTAATATGAGTGCCTAATTTATTCTTGCATTACCTCACAACCTCCTATTGCTCCTCTTGTACACTTCATATAAACAATTTACCAGTTTGTCCTGCTCATTCTCTGACTTGGCTAGCAGATTCTTTTGGTGGTCCAGCTAACATATTCTCTATGTGACTCAGCTAACAGACTCTTTTGGTGGCTCAACTAACAGATTCTTTTGGTGGCTCAACTAACAGATTCTTTTGGTGGCTCAACTAACAGATTCTTTTGGTGGCTCAACTAACAGATTCTCTATGTGACCCAACTCATGGATTCTTTTGGTGACCCAACTAACAGATTCTGTAGGTGGCCCAACTAACAGATTCTTTGGTTCAGGCATTAAGGCATTGTCATGTGTAGAATTGTTTTTGTGTGTATTATGTAGACATACTCCACATTTACATATTCTGTTGCTCTATCGGTAAAAACTGTAAATACACTGTCAACACATACACATTACACAAGTAGAGGACATTTTCACATATTTCCGCTTACTTCCCTCATTGACATTTCTTCCACTATCGTACTATTAATTCCAATATTAATATTAGTAACAGTATTCAAATATCTTTTATATACATCTTTCAAAGCCAAAGTTACCCCTATTCATTTTAAGGTACTACTGTACTGTATTGTAAAATCAGTCAATATTCCACCCCCTTTCCTTCCTCATCATAAGGACAGCCTGTGTTAACTCATTCCACTGAAGAATCTTGGTACATTTTGGTAAAGTTTCTCCTTAGTTCACCAACCTCATCTCATTATCTCCTATTACACTGTCACCTCACTGAAATGCTGTCATTCAATGAAACTTATTTTTTTCATTCTCTGTACCAAATCGTAACACATTCTTTCTATTTTAAATATTCATCCATTCGCTATTCTTCACCGTATCAAGGTCTTGGCACCTCATATCCATTTGTCTGAAAACAAAGTCATTTATGTACAGTCCCTTTCACTAGTGCATTTACAGGGGCTCGTCAGATTTTGTGCAGTGTGGCAGCGCTGTGTTTGTTTACATTCGACAGAAGGAAACTCGCAATCGAAAACATAATACGCAATCAAGTTAAAGCAATATTAAAACAAATACGGTATATCAAAGATAATGATTTGTGGAATGTTTATATGATGAACCCCTGGAAATGCACTAGTGTAGGTAGACTGTACATGTACATTGAAGTGGGTTGAATAGTCTTTATAGAAAAAAAAATAAACAAAATCTTTAACCCCACACTTCTTAAGATTCTTCGAATACTCGTACAGCATATTGTTTCCGCTTAAAACCCATCCAAGTGTAAAACTATAATCTACAATACCTTTTTTATATACACCTGTATAAATCTTATCGAGCTCTGTAATTCTATTTTCATTTTCACATTCTCTCTTTGCCTACCCATTATGCTAAGGAGAATAATTTTTCGATACTTTGTCACACTGCAGCATTTTTATTTGGCTACCATTACTGTTGCTGTCTTTAAACCTTTTGAACTGTCTCTTATACAGGGGGTTTATAGTCTTTGATTCTCTTACAAGAGTACTGTATCACATATACAGCATCACCTCCCCTTCACTTAGCCTCTTCATATCGTTACAACTTTTCCATCATCTTATCATCCCACACTTTTAATCTAAACAGAAAGCTAGTTGTTTCCTAGGTACTCCTTCATGAGCAGCTTGATATTCTCCTTGAAGGTCTTAATACAGTATCATCCTTTCAAAATTCTTTCTTTAATACTGTATATAATTTATTGTAACTAAAGTGATTGAGAACCTATTTCATTGCAAATTATAGTGCTACTTACCTACCTCTTCAAGCACTCTTATGTGAGAGCAGCTACAAAACAAGTGGGAATTGGTAAGACCAATATATGTGTGTGCTAGGAGTATAACAATATGTGCTAGATGGTCTAGTAAATTCCCATAGGAACCACAAACTCCGTGCTAAGAGTGTGTCGCAGAAATAGGTCTTTAGCCCACGTTAAAATAATTTTTGAAGCGAAGTTGTTTGCCCTCCAGATTGCAACTGTTGAATCTGGATGACCATTCCATCTATGTCTCATTGTATTTGTCTTTATTCACATCCTGTGGCTAACGTTTATGATTTATTTTCCCTTTCCTGGCTGCTAATTGTAATTTGTGTCTATCTACCTCTAATATGTTGTCTTCTCACACAAAATAAAATGGCACTTGCAAAATTTCCTCCTGACAGTCACTAAACATTTTTACACCACAGTAATCGAGATATTTACTGAACATAACTTTACATTTATTTGAAAAATTACCAAAGTTGGGTCGTAAATTATTAGTAAACCTTGAGTTAGTATTACGGTGAGTGTTACCATCACTGTATACAGTATAACAGAAGGGCATGAGAGTGAAGATCATCCTTTAGATAACTTCTTGCATATTATCTGTCAGGAGACCAGCAGGCAACTGAACTGTTAATAAGTTTCTAAATAAGTGATTACGTACACACAAATACATACATATTACTGTACATGAATACCTTTTTTTTTTATAATACATATCCAGTGTGTGTGTATATATATATATATATATATATATATATATATATATATATATATATATATATATATATATATATATATATATATATATATATATATATATATATATATATATATATATATATATATAAAACATGCCATATTAATTTAAAAGATGGGAGAAACATCAGAATATTTCCAACACATAGTAGATACTTGTAAATCAGTACATTTATGTGTTGGAAATCTTAAAACCAGGCACAATGAAGTTGCTGGTAGAATTCTGCTTGTTGGTTTGCCTGTTACAGTTACAAACTAAGTACTGTAATTGTTTTCAATATGCACCATCAAAGATGAAATAAATAAATTGAATGATAAAAATACTTTTAGCTCAGAACAATAAGCAGAATTTAAAAAAGAGTGAGAACTTAGTAAAATGAGAAGGAACAACACCTATAAGATTGTGCTGCGGTTGAGAAATATAGACACACGATTTATTTATTGGTGCTTAATAGATTAGTCAAGTCATTATAATTTCAGGAATGCTAATTGAAAAAAGGCAAATTAGATATTAATTTAAAATTTTCCTTTGTACCTCTGTGATAGTTATTTAACATTTGTAAACCTGTATTTGTGATTTTTTTTTTTTAAAGGGTGCTTTTTGGGTTTTAATTTTATCGTATTGTAAAGGTTGGTATAAAATGCCAAAAATGGTAGTCTTAAATTTCCATTACAGAATGTTGTTTATGAAAAAAGAAAATCCCAAATTGAATTTACAACACTGTACAAACCATTATTTTTTCTTGTATTTTTTCCCCAAAAGGTCATCTATTAATTACCTTTTCAAATTTCCAAATTAAGCCATTAATGTGTACTGTATAGGCCCCCAACCCTTCTACCTCTGCTTTGTATAACCTCTGGTGTTCTTTCCTGCAGTATTACCAAATTTTCTGCAAGTGCTGTGCTTCACCTGTTGTCATTCATCCCATCATTCAGTAATTCACTCGGCATTTAATGGAAAATTATTTTTCCATAGATATGATTTTTTTTTATTGCATTCTTTTGGACCGAGTCATCTCTCTTAAAGGATCTTCATAAATGTGCTATATTTTCTCAGCAAGACAGCACCAGTTTAATGATCTTGTCAGTGTTTTGTGCCATTATATGTTTAATTCTAGGACAAATGGGCAATAAATTAGTTAATTATAAAGATAACAACTTAATTCAGACTAATGTCTATCATATTTTTAGTGTCAGAATTTTGTATATGGTTATTTTTTGTGGAAGCTGCTCACTGAGTACAAGTTGAAAGTATCTTGATCATCTTAATTACTCTTATTATGTAATCTAGGTGGTCTTGCAAAGTCATGTGGAATCCAAAAGATCAAATATGGACTGGCCAGGTATATTTTATGTATCAAATCATCTCCAAGTGTAGCTATGTAAGTAGATTGTTCAGATGTAGAATAATGAGCCCAACCAAAGTCTCCTTGGTGACGCCTCAACCCTGGTGCGTGATCACCGGGCTCAGGAGGAGGCCCACCAATCCTACCACTAATCTTACTGTTTACCTCATCAGTATGTCTACTGCAGAGGTTTTGCTGTGTTGATTTCTGTCACTTATGTTAAACATCGATGCCATGATCCTTGTGCGAGTAGTCACAAAGATCACTTATTTATGTCGGAGCTGTAGTGGCCGCTGCTGCTGGAAGACAATACTACCGGGTTAATAGCTAACACTAACATTAAAGCTGTACAAGATTGGTTAGGATCATGGCAGCTCTTTACATATCTTGTGTCATCGTCTTCTTTTTCGTTACATCAAATTACTTCAAAACTCATGTAATATATCATTAATAAAAGATGATTTCTAAAGTAGATAAGTTTTTATTTTTGCAGAATCCTGGGATATGTAGGTAGTCTTTCATTACAGAGTTGCAGCCCTGCCTTGCCAGCTGTCACCACCCTTTGGGTTGGCATTAGGAAGGACATTCAGGTGTTAAACTTTGCTTCAACCTGCCTGATGGCAGCTGAGTTATCAAATCTGTGCCTATCCCTTAGCCTCTGCTGCATTTTTCAGGCTGGTGTCTTGTATTTGTGGTGGTAAGTAGGGGGTTGGGAGGGGGGGCATCCTGTTGTGGTTTTACCCAACAGCTGCCATAAAATATTCGTGGTTAACCCACACAACTGTACAAAATGGCTGTAAAATGTTGACGATGATGATGATACACCCTCCCACAGGCACTGACGCTTTACCCTCACCCTCTGCATCCCACCCTCACCTTACGCATGCCACACTCGCCCTCCACATCCCACTCACCCTCCGTAACCCACCCTCGCCCTCTATAAACCTTCATCGCTCTCCACTCCCTACCTTTTTGCCCTCTGCACCCCACCCTCGCCCTCCACACCCCACCCTCACCCTCCACACCCCACCCTCGCCCTCCACATTCCACCCCTGCACTCCACATCCTACCATCGCCCTCCTCAACTGACCCACTCCCTCTAAACTCCACCATAGCCCTCCACAAACGTGCCCTTAAAATCCTCACTCCACCCTCGCCCTCCACATTGTCATGCCATGGCTGTGGACCAGCTGGCTAAGGACACGTTGGCTGGTTAAAGCAGCGATTATTGACGTCAATCAACGTCATAACGGGACTGGCCAATGAGACGGGACTACGAGGTGGTGCGACGGATGTGAGCTAGCAGCCGCGAACCATCAGCCTGTGTCAGTCGAACTCCTGGCTGGTCCGGTCAACACTTTCTGCCGTGAGCAGTGTGTGGTGTGGGAGTCCTCCCGTGAGCTGTGTGTGCTGTGGGAGTCCTACCATCTTCTATGGCATAATCCTATTGTCTTCTGGAGTGAAATACTACCGTTTTCTTGAGGCGGAATCCTACCGTCATCTGGGGCAGAATCCTACCGTCTTCCGGGGCAGAATCCTACCGTTTTCTGGGGCGGAATCCTACCGTTGTTTAGGGAGAAATCCTACCACATTCTGGCGCAGAATTCTATCGTATTCTGGGGCAGAATCCTACCATATTCTGGAGCGGAATCCCACTGTATTCTGGGGCAGAACCCTAAAGCATCCTGGGGCATAATCCTACCATCTTCTGGGGCAGAATCCTATCGTCATCTGGGGCAGAATCCTACCATCTTCTGGGGCAGAATCCTACCATCTTCTGGGGCGGAATCCTACCGTATTCTGAGGCAGAATCCTACCGTCTTCTGGGGCAGAATCCTACTGTATTTTGGGGCAGAAGCCTACCACCTTCTAGGGCAGAGTCCTACCATATTCTGGTGCAGAATTCTACCATATTCTGGCACAGAATCCTACTTTATTCTGGGCATATTCCTACTGTATTCTGGGCAGTATTCTAGGGAGGAATTCTACCGTATTCTGAGGCATAATCCTACCGTATTGTGGAGCAAAATCCTACCGTCTCATGGGGCAGCATCCTTGTGTATTGTGGGGTGGAATCTTACTGTCTCTTGGGGCAGAATCCTACTGTATTCTGGAGCAAAATCCTACCGTCACATGGGGCAGCATCCTTGCGTATTGTGGGGTGGAATCCTACCCTATTTTGGGGCGAAATACTACCGTCTTCTAGGGCGGAACCCTTCCATATTCAGACTCAGAATCCTGCTGTACTGTATTTTGGGGCAGAATCCTGCCACATTCTGGAGCGGAAACCTACCGTATTCTAGGGCGAAATCTACCGTCTTCTGGGGCAGAATCCTATCGAATGCTGGCGCAGAATCCTACCGTCAACTAGAGCAGAATCCTACCATATTCTGGGGCACAATCCTTCTGCATTCTAGGGCGGAAACTTACCGTATTCTGGGGCGGAATCCTATCATTTTCTCGGAATCTTTCATTCTTTTGAGGTAAAATCCTGCCGTCTTCTGGGATGGAATCCTACTGTCTTCTGGGACAGAATCCTACCATATTTTGGGGCAGAACTGCCGTATTCTGGGGCAGAATCCTACCATCTTCTAGGGCGGAATCCTACCGTATTCTGGGTGGAATCCGACCGTCTTCTGGGGCTGAATCCTACTTCTGGGGCAGGATCCTACCATCTTCTGAAGCGAATTCCTGCTGCCTCCTGGGGCGGAATCCTACCTTATTCTGGGGCGTAATTCTAATGTATTTTGGGGCAGAATCCTACAATATTCTGAGGCAGAATCCTACTGTATTGTGGGGCAGAATCCTACCGTCTTCTGGGGTGGAATCCTACCCTACTCTGGGGCACAATCCTTCCATCTTCTATGGCATAATCCTACTGTCTTCAGGGGCGGACTCCTACTGTCTTCTGGGTTGGTCCTACCATTTTTTCGGGTGGAATCCTACCGCTTTTTAAGGCGAAATCCTACCGTCTTCTAGGGCGGAATCCTACTGTCTTCTGGGGCTAAATCCTACCATTTTCTGTGGCAGAATCCTATTGTTGTTTAGGGTGAAATCCTACCATCTTCTTGGGCGGAATCCTACCGTATTCTGGCTCAGAATTCTACGGTATTCTTGAGCACAATCCTACCATATTCTGGGGCAGAATCCTTCCATCATCTGGGGCAAAATCCTACCGTCTTCTGGAGCGAAATCCTACCTTATCTTAGGGAAGAATCCTAGTGTATTCTGGGGCGGAATTGTACCCTATTTTATTTAGATGGTAATAGATGATAATTCAAAAGGCGATATATATTTTAAGCGCGACAATAATAAGGAGGTGAGCGCCATCTATGAGTTGACAGCGCTACTAAACTATCATTACAGGAATTCACTGACAAGTTTCTCGTCTGGTGAATCTGGGCTCCAGCACCAGGAGGAGCGACACTTGACAGAGGACCAAGATGGAGGACGGACCTGGTGTTCCATTACTTAGCACCCCTGAAAATAACAGCCTGAGGCATCGGTAAGACATTTATTCATAATAATATATCAGATATATAAATTTATAACTTTAAGTAGTTGTTGGTGTATTATTATGGTGAGAAGAAGTGTGTGTAATGGTTAATTTAGTCCATTGTGTTGGGTTGTCCGGTGGAGGTGGTGAAAGTGTGTATTCCCGATGTTATGAACACATTTGTCCTTCATTTCTGGTGCAAATCAATAATTTTGGAAGTAAGCCTCCGGTAAATTTTTACAAGTGGTGAACCATGGATTTTGTGTTGAACAATATGAAGGCTTTGACAATATTAAGAAACTTTTGGGTAAATATTCGTCCATTGACTGTCCTCAGGTTGTGTCCGAGAACAGTTATATTTCGACGTTTTTCAGTGTTTTACTAAAGTCTGATAATTTCTTTGGCAAGGCAGCGGTTTTTGCCAAAAAATAACATTGTTATTTTTAACAGAAACTGCGTTAAATTTTTACTTTAGGACACGAATCCCTCGGGGTTTACCAATATGTTCTTCCAGTGTATTTTGGGGTTTTAAACGAATCAGACCTTCATTTTTGGCGGAAATTACTAGGTTTTGCCCCCCACCCCTAACAGTAATGGGGGAGAGCCTGGGAAATCAGGATTTTTGGGTGGGGGAGAAAACGAAAAAGAGTCATCTGACCTAACAAAGCCTAGCTGGGGACCTCAGTCCCCAGACCCCCCAGTAGGCCTAGCTTAAACTAACCCAAATGTTTCAGTATTTAAAAACTTTGGGGCGTGCCATGTCCGAAAGTACAATACTTTAGTTAGAAGTGGGAGGACCAGGGATATGTAAGAATTGGTTAGAATAATCGTCTTTGTCGTAAAACTCGTAAATAAACTTAAAATAATCGTAGGAGCACAAACGGCAACCAACCTCCACCAATACCATTGTTTAGCTGGTCAATGAAATTAAAATCATATCCAGGCTGCTTCCTTAGAGAAAAATCAAATGTGATTGGTCGAAAAAAAATTCGCGTGATATCAATACCTCATCGGTCACGACTGGATGACATCAGTCAACATTGTGCATGCGTGATGCGCAGATAACATCTCACAGACGAAGACTGAAAACTACTTGAAATCAATTAAATTCAATTGTGTCGCTATTATCCATTTCTGCCATGTATACACGGGATTCCAAATGGGCAGAATAGCAGGATCTAAATGATTCAGTAGATTATAACTTTCGGGGGCGCTTTGTCCGAAAGTAAAACTGCTAATTTGCAAAAAGATGGGGGTCAAATTTGAGTAAAACACCAAAAATACACGAAAAACCTATTCTCATACCAAAAGTAGTACTGTAGTGATAAATTTGAAATATTTCCTGCCAGATTTCCCTGGTGAAAAAAAAAAATTCTGCTATATATCGGAGAATGTCGATAATTTTGGCAGCCTGCAATAAAAAAAAAAATCATGGCTATATATCCTGACCCTACTGTACCGCCATGTACGAACATACATAATACAGTAAAATGTTAAATATATCGCTAATACATAATTTGCGCCAGAAATGCCATTGAAGATTGTAACTATAAGATTCCCGAGATTCGTGTCGGTCCACTCAGTTACCGGGACGAGTTTGATTTTGTTTATTTTTGAACGGGTGTTAGTATCATTATAGTAAATATTTTAAAAGAGGTGACATTTACTAGAAGCCAGTACAGTAATGTATAACTTGACTTATTATAACTAACCAAAGAGACCTACCTAACCTTACCTAAATTCCTAGCCAGGGGGCGGACCTGCCATATTAAACAGAAAGTACTTATTTTGATATCTGGTTCCAATGAAAGTAACTTTGTCGAAGCTCACGGTGTAATTTTTTTTTTTTGTGGACGCCAGAGTACTCTCGGACTCAGCGGCTCGGTTATAAACAAACACGACGCAGCGAATCGGCATATTTTTCGAAGGAGTATTTACAGCAAATGAGTAATTATTCGCTTACAAAGCACGGAGGTATGTCATTGTAGCGTCGCGTGATAATTTTTCCCGTGTTTTCCCCCAGTTTCCCTCATTCTTCGTGCACCTGCCCACTACAGGTGATTTAGGATCATAGATAGAGAAAAAAAGTAAAGTAGTTATAGTTAAAATAAAATTTGTGGCCCCTTTTAAAATACTGTACTATAATGATAAGAATATCTTTGGAAAATATGAACAAAATTGATCAACTCTTTCTGGTGGTAGTGATGTGAGAAAAAAAAAACACTGAAAACCTAACCTAACCTAACCCTTTGTAACCCAGAAAAGTTCAAATAATATATAAAGGTTACTGTATTGAACCAATGATAACAGAAAAAGTTATTTCATTAATGTTTTTTTGTGTGTTCAATGTTTTGATGTTTTGGCAGCGAATCACTTCTTGTGTTCAACATTTATAGGTCACGAGGGAGGCTGGAATACGTTCAGAAAATTTTTTTGCACTTACGTAAATTTCCTAATAGATTTGAACTTTTTCTCCGATTGGTCACAGCAGATCGTGTGAAATTATAGTGAAATAGATATAAATATTAAATGCCGTCAAATTGTGTCTCCCCCGGTAGTGAAATAAGAATCCGTCCTATGTCGGTCCCGTCCACGAAATGTAAACACCATTGGACGCTTATGAAACCAGGTTTACCGAATCGGTTTTTTGTGCGTGGATCACAAAAGGTTAGGTTAGGTTTTCAATTTTTATTTTTTAACCACTTATGTAGAAAGTCTAACTCACTTTGGAAGATTCATAGTTGTTGGTAGTGTAAAAGGAAATAAAGATCATATTTATGTAATATAAAAGAATACAAAATAAAGATACGTAAAATTATCGTTTCGGCGAAGCAATATTTTTCCGATGGTCAGAATAATTTGAACCTCACTTAGCCTAACATAAATTTGCTGTATTACCAAAACGATAATAATACTGAAAAACCTATTCGAGTAATCAATTTCTCGACGTATACAAGGTTATTTGACCCAGATTTCGGGCCAAGTAACCATCGTCTATTTGACCGGGACCTGTGGGAATTGTATACGACTTTAATGGGATTGTAATCGGGACTATATTATTTAATTGTATAATTTTGTGTGGCCAAGAGTATTTACTGTAGTGTGATTTTAGATCCTGGTCAAATAACCAGTGGTTATTCTGGCAGATACTGATGTAATAACGCCTGCCTATAATATAATACAGTAGTTTTACAGTGTTTTCCAGGATGCTTCAAGGACCAACAATACATCTCTGTGTGACAGGTTCAGACTTGACTATACAGACCGTCCAGCAACCAGAGAAACACTGTTGACGTGTGGGAGGTAAGACTCACTTTGTTACTTCGCATCACGTTGTCATTAGGCGTACAAGCCGAGTCTAATACAGTACTGTACTTGTGTTTATGTGCACTTGTACAGTATTCATATAAAAGTGTGTGCATATTTATATAAATGTTTGTGTGTCGAAAGTCATGTCCCATTGTGTCGGTGGTACGTGACATCTCCAAAATGTGGCCCAGATTCACGTTCTCCATCCCATACCAAATTTTGAACGTGACTTTATTTTGTTTTTCTCTAAAGTACAGTACAGTATATTAATAAATTTTAGCTTTGTTTTCATAGCCGAATTTCACTGTTTATCAATTATGATACTCTACAAATGCTGTTGTACTTTTTATACCTGTATCTACTTGTATGTTTCACTTCAGTTAATTGAATTTTTATTTGCATAGTTTTGAAGAAGACTACTGAGTACAAGTTTTAATTTTTACACAGTAACAGTGATGCAGTACTTTATCTTAAGTAATATTTTCAGACACTTTCTCCATCACTGCCTAAAGTGGACTGGACTGGACCTGATGTTAACTAGAATGAAGTTGGCATGGGCATAAAGTGAACTGTATCTGAAGCTAACTGGACCTCAAGTGAACTGGATTTGAAGTTAACTGGAGCCTAAAGTACTTTGTGGTATTTTATTTAATATTGTTTTGGTACTTTGAATATTAGGAAGGTTCTACAGACATTCCCCAGTTTATAAGAGTACTGTGCCTTGAAAACCTCAAGTAAATTGAATCAATTTTGCTGTAGACTCACATTATAAAAGCTAAAATACTTTTCTACAATGAAAATCCTTCCCCCAAATTATGTACGGTCCCCCAAAAAAGTATTGTTAGATTTTCTATTTGTAAAATTTGAAATGGTAGATGGAATGCTTTGATATGATCCCCAGTGCATCAGCAGAAGTTGGTACACTGCTCACCATATCAGCAACAGCTAGAGATTGGGGGAGGGAGTCATCCCTGTATGGCATACTATATACTTCAATATAACGCGAAATCCATTAAGCTATATTAATATACCGTATGTTGGGTAGAAGCAAGGCGCATGTAAACAAGCCACCGAAATATACATCGAATGGAAGAGTTTGGAACATCGTAACCGAGACAGACCTCAAGGCGGACATTTTACCATTATGTGGTAGTAACAGTTTCATTCGTACCGAGTTGCACAATATACTCGTGTTGTTCACAATATGTCTGATTTATGAAGAGTACGTGTACTTCTTATTAAAGTGAACAGATACAACAATATATCGGTGTACCTGGTATGTGGCGTATCACTGACACGTAAATGGTATTGGTTTAACACCGAAATAAGGTTTTAAATCAGCGTGTCGGCAGTTGTTTGATGGCGGCTAACCCGTCGCGATACTGTCGGTTCTCACCCCAGTTCGCCGTGCTATCTCGTCGTTATGCATACCCTCGTCAGGAAGGCGAATAATAGCACCTCTCATCTTGCTACGTCTCCCCGATAATTCGTCGCTCCATTCGACGGAAGATCCGTTTAATGACTAGCACGGGGTCGGTTTCCATTCACGACATCCACTCCATTTCACGTACAGTCGACCCTCGTTAATTTGGACTAATAGGGGGGGGAGGGTGTCCGTTTTAGCCGATTGTCCGAATTAACCGATTTAGGGGTTAATATTGCATTATATTTCAAAGTCATTGTTTTCGTCACATAATTTCAGCAAAAATATTACATTTCCATGAATGTATTATATCAAGCACAGTATGAATAGAATATCATTGTAATATAACAGAATTTTAACCGAAAACTAGTAAATAAAGAAACGAATAACATCTCAAGAACATCGGAAGCTTAGGTAAACTCTGTTGTTTTCGTCATGTATTTTATCCTATTTTAAATTGAAATACATCATGTTTCAGCAAAACTACTATTTATTTCCGAGAATATATTCATTCAGGTACAGTTTAGGTAAAATATACGATTCGAAAAACACGTACCCTCTAGCCCTGTTCAAGGAGAGGACTGGGAGAAGCTGTTTGGTGCTGCAGACGATGACAAGGAAAATGATTTGGATGGATTTTAATGAAAATATTCAGAAATAAGGTATCCTAGTATTTCTTAAAAGTCAATTAGGATAGAATATTATTGTAATACAACAGTTTTTTAATTGGAAACCATTCGAAAAGCGATTACGGTAACATCTTTTGAACGTACGTCATTTCAGCAAAAATATTACATTTCCGTGAATGCATTATATGAAGCGCAGTATGAATAGAATACCATTGTAATATAACAGTATTTTAACCAAAAACTATTAAAAAAAAAAGTAACTTCTCTTGAACATCGGAAGGTGAGGTAAAATCTTTTGTTTTCGTCATGTATTTTATCCTATTTTTACATTAAAATACATCACGTTTCAGCAAAACTACTATTTATTTCCGAGAATATATTCATTCAGGCACAGTTAAGGTAAAATATACATGTGATGTAACAGTTTTTTAACCGAAAACGATTCGAAAAACACGTATACCGTCTAGCTGATTGATACTCAACAGCTGGTGGTGCGTCATGTGTCGTTGTAAACAATAGGAGGTTGAAGTAGATTACCGGGTATTATATTAAGTGTGAAATATCGAAAAGGTTTTTATTACCGGTATTTTTTGTAGATCAATGAGAACTGTGATACCATATATGATATGATAAGTTAGCCTGTGCTAAGAACTTCAACATAGACTACTGAAAACACGTTGTAAGGTAATTTAGCCTATTGTAAGTTGGTGAGCTTCATTTGCTGAAGGAACTGCACAACTTTTCATTACTAATTGGTACATATTTTGTTTCCATTGTTTACTGGCAGTAAATGGTAAATATTTTTCATGTCTGAAGCTAAAAGTTGCATCCCCCCCCCACACACACTAGTGGTGGAGATGTTACATTTAACCAAAAAGACGCTGGTGTTTTATCCCAGCAGTGGGTGGACCAGCATTTTAGCTTAAGGTCCGCGTAGGTAATATTCCTAAAAAAAAAAAAAAAAAAAAAGGTTTGTTCAGATTTTGTCCGAGTTATCCGGATTAAAGGGGTCCGAATTAACGAGGGTCGACTGTAATATATGATCCGAAGCCTCGGAGGCTTCGCACATTTCAAAAACGTACATATACTCGTTCATGCTCAAAGGTTGTGGATGTAGAGCTACCAACAGTTCAGAAACGGGTTGTGTAACATTGTTCGGAAAGCTAAAGGTATATATATAGTATATATATATATATTTTTTTTTTTTGGGGGGGGGGTTGTACACATTGATTATAAGGCAATATAGGAGCTTCTCTACCGACAAACGAGTCACGTTCCCGAGGCCTGTTCGCGAGTGCAACTTTACTGTTGCAGTTAAAGGATGTACAGTACAGTATATATACCCAGCATATTACAGTATAATTTACCAGCCTTTAACAGTATTTTAACGTACCGGTTTATTCGTATCTCTGAAAGTTGGGAAGTAGAGGAGCACCTTTATATGCTAACTATGTTATTGGAAATGAAATACACGTACGGTAATGCTAGTTTTATACCCGTACTTACACGACGTAAGTCAAGTTAACAGTAGACGACACTAAGTAAATATAGATACGTTGAATTTGACTCTTTAGTTGGAGGTGTCTCATTTAGGGAAGATCCCACGCTCTACCCCCGACCAGTTGTTACACCCTCCTAGAATGTAAATAATAGTGAGTAATGGGTCTTCATGTTAGCCAGAGGGTATTTACAGTTGTCTGTGTGAAGTGTCAGTAACAGGAAATATATACTGTATAGTGTTCATTATGGAAGTGTCAGATAGCCGTGCTTCCTCTCTCTCATCTTGGCCATCCGTACCTACGATAAGGGTATACGTCGTATCGGTGACCCGTTAAAAGTACTTAGAAATATGATTTTCTAAATAATGGTACAGTGATTTCATATATCCTGCTCAGATGTGGTGAGGGAGCTTGAACCTGTATGTATTTTGTGTTCATTTTGTTTTACACACTTGTACTGTACATATAGAAAGTGCCAGATAAATAAAATAAAATAATTATTATTATGTATAAAGTTGTAAGTATTTATGATTTTCCAATGGAAAGTGTGTGTGTGTGTGGCAAATGTATCCTGGTATACAGTGAACGTACACAGATATTTTATTAGTTCTCAAGGGATCATGAACAATTTACGTGCCTAACTGACTTTGTATATTTTTTAACAGCAAGTTATTCCTTTCAGTTATGGGTCAGAGGCAGCTGAATGAAGCTAGAAACATCATTTTTGTGTGGACCAGTGACTGAATACACCCCGGGTAAAGACACCACTTGAACTATGGGAGGTATGTTTAAGAATGTTTGATAACTCTGTAATGAGTTTGTGAAGTTTATATCAGTGTACAGTATATACCTAATGGCTCTTTGAAGATTAGGAATGTCTATGAGGTGTGTTTGTAGGAACTTTGTAGAAGAAGTTGAAAGTTTTAAATGGAGATCAGAGATTAGGAAGTCGTAAATTGTTTCAGAGCGAATCGCCGACCCGGCAGGGAATTAATAACGTCGGGGTCGTGTCGTTTGCCATAGCCATCGACGAAGTAGTAAAGGAAGTGTCGATTGGTTACAAAGAGGGACTAAGACTGGAATTGATAAATAAAAGAGTAGAATGTAAAGATAATGAGAGAAAAATTAAAAGGCTACTTCTAATAAGACTTGGGTGGTGTTGCTTGGTAAAAATGTGTAGACTGAAGAGGGATTGAGAGTATTTAACTTAGCATAGAGAAATAGAAGGCATTTGTCATATATCTGGTTTACAAGGGTCGGATACATTATGAAAATTTTTATTAAAAATAGGAGTTTAAGATTGCAGCAGATTGTAATGGAAGACACAGTATATGTATTTATCCCATATTTTTTATACTGCATTTTAAGTTGGTGTTATTGTATGTATGTATGTCTTGACTATAGTTCAATTTGGTGTTATAAAGGTTTGAAGATTCTCCTCGTTGTGGGGCCGTTTATGATCTTATTGTCCCGTGTGGGTCTTTGGTGTAAACTAGCTACTGGCCCACAGACTGTCGCTGCAACGGCGGGCGCTGCACGGTTATTGCCGCTAGTTCGTCGTCGACGAGGTCTCCTAGGAGGTTCGGGCGAGTCATCGGCATAACGCATCTCTGCAGGCGAGAACCGAGCTTCGGGGCACGTTTCAGTCGTTTGCCACGATTGTACGTACTTGTCGGTGGTCGTCGTGGAAATGTAGGCGAGCTCTTTGGGAAAAAGAGAGGGCAGTTGTCAGTGATGTTTGTTCTCTGCACATTGCAACCTGTGGTTCTCTGACGAGGACTATTAGGAATCCCTCCACGGTGTCGGCGTCACGTCCGAGGTCAGAGCGGCCGTCGACCTCTTCACACACTGCGCCGTGCCCTTCTAGGGAGCGATCGGCGACGTCCCCGTCGGTCGATTCGGGCACGACGGAATAACGCGAGTCGACGGCATCTACTTACGGCAGAGGGGCTTTTGTAGCGGGTAGCACCGGCTTGGAACGGGGGCATAAGTGTAGGGGCACTGCGGCGTGCCACTAAGTAATACACTTTTGTTTTAGAATGCAGCAAAAAATAAGTTCGGTTACCCCGTAACGAGTAGTCGACGGCTGCCGGGAGGCCCATGTCGGCAGCATATCTTAATTGGTTGCTTTGCGAAAATTATTGGGAGATTGATGTGGTTGGTAGGGAATTGTCCTTTTTTGTAGGATCTTGTGAATATCATTAAACATGGCATGTGATATTGATTTGGCTTTAGTTGCTATAAGATGAACAATAACTGGCAAATGAACTCCAATTTGGTACCCAACGTTTTTAATGCGAATGATTTGGTCATTTTTAAAGTTATCGCCGAGGGGATTATTTTCCGGCGACAATTATCCGGGGAGAATAAACGCGGTTTCCAGTCGGTCGGCTTCAACGTACTCGAGGAAACAATAAAGCTCATGTTTTATGTGATGTATGAGTTTTACGTGTAGATCGGTTGTTTTGAGAGGCCTGCAGTGTGTATATTTGACATGTCAGTAAAATGGGAATAACAGTTGTAGTTTCATAGAGGTAATCCGGCACGTTAACCGTTTATTGTATTAGTGAAAGGTTATTCGGTTCCCCACCGTTCACATGAAGCAGCTCTGTTGTCGTACTCGGTGCATTCTCGACATAATATCCCTCGGTGTCTAGGCCGTTGCACATCATTAGTACGTTTATTGTTTTTATGGCCGAAAATACAGAGCTTGAGGCATACTGGCAGAGCTCGCTTTAAACTAATGACTGGGTTCATGTGTTGTTTAATTTTTGTAATCATAGAAATGTTTTATATTAGTTTGGAAATGTGATGAACACTGTTTGTCCTTAAAATATGTAGTATGTTTGCAGAGATTATTGGCATTGAGTAATAAAGGATGCATTTATGTTTATCTACAGCAATGATATTTTAAAGAGTAATTGTAATTTATAAATGTATGTAAACGTGTACCTACATTCTGCATACTAATAATGAGTTATTGGAAGTTAAAAGTGACCAAAAATTAAGGCTGAAATTGGGTTTGGGGTGGGAATTTTTTGTAATTTTGTTATTTTAGCCTTAAATATTAGAAATATATGTTGGTAACATCCCTGTTCAGTTTGAAGTTGGTTTATTTGTATAAGATGAAGTGTGTTTGTGGAAAGGCATCCGGTCTATAATGGGGATGTTAAATTTAACCGTAGGATTTTACACTTTCGACGTACAGTAAAATGATTTACTCACTTTTATCGTCCTCACCACCGATCGGGTTGTATTAGTGTTGGTGCTGTAACTGGCATCATTTCCAGTTGTACTAATGGTGCTCAAAGGTGCTATATTAGAATATTGTTGTGTGTTGTTGTAAATGTACACCCAGTCATGGTGTAAGTGGAGGCTTTTATAGGGCCCGGATGTTGCGTTTTGCTCGTTAAACTTTTGGCGACAAGAGCCAGGGGCGGGTCGGTTGCCGTATCGTCCGCGAAGTTGTGTTATGCGTGGTTTATTTGTTTTGTCTCTTGTGTGATTGTCAGTCGTGTCGGTGTAATGGGCCGAGTTCTCTCTCTTTGATAATTTACCATCCAGATATTCATTTCTGTTAGTATTCTATTTGTTCATTCTTATATGTTCTTTGTAGAATTCTTTCCAATGAGTATCCTGTTTTATAGTTATCCTTCTTCAATTCTTATATATTCTTGCTTATATTCTTTATCTCTATGTACCTTATATTCTTATGCTTCTCTACTTATATTTTCCAAGTCAATGTTCTTTCTTTTCATTTCCTTTCATATATTATAATCTCTTCCATATATTTTGTTCTAGTTATATTCTAAACCATGGATTAACCTGGGAAACCATGTCTTTCTTATTACCACACTTATTATACTTACAACGGTAGACCTGCCACCACCCAGGAGTTTATTAGAATATAACATATCTTAGTTAACTGTTAGGTAGCGAGCTTCTAGGCATGTGAGTTAGTTATTTTCTGAGAACCAATGTGGGAGAGGATAGAGTGGTGATACTCGTAGATTACTAAATCAATATTTATTAACACGGTGAGTGAATAAGATGCATCTTAGATTCACTCAGACAAAACAGAACTGCTATTTATTTATAAAGTCATCAAACACTTCAAGAACTTATTACCTCATTAAATACCCCCAAATACTTATTACTTCAATCGACAATTGTGGTATTATCACTCTGACAAATGATATTCAGTAAGTGGGTATACACCAGATATCACTAGACCCTCAGGTGTTACTTTACCAAGTAGCAAATTAACTCTTCACTTCTTGGTTATATCATTATACAGGTTGTACCTCTCTAGTCCGGCAACCTCGGGACCTGACCGGTGCCGGACCATGGAAATTCACCCTTTTCCTGGATAGATAGTGACTTGTGCTTATGCCTGGAAGCACTAGCACCACTTTCTCTGCGTCATGGTCTCTTTGAAGACATATTGAAGGGTTAAATGTCGTATAGTAGCTTCTCAAATTTCGCGAGTTTTTAATTCTTAACGTATTTTATTGGAACACACAAAAAATAAATAAATAAAAATTTTGACGGCGGAAACTTGAATTTCGACGGGTTTGAACGGCCCGCCAACGTGCAGACGACGTGCATAATCGTGTAAACAACGTTATTTCTCTTATGTACAAAAGATTCATTATTGTTTATTACTGAATGTCTTTTTTATTGAATTAATGTTTATGTGTGCAAAATGAGCAATACAATTCATTAATAAAACGTAGAAAATTAAAACACATGAGGAAATGACACAGCATTGTTTTCGTTGATTACAAAACCAGTGACTGACTGGTTCTACATATAAAACTGAAGAAAATAAGACCTTCGTTGTAGCTGTAGTAAAATTAATATGGTTGTTTTAAGTAATGTTATTTAATGTTAATAAATGGAACAATAGAAGTAGCTAACGATAATGGTAAAGAAAAAGAGAGATCACATATGTAAGTGCGCACACGTGAAAACATATCGTCATTACTTTATATAAGAATATGAAAGCAACACTTATTTACCGTTCATATATATTTTAATTAATGTTTCTGAACTTGTTTTTATTGAATTAATGTACGTGTGTGCAAAATTAACAATACAATTTATTAATAATACATGGAATATTAGAGGAGACGAGACCACTGCCGGCATTGTTTATGTTAAAGCTTACGAAACCAGTGACTGATTGGTTCTATATATAAAACTGAAGAAAATAAGACCCTGAGTTTAGCTGTAGTAAAATTAATGTAAAAAATGAATATGGTTGCTTGAAGTACCTGTAATGTTATTAAATGTTAATAAATGGAACAATATAAGTAGCTAACCATTAATGGTAAAAAAAAGTGAGACTGCTCGTATGTAAGTGCGCACATGTGAAAATATATCGTCATTACTCTACATAAGAATATGAAAGCAACACTTATTTACTGCTCATATATATTGAAGGGTTAAATGTTGTACTCTGTATAGACAAGAGAGAGAGAGAGAGAGAGAGCCGAACTGCCGGATGTAAACAAACCTTAATTTCCCGCGGCTTTTTTTTTTTTTAAGGGGATTAGCCCACCCGGGCATAGGTCACTGACCCACATTGGGGCCTGAGGGGCAAAAATTTAATACTCCTGTAATAATAATTCAGATAAATAATAAAAAAAAGAACAAAAAAAAAAGCTGCCTATCTACCTATTGGACAAACTAAAATCGTTCCGGACCACGGGAGTTTACGGACCACAGAATGCCGGACTAGAGAGGTAGAACCTGTACTCTCAGATTATCATTTCATGGTCACTATCGATGAATACATAACACACTGGACACCTGCACAATTATCGCAACATACAATACCTCCTGTTAATTCGCAAGGAAGAACATGGCACTTTTAACTCTCATTCAGTGGTTCAATACTTAACCTGGGATATTATATTTCTGCTAGTTATCCCCCAAACAAGATACAATAATACTTAGGCCCATGTAACTGTGAGGAGTGCCCCAGGGTAACGCTGATCTCTACAACAAATGAAGATCGCTGTTAGGGGTCGGTTGAAGACCGACACACGTCAAGGGAGCTGGCGCCTGATTTGCAGGAAACGGACTTCCCAGTTTAATCCCGTCGAATTAACGGCATCGTCCAACCCGGTTACCGACCCACGTTAGCCGACGAGTATTCGGCTCGACACACCGGAGAGACGTTGAGGAAGAGTCACGAATGCGTAAATGTCTAACTTCAACTATACAAAACATACGTCTGGCAACGGTTCAGACGATATCTAAATCCCTACGTTACTCGATTTAATTGGCACAGAATTCACTATGTTAACACATGAACACTGATATTCACCAACATTGACTAAGTTAAACTGAATTAATAGGCGGCGGGGAACACACGTTAACATACCCGGAGAGACGTTGAGGAAGAGTCACGAATGCGCGATTCTCCCTCGTGTAGAGGTATATACGTGCACCCGCGGGGCAGCTTGGGCCTCCGTATTCATACCAGAAGGGTCGATCTTACCAACAACATAACTTCTCTTCCATTTTGGATCACTGTATACTTAGTTATGAACTCTGGTGTTCTTGATCAGGGTAATTTCCTATGTCTATTCATATAATCTAATCAGAGGTTGAGCTTGCCAGGAAAAGGTGGAATATACACGTCGATAACATTAATTCTGCAAGCTCAGGCCCAAGGCGAACAAGGAGCTATTCACGAGGAGGCGCTAGATCTTGGAGATTATACCAGTTGACAGAATAGTTCAGGAGATTAATGACTTTCTTAAATAGACAACTGCTTCTAACTAAACTATAAACATCAGATTCTCTGATGTCGGGGCGACAAAATGATATAACTTCAGGCGCGATCAGAAACTCACGGATACCCCCACGGACGACATAAAATACGCCACTCTAGCTGGCAAACTCGACACTCGCTCACTTGACACGTTTTACTAACAATAAGGACAGTCGAAGCGTTCTACCCCACTCTCAATGGATCTTGAATGTTCCAACTGTAAACAGATATATCTAAGTTGACTCAAAACAAGGGTGTTCTCTCTCACACTCAAATTCATTTTATAGAGAGGTTGGTTTCAGTAAGTCAGAGAAAATGGGATAACGGAGGACTGAGGTGTCTTGAAGTGACGAGAAAACGGACTCCTCAGATGGAGGACTCAAACGAAAGCCGAGGTACATGTTTTGTGGGCTATTGAGCGTAATATGAATCATTTGATTTTTGGCGCTAACTGACGTGTAAGACCGTGGTCATTACAGCGGGAGCGGGCGGTGTCCCGTGTTCGGTGCCGTGCGATTTGAATGTACTTCAATTACTTCAATGTACAGAATATTCCTCCGGCGGGGCAATCCGCGTATTTGCAAATCCGCGTATTATAAACCCGCGTATGCTAAGGGCCGATTGTATAGATGTAGTGCAGTATAATTATTAAATGCAGGCATCATTCACATAACAAACTTAACCCACAGAAGAAGTCGCCTCGGGCAACGGCAGCAGCGGAAATGCGATCCGGGAGACGGAGCAAGTCAGAAGGCGGACACGAAGAACGACCTCCGCGGAACAACCGTAGATCGTCGCTTCGTCACCGCCCGCGACACGTTCCGTACGCTCTCTGCGGAGACGGGTCGGCGAGTACCGCTCTCAAACGTAAGATAATTGTTGAGAATAACCTATGTGTTTTTCTATTTTTATGGATGCTATTTTAAGGATTACTAAAGTTCAGTCAATAGTTATTTTAGCTTAAGATCATATTATACGTTTATTTGTAATGTACAGTATTTCATTAAGTAAGAATGCTAAAACTTGCCTGATGGTCGATCCACAAAACAACGGTGGCGATGCGCTCCGGCACTCGAGAAGACGGAAGCTCCCAGTACACGACGTTAAAGATAAACAGATAGTTTGATGACTATACCACCCCTTCCTCCCTCCACATATGACCCCTCTTCCATTCATGTACCACCTCCCCTTCCCTCTATGAGGGCCTGTGTGCCACCATTTTATAAGGGCCTGTGTGTCAGTAACAGTTCCTTTTACTCTCATACTTATTACCATCGGTAGCGTGACGAGAGGAGGCTCGTGGGTAGATGTAATGATAGTATCAAGCAATAGGGAAGAAATAACAGTAAATACTGTTGGTAAATAATAGACACAATATACAAATACAAAATTTATTTAAACCTTAATATGAAATTAGGAGAAAGAACTTACATGTACCAACAGACGAAATCTAGTACTAGTCCCTCAGGCTCAACATACTCACACCTCTACTGGGTGGACATACTCAATAACACACAACTCTTATAGTCACTTAGCACCATAAAGACCAGGGCAACTGCCACTACCACCTTCAGTCGTCAGGAGTGATACTCAAGCAACAGCCATGGGGTCCAGCCACCATGGAGTACTTTCCGACGAACTCTGGAGATCCCAGTGGATCAATCCCACCACACCAATAGCCCTACTGAGTTAGACACTCATCCACCACTGATGGGGGCTGGTAGTGGCGTGTGGCTCGGTGATCCGGGGTCACCTCGCAGGCCGAGCGTCAGGGCCAGACGAGCCAGCTATGGGGTCCATAGGTAGTCTGAAGTGTCTGACGGCCAGGTCTCACGAAGGTAACTGATCCTACTGGACCTCGGACATCTCCCCAGACATAGTGGATACAACATCCACGCCACAGACACGGCCTAGGCTGCGTTAGGGACCTGTATGGGTGAAGGGACGGGCACTCACTAACAGTGACGACGACATCACGTTTCAGGGGACGTTAAAGACGTAAATATGACTTCACTCCGAGCATATCAACTACGTTACGGTAACACTTGCACAATCAACTATTAATTGGGTCAAATCACTTAAAGAAGGGCGAATTACAACACAGAGTGGAATGGCATACCTGTATGGGTGAAGGGACGGGCACTCACTAACGGTAGAAATGCCCGCGATGCCCTCACTCAAAACAGGCCAGGGAGTCCACCTACTTCTATTCCGATGAATTAATTTACTGTACACTCTGACGTTGAAACTGAGACTATGAACTCGGTTTCATTGCCTACTATTATCTTCACTAACAATGCTCTGACTCCGCTATCAAAAGCAAAATCAAATTGATCACAAAGGGTTGGATGGCAACAGGTCCCAACATACAGCGTCTGCTACGAAATCCGTGGATTATATTCAAAGTTCCCTTAAGACAAAGACGGGGAAACAGAGAAAACGGGGGACGTTTCCACTGGGGGACTCGGAAGGTTTTGTGGACGTTTGAGCGTAATATGAATCCTTAAGGTTTTCAGGTTAGCCATCATCACGATCATGACACCTCCACATACCACCCCTTCTTCCCTCCACCTACCACTCCTTCCTCCCTCCACCTACCACCCCTTGTTCCCTCTACCTACCATCGCTTCTTCCCTCCACCTACCACCCCTTCCTCCCTACACCTACCACCCCTTCCTCCCTCCACCTACCACCCCTTCCTCCCTCCACCTACCACCCCTTCCTCCCTCCTTCCCTCCACCACCCCTTCTTCCCTCCACCTACCCCCTTCCTTCACTACCACCCCTTCTTCCCTCCACCTACCACCCCTTCCTCCCTCCACCTACCACCCTTTGTTCCCTCTACCTACCATCGCTTCCTCCCTCCACCTACCTCCTCTCCCTTCCTCCAGCTAAATCTATCCCTCCCTCCACTTACCACTCTTCCTTTCCTCATCTATTATCTTTCCCTTCCACCACCTACCACCCCTTGTTCCCTCCACCTACCACCTTTGTTCCCTCCACCTACCACCCCTCCTCCCACATCATTTCTCCCCCACCTACCACCCTTTGTTCCCTCCACCTACCACCTTGTTCCCTCCACCCACCACCTTATTCTCTCCACCTCCCACCCATTCTCCCTCCACCTACCACCTTCCACCTCCCCCTCCCTCCACCTAACTCCTCTCCCTTCCTCCAGCGAACACTTATCCCTTCCACCACCTACCACCCCTCTATCCCACCATCTGTCCCCCCTCCCTTTCTTCACCTACTACTCTTCCTTTCCTTATCTATTATCCTTCCCTTCCACCACCTTCCACCCCTCTATCCCCCCTCCTTCCCTCCACATACCACCTTTTTCTCCTACCACCTCTCGTTCCTTTTTTGTGTTTTATTGGTTTATTAATAAGTTTTATAGTATATGATGGTCACCTTACTAATATTGTAACATTTTGTGTGATAACAATTACACTACACACACTTAGTCAAAGTGACCAGTTATTAGTGTTGATGTTAATGGGATAAATATTAGATAAGTTTATTGGAGTTTGCTATAAAATATGTGACTATAATTATAAAGTGTGAGTGTCAAGAAGGGTTTATAAGTTGTATATATGTCAATTAGAGGAACAAATAATTTGCTAACCACACCCTAGTCCTTCAATGGAAAACGTATCGAAATGCGCAGGGTCTAGAATTGGCGAACGTATTTGGCGGGAGAATAAATGCGGCGACACTCGTAGAACACTCGTACGCTACTCTCGGGCACGTACGTTTCCATTTACTAAAGTTAGGTGTTTTTTTTGGGTGGCGTGGGACATAGAGGGCATCGGTAGGCGGTCACGTCCGGCGGTTGCCGTGCGAGAAATTGGGAGGACGGGCTTCCGGTCGAGAGTCGATTTCTCCGGGGTTTTCCGGATTCGCGCGATGGGCGTTTACGTTGCAGAAATTAAGGAACGGCATCTTCCGGCGGAACCACAGCCCGCGATTAAGGAACACTCGGGCCGAGCGCGCGGCTCCTCTGCCGTACATTTCGTCATCGGTAACAAAAGTAGTCGATTGAAGTCGCCTCTTTTGCCTGGGGTGGATGTGTTTGTGCTAACCGTTTTAGGCAAGTGAATGTTTGGTACAGCAGATTTGGGGATTCATTGTAGGGTAGACTTGCCATACAGTGCACAGTGTTTTAATTAGTATTATATTGCGGCGATCGGCGAGCACGTAGACCGAAGCGTCACTCGACCGTGTTTTACGAGGCGTGGGGTTTGGTCCGAGGCCACTCGCAGTCATCTTCGATGGTACAGTCCGGAACGCCGTTCGACGAAACGTCTCGTCGAAATTGCGGAGCGGTCTTCTCGTCTTGGGGCGCGCCGGAGGGGTCGTCGTCGGGCATTTGACGTGCATCCGTAAGGGCCCACGAGACTCCCCGAGGCCACTCGACCCCCGGAGTAGAACGAGGGCACGCGTCGAATCGGCGACCCGTTAAAAGTGCGCAAAAAATAAGATTACGTAAATAACGGCAGATTAATTTCGCACGTCTCCCGTACGTATAGAAAGTGCAAAATAAATAATTAATACAAATTTTTTTTTTATGGGAATTAGCCCACCCGGGCACAGGTCACTGACCCACATCGGGGCCTGGGGGGGCGAAAATGTAATAATAATAATAATAATAAAAATAATTGTTGAAGTTACAGTGTTCATTTTTGGTGGATATCAACGAAATATGATGCAAGAGGCTCAGACAATGACACAAACGATGTTGCTCTTTCCAGTATATTTTCGGGACCGTCCGTAAAAACAAAAGAAATATAACGTGCGCATTCAAAGTGGCGCTTTATTCCACTACTAAAATAAAACATATTCACATAAATATGGGGTAACCTAGTTTATATCTAACAATAATACTAAAGAACCATAAAGAAATACAAAATGGGAAAAAAAAATCAAAAGTGAGGAACAATATATTTATGTTGTGTTGTCAATAGTAAGAGAAACAATTGAGACCCTGCAATCGTGTGTTAATGAGGCAGAAAGTCAGACGAGCGACCCGGAACTCGGTCACAATTTTCGCGATGCCACGTAGCAGGAAGATGTACCACAGACGACACATTACGCTTCCAATATTTTCCGAGGAGGTGGCATCTCCCCGTTTGGTAGGTGCCTAATACCTGTCTAAGTATGTAAGATTTTCCAATGGAAAGTGTATGTTTGGCAAATGTATCCAGGTCTTTAGAGAATGTACTCAGATATTTTGGTTAGTTGTCAAGGGTTCATGTATAATGTACATGCCTAATTGACTTTGTATATTTTTTAACTTTAATTTTTCATTTGCAGTCAGTCACCCGACACGAGTCAGAAACGACATTTTTTGCGGACCGGCGACTCGACGGACCCCGGCCGAGGACGCCGCTCGAACCGCGGGAGTTACGGGTAAGAGTCTCGGACGACGCCGTATTGTAATGTTTATATCGCAGTGTGCAGTATTTACTTAATGGTTCTTTGGAGAATAGGAATGTGTACGTGGTGTGCCTTAGTGTCCGTGTAGGAATTTTGTAGAGTAAGTCGAAGCTCTTAAAGCGCGACGAGAATTTATTAAGCGGCGCGTCGTCGACCCGACCGCGAATTATTAACGGCGGGGTCGCGTCGTAGCCGTCGACGAAATAGGGAAGGAAGTTTTGACCGGTTACAAAGAGGAAATAAGACAGGAATTTACGAGTAAAAGAGTAAAATGTAAAGATCACGAGGGAGAAACGAAAATGTTACCGACGATAAGACTCGGGTGCTATTGCGGAAGAGGGATCGATATTACAAGTGTTATAATGAGAGTACTTAACTTAGCATAGAGATATAGAATTGAAGGTCTCATATCTGGTCTAAAAGTGTTGGATACAATATGAAAAGTATTATTAAAAAATGGGAGTTTAACCCATGGGTTAGGGTGATACTGGCACTTCCCTCTCCCTTCCTATTGGGATAAATCGAGAAACAAGATGAATTCACCCCCCTCCTCAAAAAAGGGGAGACTAGATGGACGTTCTGGAACGTCACCTTGGGTGTAAGGGTTAAGAATGTAGTAGCTTGTAATGGAGGATGAGGTATATGTATTTATGTCCTATTTTTTTTACTGTATTGTAAGTAGGTGTTATAATAGTAACGCGGCACACTCGAGGCGGGTACACGGGACGCTCCCTTAAAACAAAAGCCGAATGTTCGTGGCGTGGGTATATCCACTTTACCTATAAGTGTAATTAGGGATCCTCCTCTGACACATTGCACTATTTGAACACAGACGTAAGATTATCCGATCGCCGTACGCGTCGCGGGTACGCGTCACCCGAGGAGACGAGGCGTATTAAGTCGACGCGGATGCATACGAGATATTTCCTTTCGAGTGTAGTTTTTGGTTCAGTGCCAACACCTCTTATTGTTTTGATACATTTATCCTCGTACCGGATCTCGGTCGTCGCGTATTTTCACGCGACATCTGCGGAAGTTACGTTCACGGGCGTAAATGGCACGACCTCGAAAGCACGAGGTACATTCGGTTGTAAAGTACACTAGTCTGGATCGAGTGGAGTTTCCCAATTGTCTGATAGATACCTCTAGTTCTTCTTAATGGTATGAATATATACAATTAATATTATGTTATGTATAGGTGTATTTTATGTTTTTTTGATAATCGTTTAGCGTTCGAGACGGCGTTCGGCATCGGTCGTAACGGGACGGCACATCGCGACGAGTACACCGTACCGACGGGTGGAGGAGCATTTTTCTCCCAGTTTAGTTCGATTTTGTACGAGGCGACAGAGTCGCGGGTATTTACGGAGATACGGCAGAGCACGACGTCGGCGCCCGCGTACGGCACGAGAAGGAGAAGTAATTTGCGTGGGACGTAATTGTGGGGTAGTCGAGTATTGCAGTGGGTATGCTTGTGTGTTTTAGTTGGCAATAGTGTATAGATATGTTTGTGTGGGGTGAGTGTGTATAGGTATACTGTAGAAAGAATGAACTTAGATGAAGTTTGTTTGGGAATTAGTCTAATTTGTAATAGTAGATAATTGTTTATGCATTTTCACAGTAATTTGTGTGTTTCAGTTGCGGCCGAGCGTGGCGATACGAGTCGGAGACGGATCGTACAGTCGGCGCGCGAGAGCGTTTTGGACGAAGACACCGCTCGACTCGCGAGGAAGATGCTCCGGAACACGGGAAGAATACACCGACGAATGCAGGAAGATACTCGTCAACGCAGAAGAAGACGCGCATCAATGTGGCATCGCGACGTGCCGGGCCAGTTTGATCGTTTTAAAGACGATTCGACGTGTAAAATGAATGCACGTGTTGTTTGTAACGATTGTTATAATGTTTGTAGTATTGTTTTTAGACACTGACTTTGTGAAGATGGAGGAAGTTGATATATATTGAGAATGAATTTATTGAAGATGTTGCCTGTGATCACTAGGCGTTTGCACTAATTTGGCGAGAAGATTATCACCGTAGACACGTTGCAAATAGATTGTAGCACGTCACTTGTGGCGGGACACGTACGTAAATAACGGCAGCGTAAATACGAGACGACGCGGCGGCGGGGACGTGCGTGTTTTGAAAGTAAAAGAATGGGGGAGATTGGACCGACATAGATAGTGTTGTTGAGATAACTGATAAGAATGTAGAAATGATGACTATTTGGTTGAGTTATGAGAAGGGGAAGATAGTTGGTGGGTTTTTTTTAGGACAGAAAGAGTAGTTATATATTAGTGAAGATATAAAGTAAAAGGCGATAAGGACGGTGGGGGGGGACAACGAACGATACGTTTCGTAGGATATTAAAGGAATTGACGTGCGATCGCCGAGTCGGCGTAGTGGCATAATTGTGAAAAACAGATGCGATGGGGATTTTGAAGAGAGAAGAAGTTGCGCGGTAGAGGATTTGCGGGGAAATTGGCGGAAGCGACGATCGTAATTTTGCGAAGGACGAGTCGAGGATCGGTTACGGGAGACGATTCAACGAATGACGTTTCGATGCGGGACGGGCGACGACGAATTTAGTAAATGGCGGTTTAGGGAAGGGTCGCACGTAAAGTGGCGGGTGCGGGTATTTGTGGACGCAGACGACGCGGGCACGAGGAAAGTCGGAGAATAGACGGGACCGCGCACGGAGACGAGGCGGCGCACGAACGGAAGTCTCCGAGGCACCGCAGGGAAATACGGAAGCGCACCCGCGAGACGCGTAAAGAACGGTTTTGAAGTAGAGTCTCGCGTTTGAAACGGTCGGAAGGAGTAAAAATAGGTCCGACGGGGGCAGTCGGTTTGAGAGCGGACGGTCGCGGAATGCGCGCGGGTACCTATTTTGACGCCGCGATATTTAGCAGTGAGGAAATATGCGATGCAGCAGTAATATATTTTTGGTTAATAGTAGTTTCATTTATTTGTTACGAATTTATACCGGTTCACCCGTACTCTGTGTCGTTGCACTCGTGTTAAGGTGTCTATCGTCAACGCGTTTGTATAATAATAAAATTTGGGGGACGAGTACGACGAGTTGAAGGGGAAGGAATACGAGCACAATGTTTATTTTGTAAGGTCTCCTTTTTTTCGTTTTTTCCCTGTGCCTCTCTGTCCTCCTCCTCCCTTCCCTCCTGCTCCTTTTTTTATGTCTTTCTTGTTCATCGTGTGGTTTGTTGTCCCTCCCTTCGTGGTTCTCCCCCCTTCCTGTTCGTCTCCCTCCTCCTCTTTTCCCGCTTTTCTTATTTTACTCCTTTTGTTCGCCTTATCTGTTCCTTCTTTCGTTGTTTATTCTTTTGTTCCTTCTCCCTCTGTTGCTCTTGCTCCGTTTGTTCCTCCTCTGTTTCACTGTGATGCCCTTTGTGTTCGTTGCCCTGTCATTCCTCTTGATTGTTTCCTTACTCCCCTTTGTTCGTTTTTTCCCTTGCCCCCTTCATCCCCCTCTGTTGGTCGTTTTTGTGTCCCTTTATACGTGTGTTGTTACCATTTGAATTAGTTGTTGTATTACTGCTGCTTTGTGTATTTTCGAATGTAGTTATTTGTGTTGTTATAAATATGGTGTGTGAAGTAGATATTTGAATAAATTTTGTTGTTAAGAAGAGGAGGAGTTATATTTAGAATTGTAAAGTAATTGTTATGGAGGAGGAGAACGCGCGTAACGTTTTCAGTTTGAATACGCAGTCGCGTGGAGAAATGCGCACCGCGAATCGTCGCGTTGCGTTTGGGTAGTTATATATTGGGAAATAGTTTAAGTTGAGATATTAAGGAGTTGAAGAATGTAAGTTAATGTCGTGGACTTGTAAAATTGACGAGAATGAAAGTTTTTATTGTGGAGTAGTTATTGATTTCAATTTGAAGGGAGTCAATTGCTCACTCTGAATATTTTGTCGGGAGTTCCGCGTCGATTGCGAATTTGGCGCGTCGTTTCAATCGATTGGAATGGCCGTAATAAATCGTCGGAGTCGTCGAGTTATTTTTTTGTCGTTAGAGATATATTTGTGGAGTTGTAAAAAATGTCGTGTCGTCGAGGAAAGTTAATCGTGCGCGGATTGGGTTTTGACGTAAATTTACGGAAGCGAAGCGAGGACGCGTAATGTATTTTGACGTGTAATTCATTTCGGTCGAGTTACGTGTAGACTTGGAATATTTGTAGACTCGTATATTTTTGTTTGTAATTGATTGAAGGTATTTGTAGTTTGAAAAATGTTTTGACTTGTTGTTGTTTGATTATAGTATAGTTATTTGTGGAGTTTGAATGTATTTTGTTTTGTGGACTTGTAAAATGTGTTGCATGTATGTGGATTTTGAATAATTGATATCTTTTGTGGACTTTGTATATTTTTGATGTGTGTGGAGTGAAATGTTGTAGTTGTTAGTGGACTTGAAATTGTTAACCTTTGAATAATTTATAATGTGTGTTGACTTTGAATTTGTTTTGCCTTCTGTGGACTCGGTATATTTTTTACGTGCGTGGGTGGACCGAGAAATGTATCCGTCACGTCGGAGGACTCGGATTAACGTATTATGCCCGTGGACTTTGAGTAATTTCTTATCCTGTGTGGACTTTGAATAATTTATGATGTTTGTGTACTTTGAATATTTTGTATCGTTTGTACATTTGGAATAATGTATAATGTTTTTGGACTTGGAATAATTTGCAGTGTATGTGGACTTTGAATATTGTTTGTGGACTTAGAATATTTGTCATCTTTTGTGGAGTTTGAAAATTTCTCATTGTTTGTGTACTTGTAATAATTTTCAATTTATGTGGACATAGAATAAATGATAATGTTTGTGGACTTAAAATAATTTTGTATCTTGTGTGGCCTTTGAATATTTGTTATCCTTTGTGGAGTTAGAAAATTTGTCATTGTTTGTGTAGTTAGAATAATGTTCAATTTATGTGGACTTGTAATAATTTTCAATTTATGTGGATTTTGAATAATTGATAATGTTTGTGGACTTAGGATAATTTTTTGTATCCTTTGTGGAATTAGTATAATTTTCATGTATGTGGACTTGGTATTATTTTATCCTTTGTGGACTTAGTATAATTTTCATGTATGTGGACTTTGAATATTTGGTATCCTGTGTGGACATAGAAAAATTATTCATCCTTTGTGGACTTAGTATTTTTTATCCTTTGTGTATTTGGTATTTTGTTATAATGTTTGTGGACTTAGAATATTTTGTATCCTGTGTGGACATAGAAAATTGTTCATCTTTTGTGGACTTAGTATTTTTGTATCTTTTGTGGACTTGGAAAAATTTTCATGCCTTGTGGACTTAGAAAATTTATTCATTTGTTGTGGACTTATAATAATTTGTTCAATGTGTGTGGACTTAGAAAAAATAATGTGTGGATTTAGAATATTTGTTGTCCTTTGTGGACTTAGTATATTTTTCATGGCTTGTAGAGTTCGAAAAATTTTTCACTTGTGGGTTTATAATAATTTTTTCAATGTGTGGAGTTAGAAGAAATTAATAAGTTTGTGGACTTCGAAAATTTGTTCCTTTGTTGTGGACTTATAATAATTTGTTCAATGTGTGTGGACTTAGAAAAAATAATGTGTGAAGTTAGAATTTTTTTTATCCTTTGTGGATTTAGAAAAATTTCGTATCCTGTGTGGACTTAGAAAAATGTTCAACCTTTGTGGACTTGGTATTTTTTATCCTTTGTGGACTTAGAATATTTTTCATGTGTGGACTTGGAAAATTTCTCATCCCTTGTGGACTTAGAAAATGTTTTTCTTTGTGGACTTATTTTTGTATCCTTTGTGGACTTGGAAAGTTTTTCATGCCTTGTGGACTTAGAAAAATTTTTTATTTGTTGTGGGCTTATAATTTTTTCAATGTGTATGGACTTAGAATATTTTTTATCCTTTGTGGACTTAGAAGAAATTACTAAATTTGTGGACTTGGAAAAATTTTCAACTTTTGTGGACTTAGTATTTTTATAATGTATGTGGACTTAGAAAATTTGTCATCCTTTGTGGACTTAGAAAAAATTTTAATGCTTGTGTACTTAGAAAAATTTTACATGTTGTGGACTTAATATTTTTTTATCCTTTGTGGACTTAGAATATTTTGTGTGTTGTGGACTAAGTCTTTTTATCATGTGTGTGGACTTAGTATATTTTTCATGTGTTGTGGACTTAGAATAATTTTTATGTTTTGTGGACTTAGAAAATTTCTCATCCTTTGTAGACTTAGTATTTTTATCATGTGTGTGGATTTAGAACAATTTCTGTGTTGTGGACTAAGAAATGTTTTCAATGTTTGTGGACTTACAATATTTTGCATCTTTTGTAGACTTCAAATTTTTTTTTGCATGTATGTGGACAGAAAAATTTTCAATGTACTGTATAATAAAAGGAAGCATATAATCAATGTCTTTATTTGTCACAAGTTAAAGTACAGCCATATTTGGAATAGGTGAAGTTGTAGAAAACGGGATCATATAGACAGCTTGCATCGTAGAAAACGGTGTTGTTTGAGCTGTAGAAAATAGAGGAAAATTTCCCATTTTCTTTTAGAAATTTCCAAGTTGAACAAAAAACGGGGATTTTTTCAAACTCACTATCTTTTTAAGATAGGTTCTGGCAACCCATTCTTTATTTTATAAGTTATTTTAGAGTGTTTATTGAACAACAAAGGTGATTTTTCAACTGAAAGAAAGTAGTTATTCCAAATTAGTTTTAAGTTAGTATTTTAATGTTTTGTTTGCAAACAGACTTTAACCATATTGACAATAGGTTTAGTCATAAAGCTCTCGACACAGATATCGTGTCTATGGACTATTGTCGTGTGATAGATCGACAATGTCCGAGCTTTTGTTTGCAAACAAACATCAAAACACCAACTCACAACCAATGAGGAATAACTACTCTTTCAGTTGAAAAATCACCTTTGTTGCTCAATAAACACTCTAACAACACCACATGTGTTCCCGTGTACCTGTAAGAAAAGGGAGAAACAAAAACAGCATTAAAATTCACACAATAATAGAAGTCAAATTATTCAACACATTAACTAATCTCAACATCTTTACTTTACTTATAATCATATTACATCAACTAATCTCAATGATGCATTTCAACATCTTTACTTTACTTTACATATAATCATATTACATCAACTAAACTCAATGATGCATTTCAACATCTTTACTTTACTTTACATACAATCATATTACATTAACTAATCTCAATTCTTCACACATTACCTTCATCTTCTCGTGTCGCTCCACTTCTTCTGGTGCCTAAATCACTTGCCATCGTCTTCTTCTACCTTAGGTGTCACTCAAAATGCACATCAGGCAATAAAGAAAAAACAAAATTCAACTCAAATACATATATTCTATACACTTAGCAATATAATACAGTACAGTACATCAAACATCATAGGGACAACACCTATGCATTCACAGGACATCATCTCCTCGGCTCCATACACCCCTATCACTGGAACACAGCTACAAGTTCACAGGACATCTTCTCGGCTCCAGTCACAGGGACGACAGCTATACCTTCACAGGACATCTTCTCGGCTCCAGTCACAAGGACGACGGCTATACCTTCACAGGACATCTTCTCGGCTCCATACACCCGTCACTGGGACCACGGCTATACATTCAAAGGACATCTCGGCTCCAGTCACAGGGACGACGGCTAGAAGTTCACAGGACATCTCGGCTCGATACACCCCAGTCACTAGAACAACTGCTATACGTTCACAGGACGTCATCTTCTTCTCGACCAAAGTCACAGGTACAACAGCTATACATTCACAGGACATCTTGGCTCCATACACCAAGACGACAGCTATACATTCACAGGACATCATCTTCTCAGCTCCAGTCACAGGGACGACAGCTATACGTTCAAAGGACATCTTCTTCTCGGCTCCATACACCCCACTCACTGGGACAACTGCTATACATTCACATGACATCTTTGCAGTTCCATACACCCTAGTCACAGAGACGACAGCTATACATTCAAAGGACATCTCGGCTCCAGTCACAGGGACGACAGCTACATGTTCAAAGGACATCGTCTTCTCAACCCGTCACAGATACGACGGCTATCCATTCACAGGACATCATCTTGGCTCCATACACCAAGACAACAGCTATACATTCACAGGACATCATCTTCTCGGCTCCAATCACAGGGACGACGGCTATACGTTCAAAGAACATCTTCTCGGCTCCATACACCCCGGTCACAGACACGCATAATCCTCGACGGCAACTTGGCCAAAGCGACTTCACCCCACGCTACAATCTGAAACGGAGAAAACATTTAGCAAATTCCAATTTCTTACCCGACAACTGCCACACTCTCCCACTAACAATGGACGTCAACTCGTAATGGCCTTTCCCATCAAATACATTATACGTACAAGGCGGTCCTCTTCATAACCACCACATCGTCACCTCCACAATAAATGCCCAATACTTGGTCGTCTCCTACATAGCCTCCATCCACCACTCTTTCCGATGCTTTCTCACGACAACATCTACAACCGATGCACCACTGAAAAAACAAATCCATAATAAACACCATTCCAAAAAGGTTCATGCATCCAATCTCCTTCGGGATCAACACGTCCCTCATATTCTTAATGGTTTGCCTACAACAAAAACTCACTCTCTTAAGCATTACCTCGTCAAAGCCCATGTCTACGAAAACAAAACTTCTTCCTTTTAAACCACACCATACACTACAAATACCAACTTCTTAGCAATATACACATACTCTACTACAAACCATTCACCAAGGCTAGTACCAATCATTACACAGCCTCGAGTGTGTAACAACAATACTAGCCTGCTACCAACTAACTTCTATACAATTACAATACATACCCACAACAAATTCACCTTTCATCTTACCCAAATTCAAACAAACGCTTCCTCTTTAACACAAACAATCGGCTCCTTACCCTTTCGCTCCCATCTCCGTCGCCGAGTAACCACTGCCTCTTCCACCATCACTGCCGCCTACCATTCCAAAAACTCCAATCCAGCCTAAAAAACAAACAGATCAACACATTAGTTCACGCCCTAAACCGCTCCAACGCCACACTCACCAAATATATATATGCCTCTACACAAGTCACAACATTTCTATTACCTGCTACATCCATTCTCCACATATACTAATCCAAAACTAACCTACAATTTACATCACGTCTTCCAACAATTACATTATACTCAATTTCTTACAACTAAATTCACTATGTCCCTAAACTATCACAAACAATTCACGATGCAACACACCACACCACTTATCTTAAACCGCCGCCGCTGCTGCTGCTGCTCAACACAGTCCATTGCACAGCCCCATACATGTAGTAGTCCACCCTTTCTGCAACCTGGTTACGGCACTACCCACCACCACTCCATCCTCAAACCTGAAAAACAACAACAAACCTTTCACACAACCTCCATAATGCACCATGCTTATTTCTCCCAACTTTAAACATCAATGGGTACTGCTAGCCGAAAAAACTCATATCACTTGCCTCTTATAACAAACTTTACCTACAACTTTCACATACAATAACAACTCACCTTCAAATAATACATTACACAATTTGACATCACCGTATCCAGTGTCGACGCGCTCCTCTCAACAATTCGCCCATATTCCTCCACCACCAACATGAAAACAACAAAACAATACGTCAATGTTACAAATACTCTACTCATCAAATTATAACAAAGTATAGGTAAAACTTCAATAAACAATACTTACACCTTTACGACCTCCCATTTCCAACATTCAGTCGAGCGTTAATGTCCCTCTGGATTATCACACACCAATCACGTCTTCTGGACTGCAACAACTCCTGTAAAAAACAATTACCACATCAATAACCACAACCAAAGTCCCTCTTCATTTTCATATCAAACAGACCCCACCTTCAACCACTTAACAGTATACATTACCTTTTAGCACATGCTGCACAGGTCGACTGGTTACAACACTTGGCTCCTTTCCAACATCGACTTCTCCCCCACCTCTGGATGGCGACCATACTTCCTCTTCGTTAGTCGATACAGTCAACACAAGACTATATTCTACTCTACCATTTTTCGATTTCTCATTACCACACTTTTTGAGAAGGGGAGGGGCCGAGGGGCATCCCCCCTCACCCCCCCCTTATTCCCATGCAAGGTGAAGGGCACAAGCACCTACACCGCCCAACTAGGCAGCATGCCAAGTTTGTGCTTGCCTAAAGGATCATAGCATTTTTTGTCAAGGGCGTACAACCCTCCAGTCTTTAACATTTTGTCGGCTACCTCCGACGACTTTCCCCAGATACGAATTCGCAACTTTCGATTTACAACGGGTACCTACTTTACTGCTAGGTCAACAGGGACAGAGGGGGTCTAGGAAGTGTGTCCAACCCACTTTCCACCGGCCCGGGAATCGAACCCGAGACGTCTCGCTTGCGAGGCGAGACCGGTACCGCTCTACCGCCGGCACCCCCACTTCGGCTGTGACCCCTTGTAAGACGGGCGTCAGTCAGCTACGGGTACGGTTCCTCGACTAAGTAGTGCCCTTTCACAGGTTTATACACCTCACTTAAGTCTCCCCGTGCCCATCTCTAGGCACTTTTGGGTGCACTAGAGAACCGAGGAACACCACCAGACCCCAACCTGAAAAAAGGTCACTCGTTACCCATTTATCAAATCTTTCTCACTACTATATAATAAACTCAATTTATCAAAACTCATTTACATTTTCTTTAATCTACAGCCAAGGCACAAAATTGCACATTTTAAACTTAACATTACCAAACTCAAGCCACAATCATTTATTTTAATGTCAACTTTTAACATTTCTATTGCTCTACGGCACAAGACCAAAAATCGATTTACAATTTCACAACTATTTTACAAACTTCAACGTCACTTACCCATCACTATTCCCCTAGTCTACCTCAAAAAAGTACCGGCTCCTTCCTCCTCCAACAACCTGAAAAAAGGGATTTATTACCTAACCTATAAAACTTACACTAATTCTCAATACAAATATATTAGCCATGAACCACTTATCAATTTTCATATTACAGCTACAACTTCTCTTTACTAAAAAACCACTACACCTTCCATTTTAAATACCGTATTGACGAATTCCTCACCGCAAGTGTAGACGCGATAGCCACCTAAAAACTTAAACCACGTTCTCTTCTCTATTCCACAGTATAAGCCTTCCGTACACCTGCAATAAAAGGCATCAAGCTTCAAAATTTACAACAGACAAGTGAAAATTAATGAAACAAAAGCACATACACAATAACAATTAATAACACTCTAGTCTGCGTATAAAACTAACACATGAACCATAACAGACGGTACACTACCACCTTACCTCGCCTCTATCTATGACAACAAAATACCACCGTAAACACACACACACAACCGAGAGTGTAGTACCATTATATAGCCTCCAGTATATAACAGCACAAACACAACACCCATTCAACAATTTCATTCACCTAAACTCTAAATTATGGGTCTACCTCTGTGCCGGTCACGTCTCTGCAAAAATCAACCTTTCCCACGCTAGTTGGCTCCAACTTAACGCTCACGCGGCAGCCCACTGCGGCTTCCTTGCGGTTGCTATTATCTGAAAATAAACTACTACAAAATCTTAAAAAAAACACCCACTACATTTTATGCCAACAACTACAAAACTCATTAATAAAAATTTCTTCACTATTTAACCAAATATACTAACATATCTTTACTTCCCATGACTCTAAATAACAATGATTATTTTATTACAAAAAAAAATTCTCCCTTTCCTTTCTTTAATCATTTTCCTAAAAGTCATACAACACAAAACAGATCCACCAATCACAATCACCTTTACATACAGCCTAAGTACTCACAGGTAAAATTGCGAGCACGAGACCCAGGGTCGGGTCGATGCATCTTTAGCTGACTACATTCAAAACGTTCGACTTTATGCCGCTTATTTTTCATACCCTCAAAGCAGGCTACCAATTGGCTCACCCATATCAATATTGTTATTCATGTCAAATCCCTATCTTTACCTCACTAAAGAAACTCAACATCAATAATCACTTACCTGCCCTCACCCCTCGTTAACCAAAACGTCGCTGTCGGGAGATTTATTTTCTTTTCCACTTCTCCGGTTCATGGGATCACGATATGCACAACACCTCCAATCTCCTACTATACGCATCAAAACACACACGTAGGGTTTACTACTTGGCACACACAAATGCTGCATCTTTTTTCCTTCTCACTCATTTTCACGATTCCACCACGATCACTATGAACTGTCGAAGCTCCATATACACATACAGTATATGCTGCATCTTTTATTTCTCCTCTCACTCATTTTCAAAATCCACCACGATCAATTATCACTATGAACAGTCCAAGCTCAATGTACACATATGCGGCATCTTTTATTTTTCTTCTCACTCTTTTTCAAGATCCACCACATCAATTATCACTATGAACTCTCCAAGCTCAATGTACATATATATGCTGCGTCTTTTATTTTTCTTCTCACTCATTTTCAAGATCCACCACGATCACTTATCACTATGAACAATTCAACCTCAAGGCACACATAAATACTGCATCTTTCTTTTCTTCTCACTCATTTTCAAGATTCCACCACCATCACTTAAAACTGCATTGAAATTCGCATCCAAACAACTTTAGATCGAGAGAATATTTCAATAATGAACTTGCTACACAATCTTCATGCTCATGAATTCACTTTCCATCACTCCTCAACGAAATGACACGATTTCTTGCAAAAACACAACATATTCGGCCAATTTCAGAAACTACACTATTAACACTTCAACTTTTTAAACCACTTAACACGTTTAACACTTAACGGATTTAATTTCAATTAAACTACCGTGTTCAATTTAAATATTCTGTACTCCAAGAACTTCAATTATAAACAACTTCAAAAGCTCCCTAGTTAACCACAGACAGAAATCTTAAATATGTTTCACAGAAAAATGTTGAAGAAAACATTTCCAATGCAAAACACTAACAGCCAAACGAACAAATGTCTAAACACTTCACTTCACTTTTCTTTTCTTCTTCACAAACTAAAGGAGTTCTTACACCAGACACAAGGATCGGATTGTAACTGATGCATCCTTGCCGGTTCGACCTTTAAATACCCCAACCTTCCCGCCGACTCGCTGCCGAACCGTCAAATTATTTGCTCTCTGCTCACCGAACCCGCTCATTCGAATAACTTCAAATTTTCAGCATTTTATTCTTCACCTTGGCATCAAAGTACAAGGATACATTAAAAAAACTCTGGTGTCATCTTCAACATTATTCAAACAAACTCCAACAAAGTCCATTTCATGAAATATAGTCAAAATTTCTCGAGCTCAAAACCGCCACATTCGTGGTTTCTGAATCTCCGAGACCACGAACTTCTCTAGTAAACACCGTCACAACCAAACGAGGGGATTATCCCCCTCTGCAACACTGCGACATAAACTGCTATTAGGTGTTTACAATGAACAACACCATAGACATAAGTAGACCAGAGAATTTGTGATAATCAAAGGAACGAAAAAGTTATGATAGCAACCCACAGCCTACAGTGGCAGTATCGTAGTCAATAAAGTTACTTTCCAAGATGGTAATAACAAGATACCCTACAATCACTCACATCTACATTACTTGGTGAGAACTAGGAGCAGTGATTTTACTAAAGTCACGACCCGAGTAATGTTTACACATTATCCTAACATACCCTACGTACAATATATATTTATAACTTAATTATAACAATGCAACAAAAAAGCATTTAAAATCGTGGTAACATTCTCATGTGTATTTACTAACATAAGAACATAAGAAAATAAGGAGTCTGCAATAGGCCGGTTGGCCTGTGCATGGCAGCTCCTGTCGAGAGTTACTACCACTCTCTATCATCCATGAATCTATCTAGCCTCCTTTTGAAACTTTCCAGAATTCCCGCACTTACTACAAAGTTGCTAAGCTTGTTCCACTCGTCCACCACCCTATTTGTGAACCAGTTCCTTCCTAAACCTAAACTTATCCAACTTGAATCCGTTGCTCCGAGTCCTATCCTGCTCGGATATTATAAGAACTTTATCTATATCCCCTTTGTTGATTCCTTTCACCCACTTAAATACTTCTATCATATCTCCCCGCACTCTTCGTCTTTCTAGGGAATGCAAGTTAAGTTTCTTTAACCTATCCTGATATGGAAGGTTTCTAAGTCCCGGAATCATTTTTGTCATTCTTCGCTGCACCGACTCTAGTGAATTTATATCCATTCTATAATAGGGGCACCAGAACTGAACCGCATAATCGAGGTGCGGCCTAACTAGCGCAAGATATAGCTGCAATAAGACCTCTGCACTCTTATTACTTACACTTCTAGATATAAAACCCAATACTCTGTTTGCCTTATTTCGAACATTAACGCACTGTTTTCTAGGCCGTAGGTCCGGGCTTACAAGTACCCCTAGATCTCTTTCACAAGTCGACTTCTCTAGGTTGATGTTGTTAAGGCTGTATACATTATAAGTATTTGTTCTTCCAATATTAAGTACACCATGTTACGTGTACTCATCCAGATGATACTAAATGTTATATAATAATTCCTTGAGATAAATGTACAGTATATTATCAGGTACCACATTTACTCTCCAAGGTACTACTGTACGTGTGAGGTAGTGGGTGAGACCTGACCAAATAAATCATTATCAAATTGTACGTGTTTCACCTTTATCAGTTATAGTAATTATCTCTCTAACCAGACACTGGTGTATGTAAGTGATAGAGCTAACAGTATGGCCATAAACTATACCCGATGTAATTGACTCTCCTCGGGGTAAGCTTACGAGTATATTATATTCATCCTCCGAGTACAGGCAGCACTTACCACTCAACACTCGACTTCATTACTCTACTTTGTTTTAATGTGTATGTTTTGTTCTTGATTCTTGTAACATATGTGTATCTTTGTATACTCACCTGTTCGATTTAAAAGCTTTTGCTAGTTTTAGTGTTTCTGCTGTATAGTTAATTTCAAGTAAGGGTTAATGATAACTCAATGTTTCTCTCTTTATCAATGTACTTTGTGATCTTTTTATCTTACTTTATTCGTCATATTAACTTTTTATATTATTGTATTTAATTTTAGGACTTTTTTATATTAAAATAATACTAATTTCATGTATATGTCTCTTAACAATGGTCTGACACTTCAAGTGAGGCCAATATTGCTGTTGTAAAACATTTAATACATTCACAATTTCTACCAAGATAAGTAAGGCAGTGAATACATTTTCAGACCTCCTGTAAATACGCTTTCATAATATATTTTTTCACGTTATACACTTCTTTTAGGTCACAACAAACTTTAAGTCATTTACTCGTCATCAAACAACCATTGCTCACATCCGGTTTCACCAACCTGCCGCCGTTAAAACGATTCGCTAAGGCATGGTGCGACCGTGACGTCATAACACGGTAATGTTCCCATTGGCTAAAACTTAACCTAATGTATAACAAACAGGTTGTGATTGGTCAGGGAATGTGGGCCGCCTGTATATAAGGCTTGGTAGCTGGCCATGAATACAGAACACTGGTGCACGACGACGATACAACATCTGCTGTAGGTATTGTAGTGTTAAACTTTGCTATTTATGGTAAGTATATCCTGAAATATTTTGCTTATAAATTATTTGCTTTTTTGTGATTATGAAACCACAATTTAATCTTTCACTTGACTAAAATGGTGTATTTAATTAGTCTTTGGATATTAACTAAACTGAACCTTTTAATTTTGTCTTGTCAGATTATTCCGCCAGGATAAAACTACATTAATCTTCTTGGCTTTTCTTTTTGATCTCTAGAACACGCTCCTTAAACGAACGTGAGACCTATACGAGTTGACCGAGCAAGCTGCAGTGTGATCTCTACCCCATCGCAACAATCGGGAGATTCTACGGAAGTTGTCTTGGTTTTTAACTGTTCCTGGAGAACACCGTCGCAAGAATTGCTTGCCTACTCGCGTTCTACCGCGGTTAGTGAATCCATCACAGCTTGAGCGAGATTATTGTTTCCTAGTAAGTAAGTGTTAAACTTCACGCAATTTGTTATTTCAAAAAGTTGGTTTCCAGCATCTTTGTTAATTCAACCCCCTCCCAGACCCCATTTGTGGGTCGTGAGCTATTATCCATAAAGAGCTGTGTTGTATTATATTCTGTGCAAGTAAAGTCAAATGTGTACGGGTTGAGTACATATTGAATATACAGTTTATGTAACCAATAAAATTATTACTTCTATATACCATTTGTATTTTATTGAGTAATCTAAATCCTTGATTTTACTGAATCAAAACCTCGAGTATAATACAATCTGAA